TGACATCATCCGGCTGAATATTCCGTTGCCCCAATTGGCTCACCCTTCCATACAATGGGCCCTCTCGGCAAACCGTCGATCATCTCCAGGCGTTTTCTGTCACCAGATATGTATAATTCATGGTTCATGTTCAGGTCCACCGTTTTGACTTTTGCCTCAATGGTTCGCATGTCATAGCACCTGGGTGACCTTCTGGGAGCCAATGCTCTCTTTCCAGGAGGCGAAAGCGAGACGATGATCCTCGGGGGTTGCACGGGTCTCACGGGTCTCACGGGTCTCGTACGTAGCGCATCTCCTCCATCTCCGTGATCCGTAATAGAGAGCGTGGACCTGCAGGCCCAGAATGTCAGCCCCCTTTCTACCCAGCGGCCAGCGTGTGTCTTGTTCTTCGCCGTGCTGAGGCTAATCCCCTTCTCCAATCCCCCTTGTGGCGCGAGCTGAAAATCAGGAGTTGAACGGAATGTAAATGAAAATCGAAATTACAGTATTTTCCCTGCTATGTGGGTTGGGCCAAAATTCGCAAGCAATGTGATCGTCCCGACCCTGCTTTTGAGAGCTTCTTTAGCGCGCTCGCTAGACCCAAAATTTTGGGGCAGTGGATCGGCTGGCCTCTCTTGTCATATTGTCGGCCTGGAAATACTAACCAGTTTAGGTTATCGCTGCGTGGTATCGGTCTGGTCCTCGTTCTGTGGCTCTCGCTCTGGTCCTGTTCTGGTCCAGGGCCGCGTTCCGGCTCAACTGCTCTCAGAAACGACTCATCCATGCAGATCAGATTCATGACATGTCGGAGAATAACCCTGGCCCTACACGTGTGGGCTCATGGTCCCAGCGCCCACTCGTGCTACTCCATGCGTCCTGGCTCTTCATTTGACCAATCTGTTCAGTTCAGCAAATGCCGATGTCAACCATGTGGTTCCCACCCCTGACAAGCTGTCAAGTTGGCCCTATCCAAATTAAAGGCCCCATCGCGACCCCCGAATAACAATTCAACGCGTCTCCATCACTAGTTCCCAGCCACCTCCTGAATCAAGAATGCTAGAGCGAGGTGTATAGTGTATGGCAAAAACTGGGAATCTTTGTTGATCCTCATCTCAGCGCGGTCCCGAGTTTCAATATGGAGTCCTGCATGATGATCATCGCCGTTGAAAGGTTACGGGGCGGGTAAAGTCAGGTCCTCTCGGAACTCCACCGGTGCATTGAAAGTATCTGTAGTGGCATACTGTACATGTGTAGTCTGTACACCCATGTCCATGACGCCAGGGATGTTATCGCTGTGGGTGTCTTGATCCGTGCTCAGGGGTGATCGGGCGGTCCAGTGTTTCAGTATTTCAGTCAATGGATTAGCCGTTCCCCTCGTACTCGGACTGTTCTTGCCAGTGATGCGGCTGTAGGCGACGAACTTGAACAGAGGTATTAGAAAGACATTCTGATTGCTTGGTTAAGGTTCAAATCTGAAACGCCCTGCGCGTGCCATCTGCAGGTCTTCATTGGACATGGCTCCACGTCGGCATCCCTGTACTGAGCAACGCTGCGTCTTCAGAACGCACTCCTTCGGGCGGGTAGACGCGACAGCTCCACACTAATGTTACCCCGGTGCGTTGCAGGCATAGGTACCTGCAGACATAAGTACACCCGACGGACATTTTATGCATCCATGTCGAGTCTCGGCCTTCCGGGTAAACCCTGGAGGACCCTGAAGTTCACTCTCATCCGAGTCAACGATATGCATTTCATTCACAAACTTGTATTTCACGCATTGACGCGCCAAAAGGGCAATTGATCCCGCCTGATGGGGAACGGTTACTCTTTAATCGCTCGGATTGGTCCTGAAACATCTCGAAGCCGCGATCATCCCGCGCCGCCGTCGCTTGGGGAATGCCACGCGATCCAGCCCGTTGGAAGAGCCCAGGCCAATTCAGCTATGGGTCTGGTGCATCGGTATGGCGCTGGTCATGGTATACAAGCGGATCGCATGGTGTTATTGGATTGAGAAGAATGAAGAATCGAGTTAGTGCGCGATTCGGCTGATTTCAGTGCCGTTTTGAGGGTGATCCGGGTCTGAATTTGTCTTGCTTGGGATGACTGTTTCCTGAAATGGATGGTTTTCCTGCGTGATAGCTAGACGTCTTGATATTTTGACAGCCGTTGGGAAAGTGACCTGTCGATCTAAAGGTGGGGTTACAGAATTCGCTGCATGTGATGGGATCGGAAAGATAGATTTTGGAACTCGGGTGCGAGGACTGAGGCCATCCGATGGGTCAATATTGACGATGCGATGTGATGCATCGCGAATACCACTTCCAAATATGGACGGTGCGTTGGCTTTTCAACTGAAAGCTCACCATTGCAGGGTTAACGTGACATGTCGTCGTACTTTTGCTGCCCAGATATGATATGCAGCCCCGCACCCACGGGTGAGATCGAGTAACAGGCCCAACGGACTGGCGCGACTCCACTAATGTCTGGGTGAGGTGTCGGCTGCTTAAGACCCGACTGGTCCTGCAATACTCGGTATGCGCTGTTCTTAACGGATGCATTTAATACATATAATTTGATGACTTGATAGTGTGATTCAGTCTTGACATCTGTGGACGCTAGATGGCAAAATTGAAATTCCTTTCCAAAACAACGCTTCCTTACGTGACAGAATCGTTTCTCAACATTGGACAGCTCAATTCTGCACATTCACTTGACGGGCTTGACTACATGGGAACTTAGGGTAATCCATAGTCTGGCTCTAACTGGCTCGAGATAATAGCCGCAACAGTCCCTAGGACTGGGGGTTCCTTCCCCTTCTGAGACAAATGTTCTTACACATACTAATAGTCCACAACGCCTCGGAGTGAAGTCTGTCATATTCTGTAGATATGAGAAATTGACCCGGGACTATGCGAATGTCATTACCGGAAATGACCACGCGGTCTACTACCATGGACGCAAAGTCTCTGTGTACAGAATCGATGACGAAGACAAGGGTAAATGGCGTGCCGAATGGCCAACAATGTAACCAGGCATCTGAACTGGCTTTGGGCTTACCTTGCAGAAGTGTGGTATGGTGCCTTGAAGGAGTGATCACTGGGCCCACCGTAGGCTTCAGTGACATACCAGCAATTCGCATGGATTGATCTTTTCGCACGAGTCAAATGTAACCTCTGTAGCACGAAGATAAGTTTTCGAACGGCCACAACTGTGACCTTTCAGACATCATATTGACTGCGATCTTGATAGCTTATCATTCTGAATGAAATGATACTCATTCGAGGATTGTTTGTTCTCGTCAAGTTTTCCCTCTTAGTGAAAGACAATCTGCCATGCCTGGAGAGTCTTTGATAGACAAAGATTCATCTCTAATTATAGATTCGAATATGAATAGGTTCAAAAGCTACATATCCTTCAGTATAAAGTACTTAGAAGGCAAAATCATGCATGAGCATCATGCCTCAGAAGCCTCGTCGACTTCCCCCGGAGCTTGCCAAACCAGCAGATACTCAGATGTTGGATCGGCCTTTTCTGGTCCTGTCCAACCTCTTGTCGGCTGGCGCAATAATTAATAGGTAGCTCAGTCAATGCCTCAAGGAAGACTTGCTGGGCATTGCCACCATAGACGAGTCTTTCGTAATATTGCCCCTAGTGTCAGATCGTAATCACACCTTCCATAATCCAGACGAAGATATTGAATGACCATAATTGCATCAATTGGTCGTAAAGGAGAGCCTAGCATTTTTATGTTCTTTCGCGTTGTCAATGTAATTCCACACGAAGTTATTCAAGGTTGGGAGCCTGGTCCCTATGTTGCCCATCATGTTATGCAGCGAGCACCGCTATTAAAATAAGTGGACTCCGAGTGCTCCCCAAGGGAGTCCAGAGATGTCGTTCGCCCCCTTCCTCCCCCCCCCCAATAACCCATTTTGATGCTCGTAGGGCGCTGAACACTTATTTCAAGATATCTGCGAGCTCCTCAGCTTTGCTCGAGGCCGCCTTATCACGGACTCCCCTTTCGTCTCCAGACTGTGAGATAAGTTTTAACGAAAGCGTTCAGCTCTCTTCTTATCGGATTTTCTCTGTCGCAAGGCTGATTCTTCAATTTCTCTTGTAAGTTTCCACAAACCCCTCTGATATAATATATCATGTCGGTTTCTTCATCGCTCATAACAATGATCTTTTCCCTTCGCGTTCATTCCGCTGGTTCAATACTTCTCTGTTCATTTTAAATTACTAATAGTCCTTAAACGGGTAGGTCTTTACTGGATACTTAGAGACAGGCTTTGGAGTTCGGGAAGAAGTCTGGGTCCGGTACGGGAAAATAAGTAGCAAGGCACGAAATGGTATTGAAACGTATGTGCGCGGCTGTTGGCCTGCAAATAAAATACCCAGCCTCATGATGTATATACGCGATACCCAGATATTTGTGCTGTGGATGCTGATTCAAAATAGATCAATTGCGAATGTTCTAAGGAAGAGCTACTCACCGCGTCTCCCTCCAGTGTGATAAATATATACCCTCATAGTTGGAAACTTTTTACAAGAACCCTCATGAGGCGCCGACTCATCGATCGATGTGAATGAATATCATATTGTAGTAGATGTATACCTACTATCAGGATATGGAATACCATAGAGGGTGCTTAAAGCCCATGAAACTGGGAAATAAGATCCTACAAGTAAAGCATGAGGCCAGCAGTCAATAGCGTTGGGACCACCTCTGCCAGATCGTTGCGTTTTTGTGACATTTCTGCCCAACTCATGTCAAACAACCTGCACTTCCTACTATAGAGCGCCATTGCCCGCGAGTATATCCAGTTAATAGATCGCTATCGCTCAGCTTTGACGAACTAGGGAAGCTCCGAGTTTTGCATCTGTTTGCAGCGGACACACCGGCGGCCCCCGAACGGGAAGCGCTTAAGTAATCGGGAAAGTTTGCGTTCCCAACATCTCGACGGAAAAGTAACGCTATCACCCTCCATCCCTCTCTATCTACAATTGGGCTCATTTGCTGCACCATGCTCTTCCGTACTGCGGCTCGCCAGGCTGCGCCCCTTCGGCGTCAGTTTGCCCCTCTTACTCGTCGTTCCGTCACCACCGACGCCGCCACTGCGCACGCCGAGAACATCCCAGAGGTTTGTTGAGGCCCGTCCGGAATAGTGGCAAAGTCACCGGAGCACTTGGAAACTGTCAATGCTGATACTGGCGATTGCGATACACAGGAAGATGACAAACCCTTCACTGTCCGCCTCTCCGACGAGAGCTTCGAGACCTACGAGCTCGACCCGCCCCGTACACTCTGGAGACCACCAAGAAGGAGCTGAAGCAGATCTACCACGACATGGTCTCTGTTCGGTATGCGCCAGCTTGATTCGGAATGCTATGAGCTTGTTCTGACCGTTGTTTCTTATAGTCGCATGGAGATGGCCGCCGACCGCCTGTACAAGGAGAAGAAGATCCGCGGTTTCTGCCATCTGTCCACCGGCCAGGAAGCCGTCGCTGTCGGTATTGAGCATGCTATCAACCGCCAGGATAAGGTCATCACCTCCTACCGTTGCCACGGTTTCGCTCTGATGCGCGGTGGTACCGTTAAGTCTATCATCGGCGAGCTGCTAGGCCGTCGCGAGGGTATCGCCTACGGAAAGGGTGGTTCCATGCACATGTTCGCCGAGAACTTCTACGGTGGTAACGGTATCGTTGGTGCCCAGGTTCCCGTCGGTGCCGGTTTGGCTTTCGCCCAGCAGTACAACGAGGAGCCCAGCACCTCCATCATCCTGTACGGTGATGGTGCCTCCAACCAGGGTCAGGTCTTCGAGGCCTTCAACATGGCCAAGCTGTGGAACCTCCCTGCCCTGTTCGGCTGTGAGAGTATGTATCCCTTCTACGGAGTACCCCACGTCATCTCGCTGAACTAACGCGTCTCAGACAACAAGTATGGTATGGGTACCTCCGCCGCCCGCTCCTCCGCCCTCACCGAGTACTACAAGCGTGGCCAGTACATCCCCGGTCTGAAGGTTAACGCCATGGATGTTCTCGCCACCAAGGCCGCCGTTCAGTACGGTAAGGAGTACACCGTCTCTGGCAAGGGTCCTCTCGTTATGGAGTACGTCACCTACCGTTACGGTGGTCACTCCATGTCCGACCCCGGCACCACCTACCGCTCCCGTGAGGAGATTCAGCGCATGCGCTCCACCAATGACCCCATCGCCGGACTCAAGCAGAAGATGATCGAGTGGGGCGTCACTTCCGAGGAGGAGCTCAAGGCTATCGACAAGGCCGCCCGTGCCTACGTCGACGGCGAGGTCGCCGAGGCTGAGCAGATGGCTGTTCCCGAGAACACTGCCCGCAACCTCTTCGAGGATATCTACGTCCGTGGCTCCGAGCCCCGCTGGATGCGTGGCCGTACCGTCGATGAGACCTTCTACTACTAGAATGCTTCACGGTACGGGCCAAGTCCGGCTTCTTTTCCTTAAAAGACTTGTTTGTTTGAGTGGACTCGAGACCTACGAGACTCGAGCAGTGCATCCTTGTTCTATCTATCATTATCTGTAATTTAGCCGATGACTACCTAAGGTACTCTTTCTTATGTCATGTTTTTGTTTAGAGTAGATCAATTGTCATCATCTCGGATTATATCTACCAAGAGGACATGTAGAACATAGACATGAAAGGAGTTTGCGTTGTCTTGAACTTCTGTTCAGAGTTTCTAGGCCCGCTGATCCTCACTTCCGCCTCGATCTCAATCTCACGACATCCTCACTCCAATCTTACAGCAAGCCACACCTCAGTAGCCCATACCCTGTGAAAAGAGAAGGATACTTCCCCGAGTTGAGAACATACCAAAACGTACCAACCATGGATCACACCCTCTCTCCCCTTTTCCTTTATATTCATTCAGATATGACGATTGCCCTGGTAATATAATCGACAATCCCGCAACACAACGCCCCTTCAGCCAAACGGCCCTTTAGCATCAACCTCATCCCCCTCCCCAAAAACCCATTTCAAACCCATCAGAGTCCCCCAAGAACCAGAAATGGCATCTGAACAACCCGCACCCACCGACCCCGTCGAAGCATATCACGCCGTCCGTGACGGGTCCCTTACATACGCCATGTACAACTACTGCCCGGACTCCGACAATATAACCGTGCAAGAAACAAGTGTCTATAATCCTGGAGTGGGCGAAGAAGCCACCTGGGAGGCGTTTCTGGATCGTCTGAAGATGGACGAATGTCGGTATATCGTGTACGACTTCATGTATCCCGGCACTCAGGATGAGAAAGAGATCACGAAAAAGAAGTTGTTGTATATCCTTTGGTGGGGCTTCTTTCTTTTCTTCCTTGTCATGTTGTGACTGTTGCTGATTCAGTAGGGCTCCGGAGGGGTCCCATGTTCGGGATAAGATGAATCTTTCGCATCATGGAAAGAGGTTTCGGGATGCGTTTGGGCATTTTGATGATGAGTTGCATAGTACTTATAAAGAGTGGATTTCGTATCCAGAAGGTACGTTATACCAGACTCTATGTTACAAGCGTTTTGGAGTTATGCTGATTCTGATTAGTTGTTAAAAGGTTGGAGCGAGGGGCAAAATAACTGGGTGGTTCTGACGTTTGGAATAGGCTTGAGTGCATACTTAGTGATCAAGTCCATTCTTCTCTCGCAACAATTTGAAACTGTTAAGGATAGGTTGATCAAGGAGATCCCGAGTTACATCGAGCGATACGTATAAGCCTGGAGATTTATGGCCTGACACCGCGTTTCCACATGTCCACGAAAGTCAAGATAAAGATTATATTGGTGGGTAGTGTAAGATTCATCTGAACGCCTTGCATATTATGGGTATCATGTAGGGACGGAGAAACGGAAAAGTGGTGAACACATGAATAGAAAAGGAAGTGGCTTGAGCGGCCTTATGCGGACCTCTGCCTCAACATCTCAAGAATCATCTCCTGTGTCCTCTGCAGGGAATCCAATCTCTCTTCAAGGACTGCACGCTCTCGTCGCATCTCAGCTTTCATTTCCTGACGGAGTTCTTCTTTGATGCGGTTAATATCTGCCGGTATTGGCGAATTGTTCTGGGTTTGTGACTCTGTCGCAGCTTGTACCAATGCTGAGATTACGGGTGAAGCCCGTGCGTCGGTACTGCCATCTCCTGAGGCTGCATCGAGATGTTTGTTGAGCTTGCCCAGAGTTTCGATCACGGCACTGACCATACGATTGCCTGCTTGGTCTGAACCTGAACCTGTAGATGGAGATGTAGGTACAGGCACAGGCGCGGAAGGCACGGGCATAGCAGACTGATTGTTTGAGAACATATTCTCGAAACCTGGTGGTAGTTTGACAGATGCAGAGATGGAAGATGAAGGAAATTCCAACTGAGGTGGAACTAGAGTTGGGGCAGTCGTGGGGTTGTGATTCGTAAGAGGGAGAACATCAGGCGAGGCCGTATCGTCGTCCTGGAACGTATGCCCGACGTCTTCTCCCAGGTCCGGTTGAGGCCTGCTATGCGAGCGCCTTCGAATCATCTCATCGCGTTTCGAGATTCGCTGCGCCTCGGCTTTCTCCCAGCGCTGCCAGGTCGGGATCCACGAATCAAGAACCGCGCACCACTGCGGGTTCATTAGGTCTTGGACTGGGTTGGGACCGGATAGTTCTCTTTGTCGCTGCCGCTGGTCGTCAATAAATTTGATGCGTTGCTTGGTGACGACTTCCACTTTGCGTCGCACCGAATGCCACGAGTACGGACGTCCATGAATACGTGTAAATTCTGCGGCAATGGTCTTCCACCAGTTGCATATGTCACTGCGCTTGCCGAAAGTGTCGGCATGGCGATTACAAAGCTCGAAAAGAGAGACTTCTTCTTTAGTTGTGAGTCGTTTGCCATGTTTGCGCGATACATCGCCGTCCTCTGCATCGACTTCGCGGCTTCGTTTCGTTCCTCGCATATTTGGAGAGTTGAACATATCCGGCCTGGGACCTTCCAAGCGACTGGATCCCGAGTTCATCGGCATGTAATAGAGATCCTTTCCTGCGAGCACGCCATCAATGTTGCTTTGTCTGCCGATCCCGATTGATGCTTCGCCGCCTTGTGAAACGGAATTGTTCTCCGAATTCCGTTGCACAACTGCATTAGACTGGGAGTTTGGACTCAACGCTTGACGCAAACCTGTAAAGAGTCTAGCCGAATCAGGTCGAGGTGACTGATATGCTGATTGCGAATACTCCTGCTGGGTATGTACCATCGGAGATAAAAGCAGGCCCGGCAAGCATGAAAGATACGGCAGAGGGGATGCCGCAGCTTATGCCAGAGTCAAAGTCAAGCTGGCAGGCTGCGATCGAGTAACGAGGCTAATCAGTGCCCTTCTAAGTCAATGGGGGGGATAATACGCTGTATAATGTGACGAGAGTGATAGTGTCGATCGCGGGGAGAGGGAAGTGCAAATCCGGGTTCGTGTCTGCAATTTTGAGCGGGCGGTAATTTTCACGCGCGGAATTACGGTTAAGATGTACATTCCCCAACTTCTTCACCTCTGTCGTCTATCTTGAATATGAAAAAAACTAAATAGGGTTCTGGAAGCCAGACGATCTGATCATCATGCGAGCAAATGGCAAATATAAGGAAGTTCTTCCAAATGTGCCGTGGGGCATCTGGATTAGCTGCGGCCCTGTACACAAGTTTCATTGAATTACTGCTTTGTTCCCTTTGATAGTAGCAAAGAACAGAAGGCCGCATGGATGAAAAGGCTATGTACTCAACATACATTCGATATAATTCGTACTGATACCAAGGAGGTCTCCAAGACTGCCTTCGAGTGCAAAGAACACAGCGATATACGGACGGACCGTTGGGGGAGGGTGTACAGGTTGTTTGCTCTTAGGATGAATTCTGTAGGCATTGTGATATGTCCATTTACAGGTCATGGGCTATGGTGATACAGAGGGGCACACGCCCAACAAGAAACAAGAAAAGGCACCAACACCATGGTCAACATGATCCCAACAAAGGGTCCCTTAGCACCAAAAAAAATATGCACGCAGAGGAATCAAAACCCAATAATACACTCAGGGGGAAAATGAAAATGGGTGAGGCGGTGATGAAAACAGGGGAGAATCGACATTAGATGAAGAAAATTGTCTTCTCTACCAGCGTCTCTTCAGGTACCAGCCGTAGGCCGGGGTGCTGACTGCCTCACCAAAGGGTGTGGGCACCTCAGCGTATCCAGGTCGGGCCACGGGGTGGCGCAGATACACGGCCGCACAAATGTTCTGGTTGACTTCGAGGTAGCGCGGATGAAGGAGAAGGCGGACATATAGTCGCGGGGACGCCAGGGTGTGGCGTAGGTTTTGCTGTGGTCAATAGGGTTGTCGCGCATCTGGGTAAGGGCGCGCTTGAGAACGTCGAATTCCTCATCGGATAGCTCGGAGGTGTCGACTTCGCCGCCTTGGGCAGCGGACTTGAAGGCCTCCGAAAGTGCGTCGCTAGCACCTTCTGATTCCTCGACCACGGCTTTCTCCTCGGTGGACCCCTTCTTATCCTTCTTTGCTTCCTTGGGAGTCTTTTCGGCACGCTTGGCCTTCAGCAGCAGAGTCAGTTCTGAGAATTGGGTTTCGAGGTTGTCGGTGAGGACGGTGCTGGTTTCTGAGCGAGATAGAACACGGCGCACTGCCTTCTGGAATCCGCGCAGCTCCTGCTTGCGCTTGGCCGGGAGGATGTCCTTGTCCTTAGACATGATGTTCTTGGCCTGTGCCATCAATGCCTTGAGAGTATCTTTGGTATTCTCCGGCTTGTCCTCCTTCTCCACAGCCTCTTCCTTCGCCTCTTCCGTTTCGCCCTCTGTTTCTTCCGCCTTCTGCTTAAGCAGCCGGGTCTCCCGGCGCTCGAACTTGGTCTTCGGGGCACCGGTTGCGAACATAACACGCTCGGGGTCGACTTGGAAGAGGTCACCGGGGTTGAGGAGGTAGCTGGGGTGTCTCATCTAGAATTGAGTATGTTAGTCAATGCAAAATTGAGGCCCGTGGATCACCAGCCACATACCTTGTGTCCATTGACTGTAACTGCACCGTGAATGACAAACTGCCGCGCCTGGCGAGTACTGCTGGCGAACAGAGAACGAAAGATAGCAACATCCAATCGGCGCTCCAGGGGAGCAAATGCCATCTGAGTATAGGGAGTGAGGCGCTTGGTGATCCCTTTCTCAGCCTTCTCAAGTCCTGAGCCACGACCGGCAGACGCCTTGGATCCATCGTCGGCTGCGAGGTCGTTGGTGTTCATGGGGATGACGCTGCGGATGCGTTTCGAGAACATGCGCTTCCACTGGCCCTCGCGGACCTGCTCACCATGGTAAGCACGAGAGAGAGCCTTGGCTGTCCATTTTTGTTGGAAGAATGTGCGGTTGACGGCGCCAGGGTTGCGGAACCGTTGCATATTATACAGATTGTACTTGCTCCATGATTGACGGATTTTCTGCGCGTGACAGTAACAGTTAGTTTTGGCGAGAAGCCATCGCACTGGCGTCAATTGGACATACCGCCTTAGCGAGAGATGTGCTAGCCCTGTTCCTCATTATGGCGAGTGAATAGACGCACGCTGGAAAAGGTGTTGGGTGGTCCTCAACTGGCCTGTTTCTGGTGGATGCTTCTCTCCCAAAACTTCCGCATATCACGTGACTAAGACGGAGATGAAGCACGTGATGAATATTCAGTTCTGCCAATGGTCACCGCCGATGCACATTCTGCAGCTTCCATTGGCCAGTGTGTCTCTCGCTTAAGACTAGCGCGGTTGGAACCTTATAAATACCTTGCCCTTCCTGCGTCCTTCCCCTCTTCTCTTTCTTCTTCATACTTACCTTGTTTGGGTGGCTGCGATCAACACGGCGGTCCACCACAGATTGGTCCCTGCATTGCACATCGCGGCGGAACAGTTTGTTCAACGGCCTTCGGGTCATTGACAGGCGTATTCTTTGGCACCTTCCACACCGTGGACCTATCTTTTCATCACGTATTGGGTCAAAGACTCGTGCTTGGAGAAGAGAAAGTGTAGTTCTTGCAAAGCGTAATGGAGATCCCGCTCTCGGAACATGGAACCATTGTTCAAAGCTTCTGACTATCCTGTCTGATGCACCCAAATGAAACACCGGTGAATTGTTTCCCGAACCTCAATCTCTTTATCACGTGAAATTGACTAAAGCCAATCCCTGAAGAGCAGGCTGAATTTCCCTTGGTTACTTTTCACTTGAAGCAAACAGGTATCCTGAGTGGTTAAAATCTCACGTGGTATAACTATTAAGGACTAGTCTGATTTCACGGTTCCAGGGCCGATTTCGAAATTACATTTCGTCTTCCCTAATTTTCCTTAGTACTGCAAATAAGTCAAACAATAGAGCCTGAGGGCCTCGAGAATCTGTATTTAAAAATTAATTTGAACCTCCTGCGTATATATAGCCTCTTTCGTTCCTATAGAAATGATAGCCAAGATTTCAGATAGGCTTCGCTAACATAACCTATAAATTAAGCGAGATCATCGCTTGAGGCTACCTAATGGTACATATGCGATGGATTCATCCGGTTGTGTCATTCGCGTTCCTCGAAGCCGCACGCAAGTTCGTTGCTATCGCTTCCAATCTCGAAGCCGCGACTATCAAGACTTTGGAAATTATTGTTAAGATCCTAGAAACGATTGTCAAGATGCTAAGAATGAAAGGAATTAGCGATAGACCTCACTTTCTGGTGGGTTAGAAAGGTACGATACTTTAAAAGATTTCCGACAATAAATGGAACGAAGTATATAAGGAGTAGGGCAGAAACGGTTTTGATTGCTTTGCCTGCACACTTTCCGCCGTCACCTTCCTTGGAGATGCATTTAACGACGTCTATTATATCGCCATAAACGCCAAAATATATGACGTATAATAATACCACGTTTGCAACCGTCCTCCGACTAAGCTTTATAGCTTGGTCTCTGGCGAAAGGTGCAATAAGAAATGCAAAGAAACATCCAGCGGAGCATGAAAGATATGTGCCAAGACGATGTTGATCACGTGCGCTCCGCACGTTCCGTCGCCGCCTTGCTGTGAGATGCATTGGTCAACGAGGTTTTTCGTATCGGCCCCTCCGAAATATCTCCCGTAGAATAGCACTGCGAACGTAGCCGCCCTCCAACTAAACTTCATATCGTAGGGCATATCGTAGGAAGCACGTCCGGCAATATGTCCGAAGAAATACCCTCCGGAGCATGTAAGATATAGTGCCGAGATGGTTGTGATTATGTGCCCTACCAACTCCCATTTGCCACCTTCATTCGAGATGACGGCTTTCGCGTCGGCGACCCCAAAATATCTCACGCAGGATAACACGGCAAATATAGCCCCTCTCCAATTGAACTTCGTATTATAGGGAGGCGGGGTATGTTCGCTAGAATCCGTTTGAGACATCTTCGTCTAAAACTCAGATAATTAGATATTGCCAAAAGTCTCTTATAAAAGGATAATATACTTGCCTTTGGAGGTCTTGCGATCTGCGCTGCCTTGAGTCGGTTAAGAAGTCGAGAAACAATGTAAAGGGGGGCGTGACGAATTTAGTTGGGGAATACTTAACCAATGGATATTACCCTAGTTCGTATAACTAGTGTATACAAAGATCGTTCCTGGCAATGTAACGGCAAGTCATAACACCAGAAACTATGGGCTGACATCCACTAGGTGCCTATTGGTGGTTTGGGGCGGATTGAAAGCCGACTATGTGGGGACTCGGTGCTGGTCCTTCCAATTACGCGACGTCAATACCTAGCTACTTGGAGGTGTCGGATGTATTGGATTTACAAGCGAATACATACTGAAAGATACTATCTAATCTACGTAAGAAGCAATACACGTCCAACTGACAGGGGTACCCCGGAAAAACTCCCAATATAGACTAGTGCGTCTTGGCTTTTGGGCTGGAGAATCAATCATAGAGTGTAGGTGGTCGCACCAGTTTCGGGACGCATTGTATGAAAGAAGAAACTTTACTGGTGTAGCAATGTTGAGGGTGGGTGTGCCAAAGCCGGATACTGACATTGTGGCAGAGTCCTACAATGTGGACACTCACAGGAAGACACGATATCGACCGGATCCAACGATGCTCCAGCCGATTAATAAGGATGGATATCTCAATTGAACTCCGGCTTGAGCACCTAGCTTCGTGAGCTTTTGTCTCAAGGTCGCGTTCCCATTCACCGTAGTCCTCATCCATTCTTTCCCAGAGTGCTACGAGGATGCGGCTTACATGTATTCTATGATCCTCCAGCTACACTGGAGTATGCCTAAGATGTCGTCATCCGCCCACTCCCATTCAGGCCACTCTTTTTTATTTTATTACAATTCCGTGTCCTCAACTCGCTCGTCATGGTTAGCAATCTTTGGGATCACATCCTGTAATCGTTTCGTTGGGTCTCGCGCGAACCCGATTAGGAAAGCCCATGGGATTCGAAGTCTCTTAAGCATGTATAAATTGACCATCGCATTCAAGGAGCCCTCCGTCTGAAGGCCAAGTCTCACCGTTACTTACCTCGATTTCAGCTAAGATGGTCGAATTCGTCAAAGAACTCTCGAACATGGGCCATCGCAGCAGCCCCGATCAAGTTCGAGGACAGGCTGATTGAAGTCATGGTTCAAGGTCATACCAGCTCCAACGAAGCGATTCAAGGTTCTGGGTAACTGAAAGCACTTCACCAAGAAATGCCTCCCTGAAAGAGCTCAGATCAAGCAATGTCAGACTTAGTGGGACAGGTAAGCGTGCCGCGGGCCAGGTAGATGTGACTGAGTTCTGGATCGAGGCCGAGATACGTTGAAACACTGGGTAGAAAAAAGAATGTAGAAATTTGCAGTATCCTTGACTCTTTCATCGGGCGGTCCGTCCTCGCCGTTCCAGCAGAGGAAAGACACATCTCCGAGGTGCTGAAAGTCGGGTGGAGTTACTCTTTGAGACAGGCCAGATCGGCATGGACTAGGAAAATCCTACACACTTAAACACCACTATCTTTGGCTGCGAAGTAAGGACGTCTGGCCATGACAAATATAGGACCTGAGAAGAGATTGCGAACCATACATACGACGCTGCGATAAATTCGTGACTTTGGGTAGGGTGGATAAGGATGATCGCAGACTGGTAGTCTTACGATGGGCGAGACAAGAACTCAACATAGCACAACTTTAGGATTGGCAATAATGAGACTTCAATTCCGATTCTAACGAGCGCAACTGCTGTGTCCGTCAATCATCCCTCACAGCAACAGTTCAACAAGCGGTACAACAAGAGTGATTCAGGCTGCCATTTCTAGATGATGATCTAAGTCTGAGATAGTCCGCTCACTCATGCTGAGGTTTCTATCGACATATATTATCAAAAGTTCCGGAGAAGGCTGACTTTCTTCTCAGCCTTCGGGGAGTTTATGGGTTTGAACAGTATGTCATGGACAGACCATCCATTCCTCCCCTTGATCGGTCCATGCTTATTCCAGAATTCGTCTTCCAAGTTGGAAACAAGAACATCTAGTCTTGCCTCTAAATGCAATACCTGTCTTGCGAATTGATCCGCCGCTGGTATAAATTGCTCCAGAACAGCCTTTTCATCATCCTCCGTTGGCATGCGAAGCCCAACTTGGAGCCCACGAAGTAAATGGTAGAGAGCGTTCATACTCTTGATTTCCTTGACATAGGCTTCAAGTAGCTCAATCACTGCTTCCAGCGAAGCGACTGATAGTCCATCAAACAGTCTCAGACTCCCAAGACCATCCGACCCACTTATCAGAGCTGCGCGCAGAGGTTGAAGTAAAGGAGTATCCATTGGTTTGCATCTTCTCCGGCCAATATTATAGTGGTCCTCAGGATTATCTCCACACCTATTGATAATTGAAGACATTCCTGCGCCGGCGAAGAGCTCAGCCAGGCGCTTCATGTGACTAGGCCCATGCTTGTCATTGACTTGAAAGATGCCTAACCAGACCTGGCGATACAGTGAGAATATCTTGCTTTCTAGCTTTTTTTTCCGGTGTCATGATCTCGGACGATGTTCGGGGTTCATTGACTTGCATGATGTCCGCCGATGGACCAGAGATATCCTGATGCGGCAAGTTGGGCTCGGACTTGCCGATAAAAAATTTCAGCATGATCGGGAGCTGCTTGAAAATGTTTCCCAGTGGATAGAAGGCGCTGGTGCCGAAGCGGCAATAGTAGTGGAATGAAAAGGTGCCGAGTATTCAACTCAGAGGGTGAGACAAGGTTATGATTATAATACCACTTGAGTCAGGGGGTCTACTGGTTTTCCTTCCTTTCGCCTGATGCGTGCTAGGCTAGGCTAGAAAGTCTCTAGTGAAGACGACTGGAAGTAACACCCGGTGCAATGATGAGTGTCTTTCACTCAAGCAACCGCTCGGACGTTCGTGGAGTCGCCTGTGCCTCGAATGGGCTTGCCTCGTCACTCGCTGTTCGTATTGAAATTCCGAGGGTCTTACAAGCGATCTGCTCCACCTCCGAACCCGCAAAAGTACTCGACATGGTACACAGCAAGAGGCTCGAGATTACAATTGAGTTTCTCTTGATGCGCATTTGTTCAATTCTTTACTTTGGTATTCAAGAATCTTTCTTAAATAAGCTGTAAAAGCATGAACTTAGCCCTCCATGATATGGCTAGTGGGCGTAAGCGAAGGCTGATATGCGGGCGGTTGTGCCAGATCGTCAGATCTACCAAGCGAGTCGCATTATACCATGAAACCTTTACTAGGAAGCGTCCTAGGCCTGCCGTATCCTTGATCTACATCTTGTCTTCAATTGACCCCCATCAAGTGGGCTAAATATGCAATAATATTTTGAAATTGGTATCTCAGACTCGTAAACGCCATAGAAACATGCCATCCCCAACTCCAACTCCACAAAGTGCTCCATGTCTAATATGCAAATATTTTTATAGAAATGCTTCCTTAGTCCCGTCTCGAAGTCGGAAATGCTTCTGCCAGAGACTCTGCTTCTTGCGGGTTCGTCCACTCCTCCAGTAGCTCGTGCGCCATGTCGACAGTCTCATCATCAATGCCAGCCTCTAGTACAGACCCGTCGCAAAAGGCAAGGCGGGTAAGTACCACGAGATGCTTTTGCTTACTTCCTGGCACACAAGCGAGCTTCTCTTGCATGTTGATGAATTGCCCGTGGCGCCGCATCACACCGAAAATGAGTCGCATCAGTCCGTTGACAAGGGCTACTCGTAGATCGTGCTCTGGTGGAGAGGAATATAGTGCGTCCAGCTCGTCATGCATTGACCGGAATAATCGTGGCAGTGCATTGGGATGCGCGGCGATGATGCTGCTACCGTGCTCTCGTCCTGGGGCTGTAGGGTTGAAAGATAGAGACTCTCAGCAAAAGCAGGACCTCGAATCGCATGGTGCAAATGTCGTGTGCGGTGTAAGGCTCCACGCCCTCGTCGGGTTGCGCGGACTCGCTCAGCATGTGAGTGAGACGATCTACGATATATCGTTGCACATCCGTTTGCTCTTGCTCAGAGGACATTATAGGACCGAATGAGTCTGGGCGGATACTGGTTGACAGTAGCTGCAAAATGAGCATAATGTCTTTCAGTGGCTGGGAGCCGTGCAACATCACAAGGATGAAAGTATGCCTTATATGCCTCCAGAGACTTTCGAGTGCGCCTTTCACATGCAAAAGTTCGCAGGCCATATGATAGAGCAAGCGTAGAGCCTCCGTGGAATCGACCGGCTGGAGATCGGCTTGTGGTGTCTGTCGAACCACTCGGGCTTTTTCTCGCGCAGCTGGAGAGTAGCGGAATCGAGGGACTGCGTTGACCTCGACAGAGTCTTGAAGAACACCGGCCAATGGAGCGATGAGGTCTAGGAGTGGAACATCATCCATCATGAACACATATCTGGTAATTGAAGCAAATCGAGGTACAGGATCATAGAAACGCTCTGTTAATGCACGCTGCCAGAGAGGCCCTATAGCGTACATGTAATCCAGCAAGTAATTGTCGAGATCTAACTTGACCAACTGGTCCATGAGAATGCTAGATAGCGGTCGACTCGGCTCTGAGGGGAATGAGTATTTGGTTAGTGCTTCCAGATCGGTTTCTTGGCCTGGAAACATGCGATGATTGAGAAGTCGTTTCAAAAGTTGATGATCGCGGCCGTGGGTCCTTCCTGGTGAGTTGCGCTCTGCTTCAAATGAAGACCCGGCGGTGTCGTCGGGTGCGTCGCCCATCATTATTTCTCCAGCCGGACTCAATTGCAGTGCTGGCGCACTATCCACGCTCGCTTGTCGTTTCCGTTTACCAGGGACTGTGGGCGTGGTTCTCTTTGATCGTGTGGCTGACTTGCTGGGTGAGATGGCGGCGATTTCGTCATCATCGAACCCATCGCGAAAAGGCAGTACTCGAGACTTTTTGGGGGTGACTGGCGGAGCTTTCTCCTCAGCTCGGTGCTTGCTTTTGTAGTTGCGGAGCTGATGAGCTTCCTCGGCTAGGTCATGCTGGAGGAAGATGTTCTCTGTCGCTAACATTTTTCCCTCCGACATTGCCGCCTCGACCTCTTCCCTGTGTTTGGTGGCCTCATCCGTCATAGTCTTTCTAAGCGCCGCTAATTGTCGGTCGTATTCTTCAGCCATTCTTGTCTGTTTTGACCGGATGATTGCGATTTCCCCAGCTTTCGTTTCTGCTAGCATTTTGGCTTCGGCGAGCTCGCGGCGCATTTGCTCTCGTTCTTGTTCCATCTATGAGTCTGTTGTCAGCCATTGGATCTGGAAGGTAGTTCACAAGTCACTCCTTACCTGTTCCAGGCGTGAATTCAGCTCATGAGCATTTGCTTGACCATACTCATCATCTACCTCCATAACATCGTCCATTCCACCATTGCCGGACCAATCGTCGTCAGCGACAAGAGTATGGTGGCCCTGCGGAAGTACGGACTGTCCGTCCACATAGTCGTGGATCTCCGCCTCCAATTCTCCCACCTCCAGTGTGTCATAGTCGTTTGTCAATCCTGTGTGTAGTCGCGGCGGCGGTTTCAATGTTGCGGGCGCACGAGCTGACGGACGAGCTTGAACGGGTTCAGTTAGAATCGGCTGGTCATATCGTTGAGTCGCAGGCGCTTGGGTGGCCTGGAAAGCGTTTTGCTCCAACTGGTACAAGGTACCTGGAGGCAGGGAATCGAAGTCATCGGAGAAGTAGTCATCGTCGTTGTCTTCCATGCCCCCGCCATGAATGGAGTAAAAGGTAGTGGAGTTATAAAGGACACTTCAAGTTCGGCGTAGGGACCATAGTGTGGAGAAGAAGAGGCGCAGCCGTGACGCGAACAAATCGCAACCGTGTCAACGAAGCTGACCGCTTTCGGATTCGCATGAGCTCACTTCTCTCCGCTCCACTCCTCTTCATTTGCTTCAACGATCTCCCCGTCCCCCTCTCTCATTTTTTCACCCATCATGCCTCGTCGCAATATTAGGTTTTCTCACCAAAAAGGTGAGCGGCGCGCGAGCGTGTCCTCCGATGTCAGCGATGCAACCTCGGAGCCCTCCAATCCAAGCAACGGCCGCGTCTCGAAGCAGACCACAATCCCGGAAGAGGATGTGAGTTTTTAAGTCTCGATTGACCTGGGGAATATAGCTGACCATGATATTTTCCCGTTGGTTCCGCAGAAACCCGCTCAATCTGAATATGAGAAGAAGAAACAGACCTTCATCACCCGAACGATATGGACCTTCGTGATGATTGCTGGCTTTTTCATTGCGATGTTCTCCGGGCACATCTATATTATCGGCGTTGTGACTGCCATTCAGATTGTTTCCTTCAAGGAAGTTATTGCCATCGCCAATGTCCCCAGTAAGGAGAAGAACTTGCGCTTCACCAAATCTCTGAACTGGTACTTCCTCGCGACGACCATGTATTTCCTGTACGGAGAGAGTGTCATCTACTATTTCAAGCACATTCTGCTTGTGGATAAAGTTCTTTTGCCTCTGGCAACTCACCACCGATTCATCAGTTTCACTCTCTACGTCATGGGTAAGTAGTGAATCTAGTCTTATCTGAATTGGATCATTTGTACTGAGACTGCCAGGCTTTGTCTTCTTCGTTGGATCGCTGCAGAAGGGACACTATCGATTCCAGTTCACTCAGTTCGCCTGGACACATATGGCGTTGTACCTCATTGTCGTCCAAGCTCACTTCGTCATGAACAACATTTTCGAGGGCATGATCTGGTTCTTCCTCCCCGCCGCGCTGGTCATCACCAATGATATTTTCGCCTACGTCTGTGGTATCACCTTCGGACGCACTCAGCTAATTCAGTTGTCTCCCAAAAAGACCGTCGAGGGCTTCCTCGGCGCGTGGATCTGCACCGTTATCTTCGGATTTTTCATGACCAACATGTTGATGAAGTACAAGTACTTCATCTGCCCGGTCAATGATCTGGGAGCGAATGTCCTGACTGGCCTCGAATGCGTGCCCAATAAGGTGTTCATTCCCCAGCCCTACTCCCTCGATCTGATCGGCCTGGACAAGACTTTCATGATTGCCCCTATCCAATTCCACATCCTCTGCTTCGCTACGTTCGCCTCTCTTATTGCTCCGTTCGGTGGATTCTTCGCTTCTGGCTTGAAGCGTTCCTTCAAGATCAAAGATTTTGGCGAGTCGATCCCTGGCCATGGTGGCATCACCGACCGCATGGATTGCCAGTTTATTATGGGCTTCTTCGCCTTCATGTACTACCACAGCTTCATTGCCGTGTCCAAGGCTACTGTGGGTGACGTGATTGAGGTCGCCATCAATGGCCTGACCCCCGAGGAGCAGATCGACGTTGTCCGCGGCCTCAGCAAGTACCTTGTCAATCAAGGTGCTGCTGCGGAATCAGTATGTTTTCAAGCTAATTCCTCGTTTATGATAAGTCACTAATTTCCAAAGCTCCTTGACTGCCTTGCTACCGAGCTTAAGCGCCGATGAGTTAATCAGCCCAGACGCCATACACAAAAATCACGACTTCACTTACCGTTTCCTTCAACCTTCCTGCCGAGGACGACCTTTCGACGTCGCGCTTCTCGCCTCATTTAATTATTTCAATAGATTCTGTCGTGTCCACATCCCCACCTCTTCCTCTTTCTCCGGGATTACTCCCCCGCGCGGTTTTACGAGTAACATGCATGGATGCACCGCATGCATGCATAACATGATTTGTAACTACCGGTCTATTTCGCCTTGTACCACGACATGATCTCACTTTCACCAATACCAAGACGATTGGCAAGGCTTTCAACCAGACCCAGTCAGTTCTTGGTCCACGTTTGAGGCAAGGGAATGATCTTGTGTATCACTGCTATTTTTGTTACTCTTGCTACTCTTTTGGTCCGCCTCCCTTTCTATATTCTTCCGCCTTTCGGATCTGGGCTCGGATTGGTTCTCTACTTGATGATTTTGCTTTCGATTACAGAAGTGGCCTGGTGTTTTTGGCACTCTCAAGTGCTCAGAGAACTCCGATTTCTCTCTATTGCATGCAAGAATGGAAGTCAGCATCAGACGCAGGATGGTCAAGTCTGCTTTTCTAAGATTGCTCACATGTGGCGGCGAACACGAGCTGCAAAATTTGTACATAGCTTCTAACTCACACGCTGAAGCTGATATTATCTTCAACTCATTTCCTTCGTGTACAACGGACCAGGTTGGGTCTATTAGCGGCATCTGATTTCATAGAGTTTTGATTCCGGGAAGACGAACTCCTGGCACGTGCTTGGCCGTTAGGTCCGTCATGGTTCAGAAACAGTGACTGCGTCTGGACCCTCTCTGGAACCGTTCTCCGAACTTTCAGGCTCACTCAATATCCAACCGCCCATGAAGAGCAAAATCGGGATAGCCGATACCACGGCCATCAACCCTAATGCCCAACTCATCGGGCCCCAGCCAGCTTCTTGACGAATGAAACCAGCAAAGAAAGGTCCAATGAGATTGCCTGCAGAGAATCCCATATTTGTCAAGCCGAAAGCCAACGCCGTAGCTCCACCAGCACCGAAAGCACCAGGTCTTTGCTTCTCCTTTTCCTCAACGATGTTGAATATCTCTACATCAAGAGGGGGTAACGTCACAGACAGACAGAGGCCAATGCCACCAAGGAGAGCGCATAGTACGATCTTGTCATGCATAGAGTTGTCCGTTACAAGTTGCAGAAGGACGAGGAGGGGTGCTATCATGAAGAATGCCCCGGCGGTAATAAAGCGAGCCGATCGTGGGAATCTGTCGATGATATACCCAGTCACCGGATCAAAGACATGGGGCACAATAAGAGGGATGAAGATCAATCCCTGGCCACTTTGCTGCCATTGGAAGACCCCCTGCACGAACAATGGGAGGACACTGTCGAAGGAGGATAGAAACAGTGCAACGACAAAGTTCCCCCAAAGAGCTGCCATAAGACGCGACGAGCTAAGCAGGAAGCCCATGCGCTCAAGGACGCCATGAAGAGGCGAGTCTGTCATATCTCCTGGCTCAATCTGCGCAAACACAAGTGGTCTCATCTCCGGCTCAAGCCATTTGATCGCATCCTTTCTCTCAATCAGAATAAATCGCAGGAGGACATCGAGCCCTATTAATCCAAACGCAAGACCGAAGACAGAGTAATATCCGCATTTCTCATACAGGACACCTCCGAGGAGCGGTCCTGTGAGCGTTCCAACACTGGAAGCCATCGACAGATACCCAAGAGCTTGGCCCAGACCATCTCGACCAACAGCATCAGCCATCAACGCAACTCCAACAATCCAAACAACTGCTCCCGCAGCTCCCTGAAATAGCCGTCCAGCAATCCAGAATCCGAGAGTTGATCCGATGGATAGCAAGCCTGTTGCTGCGGCCAGTGCAATCAGACCAAACATGTAAGGCCATTTCCGCGATCCGGCTCGATCCGTGGCGTATCCGACAATGGGCGAGAAAGCGAGCATAGATGCCGAGAACAAACCAAGAAGAATTGATGTCCATGCTTGTATTTTTTCAGGAGGAACGCCAACTCGTTCTTTCAACGCGGTTGGTGTCACGGGCACGATCAGACCGTACATGAAGATATCTGTGGCGCAGGCGAAAGACACGACGAATATAATGAACCATTTGGAAGATCTGAGCTCCACAAACCTGGGCCGTGTAGCCTTGTCTGATGATTTTAACGGTCCCATGGCTGAGACAGGCGGTCAAATCACTCTAGAGGTGACGTGGGCCTTTAAAGATTTGCGTACATAGGATGCACAGGGAGCAGAAGTGGTATTTGAACAGAGTGAAAGTCTTGGAAAGGATTATTTAGCTCACTTGCACTCCGACGCTTATGATTCAATGTGGATGTAAGGGATCAAACATGAATTGGCGAACTCCACAGCCCGAGGAAGCGCATCGAACATCGATCCGCTTTGGGCATTGCGCTACGCCACATCGAGTGCCCAACTCCACCTCGCATCGGTCACCTTGATTTTATACCCTGAGCAACCTGAATCTGAAAGGTTGATCACGACATATCACAATATTGCTCTTCAGAGGAAGCAGGCTCACGAGTCATGATTTTCCGACATATTTCTTATGCTTGAGGCTTCAATAATCTATTCAACGCAAATGGCAGCGGTGTTAACGCTCATACTCGTCGTCACTCCACAATCACAGGGCTGGGTTTTCAAAAGCACCGGTGTTAATCGTTCAAGTATCGATATGCCCGTGCCTTCTCGAATAATGCTCAATGGCGGATTGGGGCGGACTCTAAGGGTCCGCTGCCAAGCAAAACTGGCTTAAAGTCCACCCCATGCCAAGCCAGAGGAGTTGATGCTGCCTTGAAGTCTGTGTTCTGAAATTGTCGCCGGTCGCCGAAGCAACAATTTTTCGTTGAAGAGTCCATTGAAGAACAGTGCAGTCGATTTTGAAAACAGATTACCCCTTGGACACACTGACTTTGCTTCTCAGCCCGTACACTCTTCGATCAACTTTCCTGTCCTTTGCGCTAAGACACACTAGTCTATATCAGGAGTTCTTCCGGAAGTTGCGTATGTCTTTATTCGTACGTAGGTTATATATGCTACCTCTACGCGCCTCTTCCAAAATAGCCTTCCGTAATGAGGCGTATCTAAGCAATTAATTATATACAGTGACGAACTATCTGTATCGGAGATAGTAGATTCGGCAGATTTGAACTTAAGGCGATATCTCTCCAATATTTATATTATAAATTATAAATAGACGAACAGCTATTCGAGCAACTGAATCGAAATCATAGGAACTTGAAAGGAATGATAAGTACCTCGAATAACTACCCTCTAAAAAGCTTGTGTGCTTCTCTAGATCACATCCAGTACCTGCCCGTGGAATCTGATAGCTGAAACCACGACCCTAATAGATTCGCCTATACGAAATACAGTTACGCTGGGCTAGATACTAACATCCAATTATTCCTTTTCACCTAGCCGCAGTACTTAGACGTCTTTGGCAGGAAATTGGGAGCGAACTCATCGCTATACGCCTTAGCTACTAACTTCCGTTTCAATAATCTTATCTAGCACTAAGCTACGTAGCTATTATTAATGAATAAGTAGTATAGGGAATATACTATATTTTCTTTACTGTTAAGCTTCTGCAGAGTCATAAAAAGGTCTGTATCTGATCCCTCAAACATACTTAGCGTAAGATAGAGATAGGTAGTTCTAGTGATCTCTGTTAGTAAGGAGAATACCGTTTACAAGGTAACGGGTCCCGTTATTACCTCGTATATAAGGTAGTTTATGCTAACTAGAGAATAATCTATTAGTTAACTACTATAAGAGAGGAAAAACTTAGTTCTCTTTATTCTAGCGAGTGAAAACTTATTCTCGCTTCTCTAGCTACTAGCGTAAGCTTTTTCGGTAATATAAAGACGAACCGGAGGCTAAAACTCCACTGACGCAGCTAATTTACCATTAGGGCCGTTAAGTATACTGTTAAAGAAAGTAGCCTAGCGTTCGAGGGGCTCTAGCGTAAGCTGCCACTCCTATTTAAGATACCTACTTTTATAGACGTTAGTAGCTATCTAGGGCCGGTCCGGGGCTATTAGAGTACGTACGGGTGTAATTCTATATATTTCTGAGAAGACTGCCCAGCTAAGAAGCCCTGAATAGAACTAAGGGTATAAACTCCGTTATCGTCAAGGCTCGAAATAAGATAAACAGGATAATTGGCCTTCTCAACGTCTGGGGTGGATAGTTGCTAGAATATATCGTAGTGAGGATGTTCTTGGCGGCCTCGTGAAGGTCGATAACGGCACTTCCCTTTGTGTCCAACTCTTACCCAAGCGAGCGTTACACGAGTAAGAGTGGCCCGATCCTCCCCCGAGCCGGCGACGTATCTAGTAGAAGACCGCTGTCTGCGAGGGAAGCGTACTCGATGGGCTAGCTGGGACGAGATAGATAAGCGCAGAAGAAAGGTTCTTTGCCTACACTGCGCGAGAAACAGATGTCGGGTTGCAATTTATCCTCTGAAACCTGCGCGTCGTCCCGAAGAGCAGTTAAGAAAGGTTAGTATCGCCACTACCGAGGAGCGTTCCCGAAAGACTAGAGGTTTAGCACCGAAGGGCACCCAAGTTAAGAAGGTTAAGCAAGCGTATTCATCCCGCGAACCAAAAGAATCCACTCCTGAGGTCTCAGAGGTCGGGAAAGAATAGCTTCTGCTCTCAGTCGCGAACAGGAGCGGAAGGGAATCAAGGACTTAAACGAGAGCAAAGAACCTTTAATGTAAATATACGTCTGCATTTGGTGCTAAGTAACGAAAGAAAGCCTAGAGAGAGAAAAAGAAGAAGGGAGGATGTGGGGGAGCTGCCTTCATAGCTAACACCGGCCTGAGACATCCTTTCGCCAGCAAACTTCCCAATTCGGAAGTGCGTCCCTCCATTGTCAACATCCAAACAACATCCCACCAACCAGTTGCCACTCTGCCTCCAAACTGTAACAGGTAAGATGCCTTAGAAAACACTTAGGAACCTAATGAGAATCTTATGGGCTACCACTAGCTAGTCTCACAGTTCTACTAGCAAAAAGGGAAGGACTCTTAAGCAAGGCGTCGCCATAGATATCCCAGAAAAACGGGTAACTAATTAAGGGACGTCATAAACAGAGTTAAACTAGCGTCCTCGGACGTCGCCACTACTTACCGAACCTCTTGCAGTCACATTGCCAAACTTCCTTTGTCTCATCTTGCCAGACCGTTATACCTACCAGAATGTTGAAAAAACACAATTAAAATTATCATCAATATCAACATAACAACAACCTCAATCCTTTTACTTATCTCATCTATTGATTCAGTCCGCTAAGCTGATATTCCTATTGCGCCATTAAATCATCTAGATATCTCATAACCTGCTAGCTTGCTCACAATATATTTCCATAATCACTAGCTAGAATATTAAGCTTCTAAGTTTAGTCCCCCAGCGTACTTGACCTTGAAAATCTAATAGGTTATTAATTAGTCTAAAAGAATACAAAATTATTTCTTATATTTTCAAGAGATTTTTGCTACGAATACGTGGTACTAGGTAGTATAAACCAGGGCAGATATAAATAACAATATGTTATCTTGATGATTGAGCAGCTTTGTGAAAGAAATTATGCAAAAGTTGGGTCTTTATGGGTCTTTATGGGTTTTATTGGGCCCTAGCATTGGGTCCGGGTCGGGTCCGGGGTCGAGAAAGTTCAACCCAGCCTGGGTCTGGGTTAGGTTTTGGGTCGAGACCTTCGACCCAAGTTGGGTTATGCGGAAGTCTAGACAGCACCTGGCCTCTCATCGGCCGTTACGGGCGCAGCACGCCAGGATCTAGGTGCGCTCTGGCAGATACTAGGTTTGCTCACAATCAACTATTCACGACAAGAAGAAGACTAGGGCGTCATCAGACGACCTGTGTAAGTAAGTTGCGATGTAATGGATGACTGATAACCCGTCTACTAGTTGAACCCATCTATGCGAGCAACCAGTGCCATCTTCTGCCAAACAGCACTACGTGAGTCCCAGCCAAACCACCGGAATCACGGTGAGCGTATCTGGGTCATCACCATTGGAAGAAGAGCCCTCGTTCGGGCACAGATTGAACCACGTCTGCGCCGTATTCTCCAGCGAGTCCACAACATGCATATCCGCGCGGCCATCTCCATCCAGATCCGGATAATGCATGCACAACCCCTGCGCATTCCCATGTACACACGGCCCTCGCCATCCCACGTGAAGGCGCTGCCATCGACCGGCGTCTCCCCCCGGTTGTAGTAGATGTATCCGTCTCCGTCGAACTTGTCCACCCATAGCAGATCGGCGCGGCCGTCGCCATTAACGTCTGCCCATCGTAGATTGGCTCTATCTTTATCCTCGGACTTTTTGATCTGCGAGAGGTACACCAGGTCGTTCGCGCCGTTCAGGTAGCCAGAGGCAAGACCATTGGGCTGGATGCAGAGCAAGTCTGCCCTGCCTTTGCCGTCGATATCGGCAAAGCGTACAGCAAGATCGTAGATACCCACACCTCGCTTCTCGGGCAATCAATATCGTAGCCCGACGTATCCGCTTCAACCCACTGATCAAAGTTACCGTTTGCCTTGTACTGATTCAGCCATATCCTCAGGCTGTTGTCGCCCGGGTTCACGTAGATGATATCGCACAACCCATCGCCATCCCAATCTGCCAAATGCAAGTCCCGCCGGTCGATCTCGGCACCGGCATAATCTGTGGCGGCCCAAATCTGATAGTGCGGGCCCCAATATGGAGGGTTCACAGGGAACGTGCCGCCCAGGCTCTCGTAGAGCATCATCCACCCGCTCGAATGAACCCAGACGTAGTCCATTGCATGATCACTGTGGCCCATCATGTTGCAGTATTTGTCTCCGTCGGCTGTCTGACATTAGCAGTCCGTCTCAGCAAGCCTAATGTATGACTCAACCTACCTTTCAGCTTTGTCGCTCCGCTGCCCGTGTTCTTCCAGACGTTGACGAGATAGTAGCTTTGTTGCTGGGTAGTAGACGCAAATTCCCGCTTCCACAACGGTAGTCGATGGCACAACTGGTATTATCTGTTGGGAGCCCGCCACGTATAGCGACTACTCCGACCTTCAAGCAAGCACGACCATGACAATTACGGAACCAGCAACGTTGAGCGACGGTAACATCGTCATGGAAACGGAAGCCGTCGGCTTGTATGCGGGCGGCGTTGCCTGGTATCCAGCTTGTGAGTGACGCAGGTCTCTTCGACTCCCTCCCGAGCTAACCCCCTGCTAGGTCTTATCGGCCCTCCAGTTATCTTGGCGCTGATTGCAGCTCCAGCAGCTCTTCCGCCGGGAGCCAGGGCTGACAACAGCGGAATGTGAAGGAGACGATCAAATATGCGATGACTGCGGTGGTGATAGTAGCGGACTAGGACTATGCTCGGAACCCCCGCAGGCAGGTTGCCCGTGCCGCGAGAAAGAGGACTGTCCCAACGAGCCAATGCTCTGCTCTGACCCTGATTGCGGTGGCGATAATGGCCAGTCACAGTGCGCGGGAAGCGGCGATATCAATGGGTGTACATGCTGTCCTGATACGCCGCCTGACTGCACTGATAATGCATGTGGCGGAGGAGATGACCAGGCATGTAGCGCGAGCACGTACGATAAGTGCATCTGCACTTTTGTCGGAGACGGGAGCCTACTTCGTGAGCCTCCTCCGGCAACGACGACTTCTGGGCAATGCTACTACGAAGTCCTAGCCCAGAGCGTCCTGAGTTCATATTATAACAATAACCCTGCAAGCGTTCCGGGTCTTGATTTTGCCGCATTTGCCACAGTTAATGCTTAGTAGCTGGAGAAACGTTCAATTTCGCTTCATGTTTTCGAGTATGAAAACTTTCTTCAATAGCTCACTGGGGAGGAGTTGGTGGGATCAACACACTGGGCTACATTAATGTGAACAAGTGTCTGTTGCTCAAGATTGTAACGACAGACTACATAGCTTAGCAGTCTGAACAGAAGTGGGAAGTCACGATGTTATTGCCCGAAATTTAGCACAATTTATGCCACATCGACACGCCCATATCCAGGGAACGAGCCGGAGAGGCTTTTCTGTCGTAAGGCATTCGCAGACAGAAGTACGGGATGGCCCGGGTCTGTGTCTCAAATGTCTCAGATTTCATCCATCGCCAGGATATGCCGGACTCCTCTCTACCTAGCGCCAAAGAGCGATGATAGAAGCCACCTAGGTTCATATAGGTTCCACCCCTACGGAAAGATCAATTTACTCCAATTGAATATACAAAGAGATAGCAAGCAGCAGAAGCTCAGTGAATTTTTGCTATGTTTCTTGTCCCAAGCTTACGGTGTGATAAAGACCGAGGTAAATCCCGAGTTCTCTCTCATTATTTCCGTAGACACATGCGGGTGCTTTGGCAGTATACAGTTCCCTTCTAGCTGCCTGAATCGGCAAGGCTACTTCTTTGATGTACGATATGGGTATGGTTTAGTGAGATACGAGGATAATCTATTTCAAATCAGCAAGATAACAACTATAACTCATGACCTCTTCGTTTCCATCAACATCTGTCTTCTTTAGTAGTATAAGCGCTAATGCGAGTTGAACTGTGGATGGTTTGTGATGGCATTTGTAACGTACTAGTTTAGTTCAGAGAAGTCCCGGCGCTCATATATACGTAATGTAACCCTACTCGCAAGAGTTTCCCAATTAGCCTGATTCAGGCGCCCTGCATGAGAGGGTCTTGCTCATTTCCCTTACCATCGCCTGTGTGTCTGGCTCATAAACGTGTGATACAAGCATCACGAGTATGTGGTAATTTAAAACTCGTAATGCAAGCACACGCCCCTCCCCTGTTTATTGCCCAAGTTGTATAAGCGAGCCTCGCAGTTGCCCCGCATGGTTTTAGAACCAGAGGCCCTAGGAACTAGGGCAGGACTTCGCTATTCGGTCTCACTGCTTAATGGCTTCTGAGTGCTTGTTTAAAGGACTGCTATGAAGGCTAGACACCTTGCCACTACGCCGCGCATTAGCCTTTTGGCAGCACAAGTCTTCCCATCCGCTATCATGGGGTTAGTGGATCCGCTATGTCTTACAGCTACCGCTCTCAAGATACTTGGCGCTCAAGCTACCGTGAATTACATCTGCGAGGACGCGGACTTGCTTGATTCCCTGCATAATGGTGTCAAAGAATCGCTTCAAATGGCACAAGGTAAGGAGGAGAACGGCTGTTTGCTAGCCATATTTTATCTTGCACGCCTTCAAATACATGACTCGATCTAATAGGCGCCTACGAGACATTGAGTCAACCACTCAACAATTGGGTTTCCTCCGGGCTATTGCCTGTCCTCGATAATGCAGACCTAGCCGACGTTGCAACTCTATTTACGAGGATGACGAATATCATCACAGCTGATGAGATATACGACATCTACTGTGATGGGAGCTTTCTGACGTACCATGACAGTCTCGGCGAATGGGTAGATGCTACCTTTACTTACCCGACCGCCGGCCCTGACGGCGGTGTGGTACGCCGGCCGGTCACTGTTCAAACCGGTATCACTGACCCGGATGTCTCGCCAGTTTCAGGCACGCTGGGTTGGACCCTATTGGGGACGTATATTGAGGCCGATGAGAGTCAGGGTCGATTGCAAAAAGACTATAGCGACCAGCGGCACATCTATATCTCCCCAGATGTTCTCACAACCAACTCAAATGATGGCTTCTATAGAAGACCAGTTTATACTATTGCCTCTCAAGGGTTCTTGAATGGTGAAGGGACTATTCATATTGACGCATTTGATCCTCCAAGTATTACAATATTTCATGACGTACGCTATCAAACAAGTCATACTTCGCAGAATCCCTACATTCTGATAATGATTGATTGGTAGCTTACACACGCCGTTGGTGGTTGTAAGTTGTCGCAGGATGTCCTTCGCGGGCGCGTATCAGAGAGCTAATGTTTAAAAGGGGATAGTACTACTAAACAAGATGTCGTTTGGGACAGAGCGAACGGTGATTACTACGGATGGGAGGGCGTTCTTAGAGCCAGGCAGGCTCGTGAACCAGCGATTACAGTTGCGGAGACGCTCACATATGTTGCCAAAAGTGAGTTGAACACCCAGACCTCAGTGTTTGTCGGGCTTCACCACAACGTCCTTCGTTCTAACTCTTGGGCCCGTCGGCAGTTATTGCATTGTCAGAGGTGGGTGGAGAGCCTGTCTGGTGGGGCCTCGGTAGTATTAACGCGGCGAATCACCTTGCTTTGCTGAGAGAAGTGTGATAGCTTTGATGGAGAGAGCGACGTTTTTACAAAGATGAAGGATTTGCTTGGGGAATCGAAAAAAAAAAGCCCTATAGTGGTTAAGAGAGTGGATATCTCGGGTACACCGCGAGCCGCAACAATAAGTTCCACCACGTTAGTAGGTATGACCGAGGCTATTCGGAAAGACGAAAGCATAGTAAATCTACGGATATAGTGCACACGCAAACGACCTACTGCGCGAAGCTCGAGATAGCCTCGAGGCTAAGGCAACCCTGCGAAGACGTCATACCTCATTAGACAATCTAATCTTGAAAGGCTAATAATGCAAAGGGGCAGAGAGTACACTATCGAGACAGCCTTGTTAATTGTAGACGGAAGTGGGCCCATTAAGTTTGGTCGCGCTATTTATTGTTGGACTGGGTTGCCTGGCAGGGATGACTCGAACGTGGAACCCCGCTTCGCGTCCTGCATTACAACCAGCTGAAGACCGCTGGCCTGGGAACATCTCGACAAGACGCATCAGAGGCTAAAATCGCAACTCGAAAGGAAGAGATACAGTAGGCTTTTGTGGTTGAAGGGAGAACGAAGTCAAACTAGGTAGCCATCACGGAGGTCCCGCGCTACATGGCGGGCTTGAGCAACGACATCTGGTATCTCATCCTCCAAAACGTATGCGGCCATACCTCGATCATTAAAAACTACCGGGCCATGGACTGACAACTGGCGCAGCTCGATTCTAGGAGAGATTTCCGCAATCTATGTCTAGTGTCGAAGGATTTCTGCGCCTTGGCCATTCCCCATTTATATGGCAATCTCGTGATCGGTCCAAGAGTGCAAACAGCACAAGAACGGTTCCAGAGTACGTTGTCCGGAAGCTATGATGGAACGAAATCGCGGAAGACGCAATGGAGGCAATTCCTCGCGTTAGTGGTCCGCTTATCGCAAAATCCTGACGGATAAGATGCGCATGCTGTGCGTGAAGTAGATATTGCCTACTTCGGCGCAAAGGAGCAGCATATTGCGGCAGGCTTTGAGCGAGAAGATGGGCTTGTAGCGCTGGTGAAAGCTCTACCAAATCTAGCGCATTTCCGGTACGTCGCCCGCCGGCTATCAACGCATTAGTCGCTCACCATAACATTATCAGGCTGCGCTCGTCGAGACCTAATTTCGAAGCCTTAATCCGCGCATTAAACGAGCACGCCAATAAGCCAGAGCTTCACTTGCTTCACGAAGACGGGTCAAGAGTCGCTGCGGGCCCCTTAACGTGCGTAAAAACCATCCATGCCAGGGTGAACCCGCTATTCGACACCCACGAGAAGCCGAATCAACACATTTCAGGTCTTCAGCAACTGTTCTTCGCTTGTCAAAATTTGAAGTCGTTCTCCCTTGCGTTATCCGGCAACTATGGGGGATGTGTGATACGGATGCCCTCCCATCCGCCGGTCTATTCCTTCGAGCTCTCGGGCGAGGAGAAATTCCCGCCATTGGAATCGCTGTCGCTGGATGGATACCGCATGACAGATAAGGAGCGGGTGCACTGGCGAGATAAACTTGACTGGTCCAACTTGCGATTCCTCAGCTTGGGGCCTCAAAAGCACACGGATCTGCTGAATTACTTCACTGGGCATGCCAACGCCCTCCGCAGTCTCACGGTGCAGATGTGGGCCGGAGAAGGCCGGGATCACTGCCCCGAGCTAGAGAGATTCGTCCGGTCTTTCAATACCCTAGAGCAGCTCACAATCAAAGGGCATTTCGCGTCCATCAAGACGTTGAGTAACCACCCCAGACTTAAGCAGTTATGCCTGCACACCATTGAGCTCCCGAGGGATGGTGGTGCCACCCGTCCAACATTTAATCTCGACGACCTAGTCGAACTCGATGCAAACTGCCCACAACTCGGAGTACTGGAGATCGATGTCGATCGTCGCACTGAAGTGGTGAGTACGGCCTAGAATACCGCTTCTATCTCTTCACTAACACTCCAGCCTAGCCAGCCGAGGTCATAAAAGCGCTAGCAACTAGATTCAACAACCTCCGCCACTTGAAACTGCATCTCGAGGTCGGAATTAACTGGGAAAATTCCATGGGGCGAGGCCGCAGACCAAACCATCGAAGGGTGCTGCTTCCCGAGCTTGATGAAGAAATGGCAAAGGCATTCGGGCAAGACTTCTTCGCTTGGCGGCCAGAATCGAAGCTGCAGACACTCTCATTGGAGACAGGAGAAAAACTACGACGATTCCGCCAGTGGCCGCCTGCTTATAAGAGCGACGAGGAAAGCGTGGCCAAAACAGTGCATATACGGCGGCCGGCGAGTCATAATGGAGAGCTTGTTATAGAAGTAAAGCGTGAGTGGTTCCCCCTTGGTTATAGATCAGCTGAAACTTCAATTTAGCATCAACCTAACTTGTTTTTTCCCGTCAAAGCTCTTCGCCATATTCATGCCACACCACGTCCACCTACTATTAGTGATGAACAAGTACCCGTACGAACTGGTACAATTCGTGATACCGGGATGCCTCCCAAGTCGGTTGTCGTCCTAGGAGCCAGCAAAACTGTCCCTGCAGCGGCCACACAGAGAGAAGGGGAGAGTGGGGAAAACGTGGCTTTGTTTACATACCCTTATCCCATGGGTGTGATTGGGATTTGGCGTATTCCAATCATTTCGTATGGCTAGGGTACTTGGGCAAATCCCAATCTGTTTTTTGGTGACACTTTACCCCAAAAATCTCACCAGTTGGGTACTTTAGAATCGTCTCTAATGCTCCAAATTTTTAAAGCGATCAAGAGTAAGAAAGTGCAATCTTGGCGCGGTTAAAGTTGGTCAATATTTTTTTTTGGTGGGGTGCGACCGCAGCTCCCTAGCGGGAGCTAGAGTGCTTAGGGTTATCAGTTATCAATACATCGAGATTAGTTAGGCATACGACTATTAAAGATAATCGGGGTTTTTAGGGATAAAACTAAGGAGTAAGCAGATTATCTTATAGAGTGGGAGATCATTCGTACTGAAGTTCATCGAGTTCAAGTTAACCCACCGTTATCAATATCCCACCCGCTTCGTGTACGTCTAGCACGATATATGTCCACAGATCAGAGTTCCAAATATCCGCCCACTATGTCACCAGCAACCGCCGACCAGTTGTTTTTACGGTTGCCCAAGTATCGGGTGATTACATGTCGTCAACCCCAATACGCCGTCCGACCGAGTGGGCCGAGAAACAAAGTCAGTGTGTTCAAGGGGCAATCTGTTTTCGAAATCGACTGTACACGGCAGTGAAACGATCTAGGTGTGCAAATGGGGGCGTCGATGGTGATGAGTACAACCTTGCTTTGCATGTCGCGGCACTCTTCATTATCTTGGGTACATCAACTATAGCCTGTGCATTCCCTATTCTTGCAACTCGATTCCCACGCCTGCATATCCCAACTTCATTCTTATTCTTTGTCAGTCACTTTGGAACCGGCGTTCTGATCGCTACGGCTTTCGTCCACCTTCTTCCAACGGCAATTACTTCCCTCAGCGACCCTTGCTGATCTGATTTTCAGACGAAGGACTACCCGGCTATGCCAGGTGCTATTGCCCTAGGCGGGATATTTCTCGTCACTGTCATTGAGATGGTGTTTAGTCCCGCTCAAAAATATTTGCCGTGGTGGCAAACCTCACGAGACATGGCGAGAGCCTCCCTTTCATCACCAGGGAACACAATTCGCGAACACAACGAAGGAGTGGGAGATTGTCAATCAGCTTCAGTCTCAGACTTTGAATTCGCTTGGGCTAGAAGCAAGACCTCATTTGCGAGATACGGGTCCACTGATTGGAAGATCAACAAGTATTAGCAGGGCTATCAATTGCATGGGCGAAGGCTCCGAAGAGATCGGTCGAGTTGCATCTGCTCCGGAGATCCGAACCCATCATGGAGAGGAAAATGGATCAATCCAGATGCTGAACGCCGCGAAAAACAGTTAGACTTAAGTCCAGACCAGAAACAGAAGAAGGAGAAAATGCAGGTCTATCTTCTCGAGATGGGTACTCTGCTCCACGGTGTGTTTATCGGCATGTCTCTAAGTGTCTCTGTTGGTAACGAGTTTGTGATCCTCTTGATTGCAATTGTCTTTCATCGTGAGTATGCAATATAACTGCATCGATTATGATTCGACTGACTTGATACCGCAGAAATTCCGAAGGCTTGGCACTGGGATCACGAATTGCCTCCTTCCCTGGTCCGAAACACAAGTTCCAGCCATGGATCATGTCATTCGCATATGGCTGCACGTACGTCGTCTTCAAATCCTTACAGAGCCCGAGATGAATATTTGTATAGGACATCAATTGGTCAAGCGATAGGCCTCGCAACACACACGTTATACAGCCCCGACTCGGAGGTTGGCTTGCTTCTAGTTGGCGTCATGAAATGCCATTTCTGCCGGCCTGTCGATTTTCGCTTCGCTTATGGAGCTCATGTCCGAAGACTTCCTCAGTGATGAAAGCTGGCGCGTTCTTTATGGAAGAAGGAGAGTCTACCCTTGTATCCTGGTGATCTTCGGAGCATTCTGCATGAGCATAGTTGGTGCTTGCGCATAGGATACCGTATTTTCCAGGAAGAAGACTTTGCCAACTTCAGTGATTGGACGCATGCTTAATGCACAATCAATTTTCTAGCGGGCTTTCATGGACATGAAAGACACTAATAGCTCTCAGGGGAAGTATCGCAAGATAATTTGTAGTTGCAGAGTGAACAAAACCGACAGTTTCATATATTACCGTTTACTGCCCTTATTGCTTTGACGAGATGGGTACTGTAATGTAAAGCACTTTCGGGCTCACTTAATTCCGAGGCGGCGATGGGCCATCGCCTGGGCCTCGAGCCCCGGTCATTGCAAATAAAAGAATAAGCATTTGAAACAGCGGGGCATTCTACTGCTACTCTTGACCCGACACCAAAAGGCTTCGGCTTCTCTGCCAAGACATGGTCGCCATCACGCCGGGTGCGAACAGACACCACATGGGCCGGGAAAGTGCCAGCTCCCGTCATGAGGAAATCGATCCCGTTGATGAGACTACAGCTCTCCTGGGGTCTGGTACCGTGACAAATGGCGATGTACGCAAGTCCGATCAACTAAGTGGATCGCCAGAGTCGGATGGTTACATTTCCGACAATGAAGAGGAGGAGAAGCCCCTGCCGAAGACCCAAGTCCTGCTACTGTGCTACGCTCGGCTGGTTGAGCCTTTGGCCTTCTTCTCCATCTTTCCTTATGTCAATCAGATGATACAGGACAATGGAGGCATTGCAGATTCCGATGTTGGGTTCTACAGTGGACTCATTGAATCGCTCTTTTCCTTGACCCAAGCTATTGTCATGATCTTTTGGGGTCGAATGGCCGATCGTCTCGGGCGCAAACCGGTCTTGGTCTTCTCATTGATCGGAGTAACTTTGGCCACGGGACTCTTTGGTATGGCGAAGTCCATTCCACAGATGATCATGTTGAGGTGCCTTGCTGGCGTTTTCGCCGGATCGATCGTTACTATTCGCACTATGGTGGCTGAACACAGCACGACCAAGACTCAGGCGAGAGCTTTCAGCTGGTTCGCGTTCAGTGGGAACCTTGGTATCTTCCTGGGGCCTTTGTTGGGCGGTTCTCTTGCCGATCCGGTGACCCAGTACCCGGGTGTGTTTGGTGGTCGCTTCTTCGAGGACTACCCATATGCGCTCTCGAGTCTAGTGGTGGCGATGGTGGGAGCTACCGCTGCACTTTCTACCGCTTTTTTCGTGCAGGAGACTTTGAAAAAGGATTCGGCTACGGATTCTGACGGGGAGGAGACGACATCAAACGTGCCCACTCGAACGGGCGACCTCTCAACTTGGGAGCTTTCAAGTTCGCCAGGTGTGGCAGTAGTCCTCTACATATACGGGCACATCATGATGCTCGCTTTCGCATACACAGCCATTGTCCCGGTCTGGTGGTTCACCCCCGTGCGCCTCGGAGGATGCGGTTTCACGCCCCTGCAAATCTCGCTGATGATGGGTCTCAACGGGGCCGCCCAAGCCATGTGGCTCCTATTCATCTTCCCCATCTTGCAGCGAAAGATTGGAACTAAAGGGGTGATCCGCGTCTGTGCTCTTGCCTATCCGATATTCTTCCTATGCTGTCCTCTTTCAAGCGCTCTTCTTCGGATGGACACGGATGTGTCCGTCAAGGCGTTCTGGGTGTTTGCTCCGACCACCTTGGCCATTGGTTGTGGAGTGAGTATGAGTTTCACCGCAATTCAGCTAGCTATCAATGACATCTCGCCCTCGCCAAGAGTCCTTGGCACATTGAACGCCCTAGCCCTGACTGGTGTCAGTGGCCTGAGGGCTTTCTGTCCGGCACTCTTCACGACCCTCTTTGCTATCGGGGCGAGGACACAGTTGTTGGGTGGCTATGCTATCTGGGTGCTGCTGGTCGCACTTGCTTCCGGATTGTCTGTCACAGCGAGATATCTGCCAGAGCCCAAGAGACGCGCAAGCGCCGTGGTGTGAGGGAGAGCTGATTAACCTTCCTTGGGCATACTTTGTGGAACGAAGGCGGGCGACCCGGCAGGCTCATTTAGTGTCCATTGAAAAGAACATGCATTTATCTACAGAAGCACCATGTACAGAGTTTGTTGTAGCCTCAGTGACGGAGAACAAGATTTTTCCCCCAAAAGCATCGGCTACTCACTATTACAGTTCGCACTTCGCGCTCTTAAAATCAATACGGATCGAGCAAGTCTCAGTGATAGTATACTGATCTGATCAATCTGCATACTGGATGTCGTGTACAACAACATTGAGCCGAAAAGAGTGAAAGTGCAACTATGGCACGAATAAGAACAATTCAACCAGTGTAACGACCGCCGCAAAGAGCTACACATCAAACAAAACCCGCCCATTAGAGTCCACTGAAAATTTTCCATTGCCATCTTGGCAACCGCACAGTCTCTGATATTCATTCCCAGTGTCAGCGTAGGATGGCAAGTCAAGGACAGATGAAATCCCGGAGAACTGGATAGAAGATTAGTCCTTAATGGGATCTGCACCATCGGTCGAAGTCATCTCACCCTTGCTCAATCAGACGCGCGATCCATCGTCAGGGCAGATCGTAAGGCCGGGCTTTGTGTTCCAGACAGGAACACACCCCTCTTCCGGGTCAGGCATAGATGAGGCAGCGGCAACCATGGAGAGACCGCACAAGTCAATAATACCAGCAAACTTGGAGTGAACCATTTTGGGTGAGATGAGAAAATCTTTGGGTCAAGACGCTTTTAAAGATACCCGGGGAGATCAGACCATGCATTAGTTACACATCGCGCAAATCCACGACAAGATTGGTGGTCTGTATTGGGACAGACTTATTGAAGCACACTTAAAGCCTAAGAATCGATTTCTGCAATTCTGGCCTTCCGAAACATGATCTTGGCTGAATTTTGTGAGATTTTGACCATAGGGTGACTTTTCCGCTCTGACAAAGAACGACGTTGCATGTAAATATGGAGCGGGGTTGAAAGTCCCTTGGCTACTCGTGTAATCTCCTGGAAATGCCGCTCAGTAGTCTTTGTTGGCTCAAATTTGCAGCCCTGATTACAGTCGGACGGGCAAGATCAACCAACGATAAAGCGAAAAGAGACTGCCCTATGACAACTTTCTGATGAACGGCCACTTACATACAATTGAGTTTCCATTTGGGGTAGGCGGTATGTAACGGTGGAGCATCTGAAGTCCCCCCGATCGTTTTTCTCTTTTTAGTGTCATTGATTCACGACCACAGTTTCATTCGTCGAGGAAAGGTGGTCTGGATGATGACCGAGCCGTATTCTATTCAGAGTGATGCGAGGAAGTTGAAGTCAACAATCACAGAGTCAACAGCTGAACGGCAGACCAACTATGAGCCAGCTTCAAAAAAGCGAACTTTCGACTACATAGTAAAGAGCGGGTTGGCCGGAGGACTAGCAGGCTGTGCAGTAAGTTAAATCTTCATGTTCTTAGAGAAGAAAAAAAAATTTAATTACAGTCGATAGGCAAAAACAATTGTCGCGCCACTTGATCGCGTCAAGATACTTTTCCAAACATCAACTCCGGAATTTGCCAGGTACTCCGGTAGTCGGGGGGCTTTGTGTCCGCTATCACCGCCATCAAAAAGAATGAAGGGCTCAGCGGCCTCTTCAAAGGTCACTCGGCTACATTATTCCAGAAATTTCCATATGCAGCCATCAACTTCCTTGCCTACGAGCAAATCCGAGCAATCGTCATCCCGACGCCTGACAAAAAGACGCCATTGCGGCAACTCTTATCGGGGAGTCTAGCGGGCAGTGCATCGATATTGTTCACTTACCCGCTCGATCTCATTAGAGTTCGATTAGCTATCGAGACTCGATCACATCGAGTGAGCTGGAAGGATGTTTGTCTTCAGATTTATCATGAACACGATGCACCTCTACATCCGCAGCGTTTCAAGGGCTTGGTTCCACAGATGGGCCTGACCAACTTCTATCGAGGATTTGGACCTACGATACTTGGCATGATTCCTTATGCCGGTATGTCGTTTTTCACTCACGAAATTATCGGAGACTGGTTACGTAGCCCAGTGTTGGCACGGTACACGGTTTCAGAAAGTCGATCCTCTAAGCACCCAGGTCGACCACAGCTTGTCACTGCTGCGGAGTTGTTCGCAGGTGGCCTTGCTGGTGTGATTGCTCAGACTGCTTCTTACCCATTAGAGGTTCTTCGTCGTCGGATGCAAGTGGGCGGTCATCGTCTCGGGATGGTTCAGACATGTCGCAAGATGTGGTCTGAGAAAGGTATCCGCGGATTCTATGTTGGAATGACGATTGGATACATCAAAGTGGTGCCATTGGTCGCGACAAGTTTCTTGGTCTACGAGCGACTTAAGTGGGCCATGGGAATATGAATTGAGATAGATTTTGGGCCTTGCGCACGTGAAAGATGTCTTGTAAAGTACTTTGTCATTATATTAATGGAAGCGACCATCCTCTATTCGCTGATATCTACATCATTAAGCTCATGATCCTCGGCCTAGCTCATATCTACTGCGTTTCTAGACAACTGCACTATCTCTTCTTTGCTGAGGTCACAGTACGTATAGATCTTCTGCATATTTCCATCGATCCAAACATCATGCATCAAAGTTGGGTCGTCGCTATTGATGCAACTTTTGACCCCTCTCTCCCACAGCCTTCGAATTTTGGGAAACAAACCCTCAGTAGCAGTTCTTCGATGGTAGGCATGGGGGCAAAGCGTCAGCCCGATCTTTCTATTAATCAAACCTTGCCACAGCTCCTCTCGATCCTCGGCGTCCAGTCCGTGATCGATCCGCTCGATCCCCGACCATTGCAGACATGAAAGATCGCTTCGGTGATGTGCGCATAGGTATCTTTCTGTCCAAAGTCGCAGTGCATAGTAAAATGCAACCCGTCCGCTCGAGCGAGTGCAAATCCTTCTTCAAACAGCTTTGGTGGCCTCTCGTATGCATTGCTTGCGGGACCGACAGCATGGAACAGACCTTTTCCACCCTCAACAGTACCCGCAGCCCATGGTCTAGCCTCAATGTATGCCGCTAACCCTTGCTCGACGGGTTCGTCTCGCAAGAAGCACAGGATCCAGCGTGACCGAACTCCAAATTGCTGCGCTGCATTGCGCTGCGCGTGTAAATAAGCATCAAGAACCGCGGATGCAGGCACCCCACGACGCGTATGTGCTTGGATGTCGAAGAAAGGCTCAGCGTAGCGGACGTTCATCTCCGCGCAGCGGCGCAGATAAGCCATTGCGAGATCATAGAAGTCGGCCTCGGTTCGGAGAACTTCGCATCCTGCGAAGTATGCCTCGAGGAAAGTTGGTACGCCTGGCTGGCGGCCATTCAATTCAGGCCGATGGTTCAATGTGACGGCATATGAAGCCTTGAACCCATCGAAAGTGGCGTAAAGCAGAGTGATGTTGTTGCGATGGGCTAGCTTCCAACGTAGAGCTGGCGTGAGAGTACCCTCGATATGCACATGGAGTTCTACCTTTGGTAGCTGGGCTATGAATGGAGAGATAGGAAGACCGTTCATGATTCACGATAATGGCTTATGAAGCACTCGGAAGATATGCCAAGCGAGTATGGTCGATGAAAGAAGAATGAAGACCAGATGAGGGGATTCCATTTCCGATTCAGGAACTATCTACGGCGGCAAATTCCGGCGCAGGAATGATCAATTCTCTTGCACCTTCTTCATACTTACTACGGGATCCAGTAGTGCTCCCATAGTACCAAAACCATCAAGTGCCAAGTGCGGTGGCATTAGCCTATTAGTCTCGACGTAAGTTTCGACGCCACAATCTCCGACTTTTTGAAATTTGATAAGATTCTATTTCGGCGATAGCACGCAGGGCATACGTGCGCGGCCCAATGTAGGTGCGGGGAAGATAAGAATGGCACCCACATACCAGAGGAGCTGAACTTCAATATCTTGATAAATCATCCATTGTAAAAGTCACGACAGTTTCAGTAAAGATCGCATAGTCTGCGCCAATATGAGCAAAATAGCTGAGGCTAGCACAGCTTCAGAGGAAGCTGCGCTGGAGCAAGGGGCGCATCTCATCATGGGGAAGCGAGTGCTAAGGAAAATCGACACGCGGTTGGTTCCACTGATGTTTGTCACCTATATGCTCAATCTCATGGACAAAACTATTCTGTCCAGTGCATTGGTGTTTCGTCTAGCGGATGACACAGTAGGTCTTGCGCCAAAAGAGTGAAGTGTTTAGCTCACGTTATCAAAAGGGCCTAGTGGGCCAGCAATACAGTTGGGTCTCTTCAATCTTTTATTTCGGCTATCTAGGATGGTCATACCCAACAGCATTGCTCATTGCCCGTCTGCCAATTGGAAAATACTTGACGTTCAACACTCTCTTCTGGGGCGCTGTAGTCGCCCTCACCGCCGCATGCACCAACTTCGGCGGTCTCATGACCGTTCGTTTCCTGTTGGGAGTTGCTGAGGCCACTATTACTCCCGCATTCATGTTCATCACGTCAAGTTGGTATACTCGCGATGAGATTCCTACCAGAACGGGAATCTGGTTTGCGGGCAATGTAAGTCCGAATTGAATTCATCAGAGCCGCACAAACATTTCTCACCTACTTGATAGAGCGTCGGGGGTATTGCTGCCAGCCTTATAGCCTATGGTCTAGGCCATGTAAAGGACCATGTTGGCGCGTGGAGGTGGATGTTCATCACGCTCGGTGTCGCAACATTCATTTGGAGCTTCACAGTCTGGATTCTTTTACCAGACTCGATCTCAAAAGCAAAATTCCTAGCAGAGGAAGAGCGCCAATTTGCCAAAAACAGAGTTCTTGTTGCCGGGACAGGAACAACTGAAGAAACAACTTGGAAATGGGATCAGGTCGTCGAGTGTCTGGTGGACCCAAAGACGTGGTTAATTTTTGGCCTCGAGTTACTCACGCAGATCCCAAATTGAGGCACCCAGAATTTTGCCAATCTCGTGATTGTCTCATTCGGCTTCACAAGTCCACAGTCTACGCTGATCAACATCCCTTACTCTATCATCACCATTGCTACCATTGCCGGAACAGGTTGGCTTGCTGGTCCTTTCCGTCAGTGGAACTGCCTCTTAATTGTGATTGCTGTCCTACCTTGCGTCATTGGGAGCGCAATCATCTACTCCCGTGCCCACGTCGTCCTCGGTGTGCAGCTGTTCGGATATTTTCTGTTGTCCACAGGGCCAGCTGCGATGCCACTGGCAATGTCATTAGTGCAAGCAAACTACCGCGGTGTTACTAAAAAGATGACAATGACCGCGATGCTATTTCTTGCGTATTGCGCAGGAAACATCTCAGGACCCCAATTCTTCCTCAGCAGGGTGGCACCGACCTATGACACCGCATTCCGCACTATTCTGATTTGCTATGCTCTAGCGATATTGTTCGCGTTGACTCTTCGCATTTATCTCCGGTGGACTAACTCTCGTCGTGTTCGTGAGGAGGGTTTCGAGGGAAGTGCTGGAAATGCCGGTGCCGTTGGTAACGGCAAAGTGATGGATGTCGATAGCAATTCGAAGAATGTGGTGGACATGGTGAATCAAGTCCGGTTGGTGCCAAATGATTACGAAGACGTCACGGATTGGAAGACGCCGGGATTCAGATATCGCTACAAATTAGACTTGAAAATGGGCTTTTCGGGACAGGACACTATCCGAATGTGCCCTGTTAAGTAGTGATGATTCGATAAGTTCAATACAATTAAAGAGTTCAACTCAAACTTCCACCAAGCCGTCCAATTAAGCTAGCTACAAGGGTATGAGAATCTTGCATGCTCATGAACAAAGTAAATAGGTTAATTATGAGTTCGGGTATTTGATTCCAAGAGTGGGGTCGTACATTTGGTTTTGAATACTACTGTACTCTCAATGATAAGTTGACTTACGCCAATCGCCCGATATAGTTCTAGTTGGGTTGCTGGTAGAGAATGTGTGAGTGTCTAAGTTTTAATCTGTTTTCGCATTCTACTATACCGCCACTACCAGCCCGATGGCATCTCAGCCCTCCGGTTCCAGGGTTTGCGGACATAGTCTAATTTTACCTGAAGTCTACTTCTGAGAATAGAAAGAGTCTACTAATACAAGCAGTACAAACTCCAAGGCCTCTTCGACCTTTTATCCGCCTTTTCAGAGCAGCATTATAATGTGATCAAGGCCATCTGACATGATATTCCATTCTACCTGTTTTCAAGTGGGTGTCCCATCATTGTCTCCTGGGCACCCTAGCTATCCAGAGTCATATTCGTACTTCCTAAACAAGATGAACATTGGCAGGTCTGCTTTGGATTTCATTTCGACATATGCCATAGATCTGAGACGTCAGGGTCTATGCAGTTATTTTTTGCCACGATATAGTCTACAATAATTTTCTTCAACATTTCCAATCTCCTGTGAACCACAGAAGTCTATTTCACATTTGTCCTTTTTCCAGGTATCGTTCTACTCAGAACTGGGACGAGGACCCTCCATAACTGACTGATCTCCCTGTCTCCAAATAATATCAAGCACCCACTTCTTGATCTTCCACAATTTATCCCCGTGGTCCATCACCAGATCAAGAGAGTACTCTCCACCAGCTATGTACTTCGGCCCATCGGGCTCCATTCCCCTTCCAGGCGGACAATGCTGAGCCAAAGCATAAGCCGTCATCGAAGCAGTCTCCTCTCCTTCTGTGTGGTTGATCCGCACATTGCTGATCATGTGCGTGGTGTCCATTGGACCGACATGGCCGAGGACCCCTGCCTTGAGCGCAGCGAGGCCGTTGATGGATCTTTTCTCGCCAGTGCCGGAATTGAGCTCGAGGACGACGTCTTCACGGGCGAACGCGGAGTCGAAGATTGAGAGGTCATTGCGGTCGAAGCCGATGGCGGCCCGGTAGAGGGCGTCAACGATGGCTTCCTTTGCGTTGAGGCCTGGGAGGGATAGAGGGTATGACATTTTGATTGTAATAGGTGTTTTGCAGTTGTGTGTATCAAGTCATCGCCTTTTTGAGTGCCAACTTGACTTCTTTTATAGTCTTGGTTTAGGCCTGAGGGGTGTCGGCGATAACCGGACTTAAAAATAAAATGGAGTTGAATGAGACAAGCGGACTTCCGTTCGCGAAAGCCGTGTCTGGCAATTTGACAAGAGCATCAAGTGGGTTTCCTTTTGTCAGTCGAATTTAATCGAAGAGATTGAAAGAGAAATGCGGAGTTCGGTATAAAGAATGTGCTGTCTAAGACCGCTAATTGTTGGTAAGACCAAATTAAATTTATCGGTTCCTGTATCAAATCGGAAGGGTATCACAAAACGAGTATAAACCGGCCATATCACCTGGCCCCAGATGACTCCATACCGGGCGTAGTATGCAAAATGCAAAAAGCCATTTCACTCAAGCATCCACCTCGTGTTCTTCCATTTCAACGTGGAAGTATTCAGCGACTTGTCTCATCTCACTCTCCGCAATATCGTGATCAAGCATGAAGCGTACGGCTGCATCCTTGCCGCGGTCAGAGGTTCGGTGCCGATCACCATTAGCTGCAGTTGGCGTCAAGGGTGGTGAGGTCGCTCAGTATTTACACTCTTGGGGCGTGTGTTGATCGCTTGGTTTCCAAGATACATGGGCTGGCGGGGGCGCTCTTCCCAGTTGGCGTGTCGTGGAATGTGATTTTCGCTAGCCTCTTGGTTGAGTGGTATGCGAACGGTCAGGAAGCGACCTGCTGGAAATTGTGGTCCTACGGACGTGGAGGAACGGTGGTGGGTGTAGAGCTCAAGGATATCAAAGAGGGTTTCTGTTTAAATGTTTAGTGGTGATCGAATTTGTGAGTAAAGAATGACTTACCCATGACTTCGGGGCGGCTAGTGTCCCATTGATCGTAATCCCGTCCTGACTCCACCGCGTCGAGGCGCTTATCCAGGAGTCGTCCTGCAAGTTCCAGGCAACTAAAGGCCATTGTAGCTGTTGTCTGTTTGACTGGTGCAAAAGTGCGGTAGAGGTCCAGCGAGATGCGATAGGAGAGATCGGTCATTTCAGTCTCTTTCGATAACCCATAAGATTGAGCAAGTTTGATTAGAGTTTTCTGAGGGTGGCGGGTACGGAAATCGAAGCCCGATGACTCGAGCATAAGTCGTTCGAGTCCGATGATTCCTCGTGCGTTGGTTTCAAAAACCTGACAGAAGTGAGCCCTTGTCTCTGGAGATTTCACATTCGGAGAGTCGCAACATACCGGGCTATCCGACGACAGATGCTCTGAGGGCGGTAATTTCAAATTATAAGCCGCGCAAACAATGTCCCTCGACTTCTTCAGAGTGTCTTCGATTTTGCATGCGGTGAACAAAGCCGCAGCGGCAGCATCCTAGACAACATTAGCATGGCTACCGAGCACGCCGGGAACATTAAACATACCATGAAATTGTACTCGCTATCCGGATGTGATAGCCTGAACCGATGGTAGTAGATCACAGCTGTGTTAAAAGTGCGAACCGGACTGCATATCAATTAGTAGTTGCCCATACACTCCCCCAGCTGAGCGTATTGGACATACAGGTGGAGCACCTTGCGCACGTTGTCAATCCACGAAACACCCTGTAAGCGCAAATTCTCTTCGCGCATAGGATCCACACCCATCGCCTGAATGCAGTCTTGGATCGTCTGCTCAAAGACATAAGGCTTAGCCACCTGGATGAATGACGGATGGATGGCTGGGAGCTCCTGCACAACGGGATCAGGATCCGCGCGTGAAGGCGCCCGCTCGTACGTCTCACGCGGCATTGCTGTAACGGACGAACCGGTGTGACCGAGAGAATTGGGCGTGCAATGGAACTGGAAGTCGGAGGATGCGAAGTTGCAGGTGAATCGGTTTCGATATCGATAAGCAATCACGTGCGATAGACGGCAACAAGTTGATCCGAATGTATACAGAATTAGTCTTGCATCCGGTCTTGACTAGGAAGATGGTTAAAGATGGAAACGAAAATGGGAAATGAAAGACGAGGAATGTGTGTTCAATTTAACAGATTCAGCAGCAGTAATTTATGGAACGCCGCGTCCCGACCGAGTCGCCTTTGCCATCTCGCTCTGAGCAACATTATCCGCGTACCGCTTGTAAATAGGCAAATAGTGTTCCCTCTCGCTGATCGTTTCTCTCACGCTTTTTCTGCTCTCAATCGCCCCAAGCCACTTTCTAAACCTCTTCCAGACCTCTTCATCGGCTCCACCAGCTCCCTCTGAGGGTATGCCCACTCCATGTTTAAACTCATCAAACACCCACAATCGCACAGCCCACGGCGCTAGCACAAGATCTGGCAGCGCAAGATCCGAACCCAGAAAGAAAGGACCCTCCGGATGCATCTCCCGTGTCCAGATTTTAAGGTGGGTGAGAAAGTCCTGTCGGGCCTGCTCTAACCCCACGTCGTTCTCGGTGACTCCCTCCGGGGGCTGGTATTGCAGGAACCGGTGGTACGCGGGGATGATTCGAGAGGTGACATAGTCAATCCAGATACGGGCGTGGGCACGCTCGTATGGCTCCTTGGGGAGGAAGCTGGGGCTATGATTTGGGTAAGCTTCTTCCAAATACTCCAGGATCACAGTAGACTCGTATAGTGGTTTAGGCTCTGGGTCTGTTGGGCATGACAGTGTCGGGACGAGACCGCGCGGATTGAGAGATAGAAGTGACTTCGGTTTGTTGTATGGGTTGACTTCGATGTATTTATATGGAATCTGTTTCTCCTCTAGGGCGAGCCAGACTCGTTGGACTTGATGAATGTTAATTTATCATTGCAATCATTTGCAATTTCTTTTAGAATGATTTGGTAATCACATACCGAATCTATTGCTGGTTAGTATGAACGGGCTTTTTTATAGATTGGTGATTACTCACGGGCAGAACCACCCTGCATATAGCTTCAAGGGTTGCTCTGCGCTGTGTTGTTCGACCAATGCCTTGGCAGCACCGGTGGCCTCTGGGTGGAGATTGGCATCGGGATGAGCTGGCATCTTTCTAAATTACGAGAGGATGAAGAGTACAAATGTTGGAAAGTTGAAGTTATGATGACGCCTGAGTTTTGAATATCTCGGAAGGGTCGTGACATCATTCCATGCTAAATGTCACCATTCGCAGTACATAAACCCCCACTTTTGAACTAGTCGCAGGTATAGAGCTCGATGTACGGATAACCGATAATCTCTTCACTATGATCATGCATCCCCGGTTCCAATTGATTGACTTTCAATCACCGTACTTTTTAATCAACTTCTGCATGATAGACATCGCGCCTGAGCGATAACCACTACCAAAAATGGCATGATGATTCAAGTGATGATACCTAGAATCAATTAGCCCACCGGTCGAACCCATTCAACGAGCCCAAGGAACACTCACAGCTCATACAACCTCGCGCGATCATCGTACTCCTCGACCGGCTCCGTCCTCGGCACAACCCGATGATACTGATCAAAAAAATGTGCCCCGAATCCCCCAAACATATGCATAATTCCCAACTCGAACTCGCTATGCCCATAAACCGAGCAAGCATCATAAACCACATCTCCGGCCTTCTCATCGCCCCCATTACCCACAATCGTCCCCCGATCCGCATTCCCACTCCACAAATCTCCGTGCACAACCACAGGGACAATCCCCTCTCCTTCTCCAGAAGAATTATACCCCAAATGTCCATCCCCGAGCAACCTCGGCGCAACCTCATTCGCCGTCTTCTCCACAAGCTCCCTCAGCCCTTCATCCCGACCATTTCGCTTCTCGCTCGTTTTCAAAATAGTAAGTAACCGCTCATTAGCGTAGAATTCAGCCCAACTATCACAGAACCGATTAGGCTGGTTCGTGTCTCCACAAAAAGTAGCAACAGGGAATCCAAATCGTCGTCGTCCAGTCTTCGGATCCGGCGGAGCAGGCGTAGTGTGTAATTTACCCAGACGATATGCAAGACTGCTGGGTGTGTTTGCGTCCCCGCTGCATCGACCCTTTGCGCCGCTGAGATCGAGGAATTCGGTGACTAGGAAGAAGTTTTTCGGTTTGTTGCTTTCCTCGTCGAGGGTGCCCCAGGCTAGTGCGCGTGGGCAGAAGCCTGGCACGGCGGTGGAGATGGCGTTTAGGGAGGCGTATTCGCCTTGAAACATCTCTGAGGCGGATTTGCCCGAGGAAGAAGTTTTCACAAAGTATTTGCGTTCTTCGGTGCCATTTTGAGCGGGGACTTGGGCGTGTAGGACGCCTGTGCTCGTAAAGCCGGAGCCTAGACCAGAAAGTCGCACCTCTGACGAATCGGAGAGGGAGAGCGCGCGGAGGATTGCTGGTGGAGCAGTCGTCATCTCGAGTTGCTTACTTATTACGCAAGAGGAAGTTGAATACTTTGAATTGGCTTGAAGTATGTTCGTCTACGTAGGGATGTGAGCAACTCAGGATTGTTCGCTGAGCTATGACGTTGTTTCTCCACTAAATTGGTGATAAGCCCCGATAAGGAGCTAGAAGTGAACAAGGCGATGAGTATGATGAGGTCTATGGGATACCAATGATAGAAGAGTCATTGTCTGAAGTGTATTTTCGAAATTCTTCAATATATGCCTCATGCATAGTCAATTCAAAGAAAACAATATACCCCATCCAGTTCAGGACCCAAAAGTTGTGACTATACTATTGCGCCAACAGTTGATTCAGTAGATGCACTGCAGTCTTAGTGCGTTCCTTGATATCAAGATCCGAATCTTCACGAAGGTCCTCCAGCATATCAGTGACACCTAGAGTCTTGAGTCGCGTGGCTCGTGCCCGGCATCCCTCGCGGTCGCTTTGGTCCTCTTCGTAGATCAGGTTTATCACTACCCAAACGCAATTGGCTCGCACGTCACGGTGGGAATGGTTGAAATAATGAGTGAGTGATTGAATCAGTTCGTCGTGGGACATGAGAACAGCTCGATGTCTTGGCAAGCCAGCGGCGATGTGGATGATCATTGCGCTGGCTGAGATTAGGATCTCATTCGGAACCTGAAGAGCCCGGTTAGGAGATTCTCGGCGGTGTGGGAGGTGAATTGTGCTCGGACGGAGCTTGCTGGCCAATGCATTAAGCAATTCGTCTTGTCCGAGTACCTTGAAAAGATAGTCGATCATCTCGTTTGCGCCTCCACCACAGATGATATTGCGCAAGAGATCAAAGGTCTGCTCTTGAACAGCGATGTCGTCTTGGCGAGACTGACTAGACTGCTCCAGGTTACCGTGGAGAACGAGTCTGCGTCGGCGCCTGGCATCTGGTAGGAACATGTCCAAGCTCATCTTCGAGGAGGGCATAGTGTCGGTCATCTTGGAATCTTCGGCTGATTCGCCAAGGTCATCCATAGGATTGAGAATGTCCACCTGTTCACCGGCAGAATTGGCTCGGCCCATGGCAATTCCTGAGCCTTGATCTGTCTCGTCGTCTATCTCTCGCCTGATGGTGATATCTTGGGTGATAACCTGGCGGATCCAATTGGGGCCGAGGGCCTCAACGACTGTCATTTTGATGTCGTTCGGTGTGTTGTAAACAACGTGCTTCAGCGCCCATAATGATTCGATTGTCAACTTGATATTGGAAGAGTGAGCATGTTCACAAAGAGTGGGAATAATGTCCGCAGATATTATCGCCTAGGTGGAGTTAGAGACTATATTTGACGTAAAAAAGAACAAGAAAAAAAGAAAGAAAGCTTGACTGACCTCTTTCATGGGGCTGAAATCCAACGCCAGATTACAAATCGCCGCAGTAGCCGCAATCTGCACTTCTGGGTCAGGGTGTCGAATCAGCACAAAGAGCGGCTGCGCCACTCCAGCATCAATGAGGCTGGTCCTCAGAACGCTGACCGATCTGGTCAACATCCGAGCTGCGCCACAAGCAGCCAAGAGTGTCGGGATCGGGTTGCCGTCTGCAGCTGTGTTCTTGGGCATTGATGCAGCATCAGCTGGTGCATCGCTTGGTCGCGGTTTGAGAGAGTCAATGATGTAGGGCACCACGCCGTTTTCACAGACTGCTTTCCGATACTCATCTTTGAAAGGCACCAGGGCAGCCAGTGCCTTGAGAATGTTCTCCCGATACCGCATGACATGGCACAAGGTTGGAGAGTATCCTGGGGGTCCAAGTCGACAATCATCTGGCACTGACTCGGGATCACGGGCTGGGCCGTCGCCATCCGAGTACCACATCGGACGTAAACTTTCTGAGACCGGGTTGTATGTCTCTTTAAGGAGTTGTGATAGGCGCTTGAGTGCACCACCTTCAACAGCATGTCTTTGCAGCTCTTGGTCGTCCATGACTAGGTTAGCGAGCACAGCAGGGGCCTCCTCCTTCAAGCGTTGAGTTGCTGTGATCAATCCATCCTCGCTAGATCCATTCTCCTGGGGCAATTGGAAGTCCTTGTCAAGCATTCGTATCAGAATTGGAACCAACAAATAGCTGAACATAGGGACGCGGTGCTTCTTTGCCAGTCCCAGGCGGAAAAGGACCGTCACTAGCCGAGCGGCCATGAGTCGGGCCATGCCGCCTTCCATGCGAACCAGACATAACAACCATGGAACAATGGAATTTTCATCTTCTTCCGGAATCGGAGTTTCGGCTAGCGAAAAGGGGGCTGGAAATGAGTGGCTACTACGGCGCTGGGAGCCTGAGTTGCCGAGGGGTGGAAAGTTGGCCGAACTGGGAGAGGATTTGACATGCGCAAGCGGGACCGATGGCAGCAGGCTGTCTACCAGGTTACCACTATGGTGGCGTGGCACTGCGGATCCCGAAAGATAGGTGGAACCCCAGGGACCCTTTTTGATATCAACAGAAGCAAAGCCAGGAATTTGTCTCGGGAAGACAGTCACAATTCCTGGAGAAGACAGGAAATGCTCTGCCCTCCACTTCGACTGCTCGATAATCACTGTCACGGCGCGAAGAATAGGTGCCAGCCGTGCAGACTTCGGGGCAGGTTGTGGGATTTCCCCCAAGGCACCAGGCTGTTGCAGATGATCCTCGGCGCCGGGAAGTACGAAACCCTGAGCCACGACGAAGGAAGCAATCTTGAGTGCCAGGGCATCTAGTACCCCGCATTCGGCCAATGCCGTCTTGTGCCTCTCTTCAGTGCATAACTTCGCAACCAAGGAGGTTGCTAGTTCAACACATATCTGGCTATGCGTAGTGGTGTACTCTTGAGCGACGATCCGTCTCAAGGCACTAATGGGCTCTGGTGCTAAAACAAGATCTGCCAGTCGTGTGTCTCGAGACCCTTGTTCATGACTCTGCAAGGGCAACCTGTCTGCTATTGTGTTCAAAAGGCGAAGAATCGGAAGCGAGAAAGTCGGTGGGCAATCGGGGGAAGAGAGAATTGTGAGGAGGGAGGGTAGAATGCCGCTGGCGAATATTGGTTCCAGGAAGGTTGGGCTGCCTGAATTGACGCAGTCAGTCAATGGCAGATTGAGCCACATTGTAATATGAACGTACCTTGTGCCAGACTTCCGAGGATAAGAATTGCCTGGAGACAGGCTGTCTCATCAGCTGCCTGCGTCTCGCCTGGGCCTTGGTGAGATGTGGCCTGGCTCAGTGAGGATTGGTTTGAATCTGCAGCTGCGGCTTTCCCTGGCCGGCGCAATGCAAGCACCTGCGCTAGTATCGGAAAGATTCCCCCGGTCACAAAGGCTTCCTTGCGTTGGTCATGACCGATCAACTCATTCTTGAGAGCTCTAAGGCAAGCCACTCGCCCGGAGACAGACTCCGAGCTTTGAAGCTGCGCGAGTATAGGTGGAGTAGCGGCTCGCATCATTGTCCGAGGATCGCCTCCCGATGGGAGGTTCTCCAATAAGCGCAAGGTGAAATAAGCTGATTCAATCCTTGAATTGTGGGTGCGGAGCTTTTCTTGGAAGCTGGCCAGACTCGTGCTGGGCAGGGACGTGATCGACCGAGCCCTTTAGACGATGGCAGGCCAGGATGAGGCCAATAGCGCCAGTCCGGATTCAGAGGGTTGCGGAGAGGGGTCGCGTGAACAACGAGGGCATCGAACTTCCGGACAGAAACACTGTGGGTTTGGTTAGCCGTTGCCTGTCAGTTAATCTCACGGGAAGATCGTACTTAGCGCATGTCAGTCAGCGGGTATTCCGCCGTATAGCTCTCCGGTTTAGGCTGCCTGACTCCGCACTTAGATGAGCTGGTGGTTACGTAATTAGACACCTTATGCGATGTTAGTGGCCTGAGACACCCAAGGTATGTTCCTCATGTGAATAAGGGGGAAAAGGGGGGGGGTCACGTGTGAGATGTGAAAGTCATGGCTAAAACGATGTGTAATAGGCATCACATGATAAGCAACCTCGTGGCGGGATAAAGACCCATCAATCAGAACAAGGTCCTCGGTGGCGCACATCCTTTGCAAGCCACAATCGTGCCCAGATCAGGTGACGCCATCACCCAGCCCTGTGTATTGTCACGTAACGTCATTGCCGGCACCTCCGACCAGTGAGGGTATGCATTCAGGCATTGGAAAGAACCCACCTGGAGAATTATCGGGAATTGGTGGAGCCTCAGTGAGAAGTGCAGATGCTGAAGAGATCGGAAAATGCGGAGCTGTGGTGGTATCGAATGTAATAAATTACCTCATAGCAAAGCAGGATTTTCTACTTCTCCCCTCTCTCACATTTCTTTCTTCTTTTTTTTGTTAGATGGGGATTCTAGCTCCACGTTGCGTACGAGCTCCCAGGATTCGATCTCGTTCCCCCAGTCTCCTCTATCTTCCGCCCTAGGGATTATGAGGCCGTGCGCCGCCAAACAAGTCCCGCGCCAGCGCCTCCTGCACTCCTGTGCCCACGTGGTGCTATCCTGCACTCCGAGCGGCTTTCATCCAAATACCAACATTCTTCTCTGCGCCCGCTAAGCCATGTTGGCTTCCTCCCCCTCGCCGTCCCAAACGGCGCTGCGTTCTCCTTGCCAGACTGGTGCCCACTATGAGTCCACTCCACAATTCAATAGCCCACGCTCATCACGCTTGGCCATTGAGGAGCTCCGCTCAGCACTGAACCGCCATACTGTCGATCCTGCGTCTCCGGTCTCGCCTGCAGATCTCCGGCGACGCACTTCTGCAGCACTGGCTGCCAGTGCCACTCTCACCCCTAAATTGGCCTTGGCCGATTCCTCCACTCCTCCCACCGCTGCGTACACGCTCGCAAGCGCTGCCGCGAACCCGCCACCCACTCCCTCCGCCACTTCCTCCATGCCCGCTCCAGATACTCCGGGGTCAAACAAGCGCACCAGCCCGACCGACCACCATGCGCCTGATGCGACCTCGGCGCCGGATGCGCAGCCCTCGCAGGCCAAACGCCGCAGACCGTCCAAGGTCGAGATCAAGATCCTGCCCGCTCAGTACGAGGATGCCGATCCCCGCGATCTGGTCGTGTTGATTTCCAGTATGCTCTTGGAATTGATCCGTTTTAACGACAAGATCCCCCTGAATCAGGGCCGCTTGACCCGTTTCCATTCGCGATCACCCCCTCGGATCTCAGTCCAAGACTACATGCAGCGCCTCACTACCCACGCGACCCTCTCGCCCCCAATCCTTCTCAGCATGGTCTACTACATCGACCGACTTTGTGCCTTCTATCCCGCTTTCACCGTCTCCAGTCTGACCATTCACCGTTTTCTGATCACCAGCGCAACTGTCGCAAGCAAAGGCCTCAGTGATAGTTTCTGGACAAACAAGACGTATGCGCGCGTTGGTGGAATCAGTATGAATGAGTTGGCCATGCTGGAGTTGGAGTTCTTGTTCCGAACCCAATGGCGAATTGTACCTCAACCGGAGGTACTGGAGGATTATTACAAGAGTCTAGTTGAACGATGCGACGGATATGAGATCGATCGCACTACGCCCGCCCTCACCCCTGCCGATGAAAGCGCGCCGACTACCACAACAGCCACTCCGTCATAGCAAGGATGGTTCTGGGAGCCAGTGTATCTATTCACCACATCTACCCTCAATTCTTCGGTTCTTCAAGGCTCTACTTGTGCTGGCCTCGAGTTATCCTTGGAACCCTCTCTTTTTTGATCGACTACCCCCCCGCCGACTTGCCTCGCAGCGCGATCTTAATGGCCCATTATTTTTGCATCCAAGGCGTTGTTCGACGGACCGACCATACTCGAGATTGGAAAATAACCATATTTGATGGTGCGGTACCTGAGAGCAATCTACCTAGCATACATCCGCCAGGCGGTGATCTCTCTCATGTTTTCAGCGATCCACAGCGGATGACCTGGCGTTTTGATACTTCGTGGGATGAAATGCTATCTAGTAACGAAATATACAATTTCCATGATTTCTGATTTTTACTGTATTCATAAAATAACAGTTAGAAGAAAGACCCAGTGATCCGCAAATAGTGGTGCGTAGCGTCTCACTATACCAAAACTAACAGTAGCGCGCGGGAGCTTGAGTTCTATCCATATCCGGAAGTTAGGGCGTAGGGTGCGAAGGTTAGGGCATCTGAACTGAAATCTTGAACATCGTTGCGTCACGCGTGTAGCTGTCGACTCGTCCTGGCGCCGTTTGCCGTATCGACCTTTGGCAGGCTCAAGATGTTACGCGATACTTGAACCTCACTTCACTTGCACCCCCATCTACCTCGCCGACCTGCCATCCTCCCCGCAACGAATACCTTAGCTTCACGCGATGGAGATCCAGCAGGAAATCGCGGCTATCAGGCCACTACGAGGAGAAGTGATTCCTATCAGGACAGTCCAAGAGACCCGGCCACCGGAGGAATTTGGTATGTAATGCGGTCGATGGCGTTCACACGCGACAATCAGCTAAAACGCATACAGCGGATGCATTTGCCGCCGAGGTCAATGTGAAAGCAGCCTCGAAGGTAGTCAAGTATGAAATTCTCCGAACGCCTCTATGACCAGCGTGCTGATCTGTATGTTCCTCTCAGGGCGCTTGATGCAGCCTTCCCTCGTGATTCCAACCTCTCTCTCGGCCATTTGCGACGGTTCGTGAAGCAGGACATGCTCCCTGGGCCACTCAAAGCAGCAATTGAAAAAGATGGATCGTTCTCGAAGAATCCGAGTAAAACAATCTTTGTCTTGATTTCACCTCCGGTCCCTGACCTTGACAAGGTGCAAGAGGTTCTCGCCCCATTCGCTCCTCTCTCTTCACCTCCCGCCAGAAAATCCCCTTCAGTCAGAAATTCACCCCCTGGCATGTCTCCTGAGCCTGGGCTCCCGAAGATCAAGCTTATTCCTACCCGTGTCCCTACTGTGCCCCCATTTAACATCACGCAAGCCGAGAGATGGACCAACAATCTGTGGCCTGTCGTCTTCAACGCCGCTGCCCCACGATCCACAATCGCACCTCCTCCTCAGATCCTGAGTCAAGCTCATGAGCATATCAGCAAACAAGCAGGATATTACATCGCCCTTGCGCGTAAGATCGGCGAAGAGGCGGAGCAATCTGGCCGTGGTCGTGGCGTCGGCGCAGTGATCGTCGACCCTGCCATTGAACATCACATTGACGCCATCTCATGGGGCCTAGACTGGAACCCCCGAGACCGATGGATGGAGGCAGTCATCGCTGTAGCAGGTGACGCTAGGTACGCTCGTGGCGAGGCGGGTGCTCCATCCCTGGCTGAAGTTCACTCCGGCGTCGCGCCTAACCCGGCCAGCACAACATTTAACCCTGATTGGGAGGGTGGACCTGATCTCCATGCCCTGATGCGTGCTACCGAGCTTGTCGCCCGCCGTCGTCGGGAGGATGCGGTCCACCAAGCTGATATGGCGAACCATACTCCCCCAGCCATCATTGCGACGGACCCTCAGTTGTCTTCCCAGCTCAGTCCTCTCGAGTCTTTCTTCCTGTATGATGCCGAGACGCCATCTTCGTATCCTCCTGACTACCCTCTTGACGATCTCCCTGTCGATCCTCCTTCTTCGCCTAAGAAGCGCAAGCATGAGGAACCGAACCCTGAGTCTCGGTCTACACTTGCAGAGGTTGAAGTCAACAGCCCTTCTTCTACTACATCTACCCCCTTCGCACCTCTCCCTGCCCCTCCTCCCTCTTCCACCTCTCGTGCCGAGCCCATCGCGGCGGAGTGCTCCACCTCAGACTGCGTTGACCCCTTCACTGGCTGCATTGCCCCCTCGCGCCGCATTCTCTCCCGTGCCCAAGGCGGCTATCTCTGCACCGATCTCGATGTCTACCTATCCCATGAGCCATGCCTCTGCTGCTCCATGGGCATTCTTCTTTCTCGCTTCAGAGCTGTCATTTTCCCTCGCTCAGGTCGGATGGTGAGCGGCGGTCTCTGCTCTGAGGCTGCGGGTCCTCCTGCTGATGGAGATGGCGATGGATCTGCTGAACACAAAGATGATGACCATCAAGCTACCCGCGACGCGACGGCTGATTTCCAAGGCTCCACCGACCAGGCTGCTGTTACCAATGTTGCCCCGGCAGATGATCGTCTGTATTACGGACTTCACTGGCGTAAGGAGCTCAACTGGCGCGCCCTGGGCTTTGAGTTTGTGGAGGAGACTGATGGTGTTGATGGAAGTAATGGCGTGGCTTTCCACGCTTAGTTACCGCCGAAAGTGATTGATCATCCCAATTATGGATAGCAGATTTAAAGGTCACACTGTATTATCTTCCTCGCCTTTCTATGTCAGAAGGAAGACTCGGATAGGATATCAACATACAGCATGGAAATTAATTTACACATCTCACTATTGAAGTATCCCATAGTCTTTAAATTCACAACAATCGGCTGAGATTACTACGCTTATCAACAAACACTCCATCAAAATTACTCCAAGCTTCAGTGCCTTGTCTTAGATGGAATTTTGATATGGTCGCGGCAAAAGAATCTAGCACTAGAAGCCATCTTCGGTACATAGGCTGAAAGTTTGACATAGGATATTTATAGGTACAATTTCGGATAGGAACAACTTCCCCATGCGCCCTTGTAGCGTAATGAGTATGCTTCTCAGGGTCAGTCTTTAAGATGAGGGTCATCAAGGTATTATCTCGCAGACAGTCTTGCAGATGGCTCAAAGATACAATGGCATTCTACAGATTTACTTAGTTTTTTTACCATAGCCTCACCGTACACTTTCATGTGAGATCGGAATTCAGAGGGCCACCAAGACATTCTTCTCTTGCATATCTCTATCATTCAAATCAGAATATTATATGATTTGCAGTCCACTACGTTGGGCGTATTTAGTATCTCTTGCCAATCTCGCATGCAGCCAACGAGTATTATGTGCGTTATGAAGCAAGTATCCGAAAGTTGGCTAGCCCACTAACGGCTCAGAGAGCTCTCAATCTTATCATTCTAGCACTGATAGCCAGTTACTAGAAATTAAGTCTGCCCACTTTCGGCCTATAGTTTACAAGTCCACTTGGTAATCAATCGATCCTATAGTCTGACTTCCGGTGCCCGTATAGATAAAGATGTATCTAAATGACTTAGGAATAGCTGGGCGCAGAGATCATTCACCAAAGTTTACTGTCTTGATAATTGAAGTCAAATCCTTCATTTCGCGTCCGAAATCAAGTAACTACGGTTCACAGTATATTTCGGGTAAGCTAGGTTCTAAAGCAGTAGTCTTTACTCGTATCGAAATCCGAGCCGCATCTTAGTAATAAGCTCAGCCAATCGATGAACATGCAGCAAGCACGCGATGCCAAGTAAAGAGTGTGTCGAATCACAATCAGGCGATGACATCCATGCCAATGCTCCAGACAATAATCCGAATTGCAGTCAAGGTAGCTCACCTCTGCTGGTTGATGGTAGAATCATTGATTTAGGCGACATATCAACCCACGCAACGCCTGTCACCGCATAACGTGACAGGAAAGAAAGTCCAGCAGGATGTTGCTGCCCTCTCCCCTTTCGCAATATGTCCGTTCCTTCCAGTCATTGAGTCGCAAATGGTCCTCCTACGCCCGATCAGAACAAAACAATAGCCGACGACCGCTCGGTCATCGGCTGATTGATGTCCTTCTCCGTACCTGGGACCTGGGATTCACAGCATTCGGAGGCCCACCTGTACACTTCCAGATTCTTCACAGCAGGTTCGTCGAAGGAAAGGGTGGACGAGAACAGTGGGTAGATGAGCAGACTGTACTGTAGTACCAAGCAGCCAGATATGGCATTTGCATCAGAAGCCCGCTTCTAAACCTCAGCTTATAGTATCAAGAACTCTTCGCGATCTGTCAGGGTCTTCCTGGCCCTGGCAGTACGAAGATGTTGTTCTGCCTGACTCTGCTCCACGCAGGAGTGATACCGGCCCTGGTGGTTTTTCTTATCTGGAGGTGAGACTGACATTTGGCACGTAGACGTTATGTCCACTACTAATCGTGCTATAGTCTTCCCGGTGCGATAGGTATGTATGCCCTCTCCGTTGGTGTTGGAAATCTCAGCCGCACTCTTCCTGAGCCCGTCTACGCTTTACTGTCTGGTCTCAACGCTGCGACGGTTGGAATCGTCGCGGTCTCTGCGGTACAACTCGCGGAAAAGGCTATTCGTGACCAGATCTCTCGCATCTTGATCATCTTCGGTGCCTGTGCTGGCCTCTGCTATAACAAGCTGTGGTACTTCCCCGTGCTCATGCTTGGTGGCGGCTTGGTCATTGCGGCTTGGGATGGATGGCTTTGCTTCCAAGTCCAGAGGGCTAAGACTGCTTGGCGAAATCGACACAATCGGCCCACGGACTCGGAAGAGGCAAATACGACCCCCGTTGAGATGGACTCTGTCACTTCTGGAGCTGTGGAGCGGAGCGAGACGTTACGCTCAAGGAGGAAGGATGATTCGGATGACTCCCCGAGCAGTGTGCCTGTGAATTTAGCTGTACGGTCGAGCTCAGCACTATCAACCGAGGCTGAAGTGGCCCGGCCATCGAATTATGTGATTCGGGTTCGCACTGGAATTGCTATAACCACGGTCTTTTTTGGTATTCACTCATTCCCGGGATAGTCATTATATGGGCAACACTAATCTTCAAAAGCCTCCTTCATCGCACTCCTCGTCGCAAGAGGCCAATTAGCCACACCCCCCCTTGGCACTGGATCTCTTCACCAGCATGTACCTCGCCGGAACGGTAATATTCGGTGGCGGCCCTGTCGTGATTCCTCTTTTGCGCTCTTATGTCGTCGCCCCCGGTTGGGTCTCTGGCCGAGACTTCCTCATCGGTCTAGCCATCATTCAAGCCTTCCCAGGACCGAATTTCAACTTTGCTGTCTTCCTCGGCGCCTTGGCTCTACAAAACTCGCAATTCTCTACGGTCTTTGGCGCATTCCTCGGCTGGTTGGGAATCTTCGTGCCAGGTCTAGCGCTTGCAGTCGCATTCCAGAGTTTCTGGAGCGTGCTGCGGAGGAAGAAAATTGCCATTCACATCTTGAGGGGTGTTAATGCTACTGCGATTGGATTGGTGTTTACAGCTGTCTACCGGCTGTGGGAGATTGGTTATTTGACATCCCAGAATAGTGCCGGACAGAGTTTAGCTAATGAGCCGTGGTGGGTGGTTGTCACTACGATCTCCTATGCGGGAAACGCCTGGTTCAAGGTGCCTCCTGCCGTGTCTATTGTCATTGGAGCTATTCTAGGACTGTGTTGGTACGGGGCTGTGGGACGCTGAATAGTCTTATTGGGTTCTTGATAAAACATACAAGCGAAGCATCTTCTTTCATGTGAGATGTTGTGAAAGAAAAAGATGCGGTCACATCACGTTGACTGGTCTGGAGTATAATATAGTTTGCAATATATGCCTTGGCCTATGTGCTATTTTCTTTTGCCAAAACATACATCGACACTGGTCTTGAGGACGCCTTTCTAGCTTCTTTCAGCTCGGAAGCTACAAGTGCGACATTCCGTCCGAGGATCATATTTCGTGGATTGAAAATCAGTAGTATATTAGTCTAGCGATGTCGTTCTCAGTTCTATACTATAAGTCTTGATTAAAATGACCCATATTTGGTAACGTGTGGACTTGAGATATGGCATAGATCATGGTGATCACCGACCCTCCTAAGTCTGCCAGTCCATTGCCCGCATTAACATGAAGCTTTCAAAACTCAAGCCTCGCCACACCTTCTGCCCATTCTCGTCTTCTTTGTAGAACTCTGGTTGAAAGTCACTGACCGTGGCCCATTGTCGAATCAAACGACGCCAATAGCACACCTCTGCCGACTGGGTGAGATAGCGCTCACGGAAGGTCTTCACATTGTTATCCGCAATCCGCTGAGCGTCCTCATCGTGAGCCAACAGCCAGTTCATCTTATCTTCCAGGTCTGACCAGTCGCGCTCGACCTCAACGAAGTTCTGCTCCGATCCTGAAGCTCGCATCAAGTGGTAGTGGTGCTGAATCCAGTTCAGCTTATGCGAAACCACCACGCTTCGGCACATTTGGAGATACTTGAGGCGACCCGAATAGGTGTTTCCTTCTGTCTGCGCAACGTATTGATACTCGCAGTGCTGGGGCATCGTTTTGTAATCGTTCTTCATGCTGGCCGGGTCGCCCCATCCCAGCTCCTTCACATTAGCCCAAGATTTCCCGCTTGTCACCTCGAGAAGTTTGTCACGGATCTCCGGCCCCATACGCGCGACCCCACGCCACAGAAGCTGCTTGGCTTTTGACGACCAATCCACGCCGTCTTGCTTTTCCGCGCTCTCGACTTTCAGAAGGACTTCTTTGGTCGAACCGGCTTTGATCTCGGGCCATGACCAATATCCAAAATCGGGAATCAGCCAGATCAAGTCATCTTCCGAGCGTCGGGCATAGCCCCATAGGGCGACTTCGTCAATTCTATCATCGGTGTTGAAGGCAAATTCGATATTAGGGAGGGGTTCGGGCGAAGAGACGAGTGCTCGATTGATAGCGGCGAGGGTCGCGATTTCGCGCGACCAAATAGATCCCTCTTTCGCGATGATGTATAACTTTTTTGGAGGTTGAAAGTATCAGCACAATTCATAGATTGATAAGTTCAAGACGATCGAATTCCAAATTGCAGCAATTCTGAGCACTTACTTGTTGGTCATAGATCATCGCACGAATATAACCATTTCGCGGTGTGATCGAATCGAGCTCCTTGATGGTAATAGGATTGAGAGAGCGCGCTTCACTCGCCCGATCGATTTCCGCAAATAAATCGGGGAACGCTTGATCGCATTGCCCTTGTGTGAGAAGCAGATTATCTCGATCACGCTCGTAGTTCCATACGCCGTCGAATTGATACTTCCCGTGCGGTTTGCCCCTGGAAAATTGGCCTTCGTTGCGGACTTGGGACAATGGGCGCCAGTAGACGAAAAGCCCTAGAATAAACAACACACATGGTGCAATTACCAGGTAGGGACGTTGTCGTGAGAAATTCATTCCTCTATGGACTCTCTATGAATTCTGAATTTTCTTCGGACAGAAACTTGACCCGAACATGATCATCATCCACCATATTGAAAGTACTGTAATGGCAAACCGGTTTACCGCATTAGCCCCCAAACCGTTCGGCAGCAGCATCAGCCTTCCAATTGGCCTGTCTGGGATCCGGCCAATGATGACCCTTATTTCAGGGTCGAGCATTGCATTGCATTGAACCTGAACCCAGAAAGCGGTCTGAAAAGCGGAGTAATCACTGGTTGACCATATTAGAACTAGCCCATTTCAATCATGGCTCGGGAATTAGCTTCGTTCCAGTGTAGAAGTATAACGCACTAACTAGACCAAAATGATACGAAAGTAGGTCTCGCTGAGGAGAATGTGTCTACCATATGGTACCAGGACATATTGATAAATTTCATGTGAAAAGACAACGACAGTAAATGTACCTCTACCTCTTTCTCTCTTTCTCCATCGGAAGGTTCTCTCATTATTTGAAACTCGAGAAGGCACAATCAGTTGGATTACCAGGCCTCTGTCATTTAGTATCCAAACACAATGAAGGCTTTGTAGATCTATGTTAGCTTACCTGAGTGGTAGGAGTTATGAGCAGACGCTCTGAATGAATGATGAATGGAAGAAATCGTAGCGAGCGAGAGTCACAGGCATTAAAAAAAAAAGAAATCGAAGAGAAGAGCTACAATTGATCAATGATATAAACTTCCTTTGAACTTTTTTTGGGTTCTACAAGGTTCTGTAAAGACACGCTTTTTAAGGATCTCCCCCCATATCCACCGTTCATTGCACGCCAGCGGTAGTCTTCCCCATCACTCTCACGTCTCGGACCACCGACGACCTCACTCCCAACGACGTCTCCGCAGCATCTCCTTCAAACACAACCACCACCACTGCACCCAACATCCGCAGTCTATAGCTAGGAAGAACAGAAGGAAATTCATGACGTCGTCATAGATCCCCCTTCCAAGCCACGTCGAAAAATTCAGCAAAGAACAGAGAGAAACATCCAAAAAAAGATTTTCGGATCACCCACCCGGTGCCTCACTTTGTAGACGAAACACCCATGGCTGGGAATGAATCCATGAGAAAACGGAAAGGGGGTATAAACCGGTTCGACATCCCATAAGATACAGCCCAGGACATGAGGAAGGTCAAGCACGTTGATATATTGGTGCTTGACGTAATGGAGAAATTTTCAGGTCCGAGAATCGGAGAAACACGCGAGATAAAGTAGCAAAATATGAGGAGAGGGATGTGAAGGTTGGAAAATGGGACGCGATGTAGTGTTTTAGATGCAGTTTCAATAGTCAGTGGGGCGCGCACTGAATGGGATCAGGGAGTTCGAGGGTCCGCCAACCCAAGTTTTGTCCTGGTTCAATGAACGTCCCAATGAGGAGCAACTGTCAGCACATATAATATCGTAAACATGCCAGAACTCAAATTTCGAAGCGATGAATCACCTGTTCGATGGAGTTGACAGGTGTTTAAAGAGAGGCTTGCACAAATGGATGAAAAGATGCCTTCGAAAACCTCTGCAATCTTTTCCCCGCAGATTGCAACCTGGCCAGAATGCAGTATGTACTTGAATATGGTCAAATAACCTGCTCATGAAGGGAAATGCATGAAAACAATGAGAGTGACACCATTCCTTATGTCACGGGAGGGTATGATGCAGTCGAAATAGAAAATGTCGGGAAGGTAGATTATTGGGGGATTCAATCGGTCGAGGTTGATGGCCGCGGGGGGGGGGGGGTAATAGTGGTTGTATGTATCACTGACAGGGCCATTCAAATGACTCAAGCCATGCGCTGGTAGAACAGCAGATACGCAACCTTGTTGTCCCGGCTGCCATATCTGCCAAGGGGTGTTCGAATTCCGGATGATGTTTGGGGCGAGGGGGTCACGCCGTTGACAGACTTTTTGCTTGCATGTCCGGTAGTGCCATTTCCATTGACCTGGCTCCAACCCTTCTCACTATCGGTGGTGTCCATCTCATCTTGATCAATGTGATCAAAGATGTTGCCGCGAGGGGTTTTGTCCTGCTTGTGTTGCTCAAGGGCTGCTGCAAGCACCTTGGGGTCTTCTTCACCACCTGCCTCCGCAACATCTTCGCTGCGAACGCGGCGAATCACAGTATCATCTATGCGGATCCACTCACGACCGTCTTGGCGCCTTGCATCCACTGTATAATGGCCACCGCTGGCGTTCTTGCCATGATGATAGATAACACCCATGAGGCGATACTTGGGAAGACCCCCATGGGCGGTCATGGCATTGCGTCGGTGAGCAGGGAAAACCTCGCGAGGGATCTCCAAATCGAGTGGGTATCCAACCTTCTTCCAAATCTTCTGGGTCGCACCGGTCAGACTGTCATACTGGAAGCGCTTGAGGTGAAGAATGAGCACGGGGGGCAATGTCTCAATAAATATCTGCTTGGTAGCAGTGACGTTGGAACCGCGCGACGAGTTGAAGTCACCCTGGATACTCTCAGGCTTGGTCAGTCCCTTCAGAGCATCGATGATGTTGTGCACATCAGGTGCCCCAATATCCAGCTGCAACGGTTGATAAGGCTCCATAGTGACAGAAGTCTTATTGCCCGGGACCTTGAACTCGGATCGTAGCTTGCCGCCAAAAATTCTTGTTACTGGCGATTCGGTGGAGACAGCTCCGGACGATTGAGTAACAGCGGCCTTTTGCTTGTGACCAACCTCGAGCCATCCATCAGCAGAGCCATCGCCTGAATCCTGCGCGCTCTGAACCTTGGACGCGTGCTCGGAAGCACGTTCGCATTCCTCATGCAGTTCCTCAAGAAGGAAGCCCAAGAATTCTTGTGCGTCTTGTTGGTGTCCACGCCGCATGTCTCTGAATCGAGGGAGCTGTCGAATCATCTCATAGACAAACTCAGGAACAAAGGGTTCGCCGTACTGCTCCAGCTCATTGGGCTTCAACCGCATCCTCAACTGCTCTTCCGAAGTTGCAGCGTCGATGACACGGAACTCTCTCATGAACATGATCAAAGCATCGATTAAAGGCATGTCGCTGTGGAAGCTGTGAGCAGCACGATGGCCAACATGGTCGAGGAACTGATGGAAAGGCACGCAAGAGACGAGGATTTGAAGGACAGAGTTCATGTAGCACATGTTGCCGGTGTTGACCAGCCCGCGAGGCTCGATAAAACCGATCTTGTCGCTATATTGGGTGACATCTTGACCAAGACTGCTGAGAACGTCTGCGAGTGTTTCACTCTTCTGCATAGCCAGTGGGTTCGGCTCGGCCGAATTAGGCGCAGCCTGGCGCGCGGCCAGCTTTGCGCCAAACAAGCCAGCCCATGACTTCGGACCGGCTGGCTTGGAAGTTTCAGGAGTACCTGCCTCCGACCCATTCTCGGCAGTAGTGGGGGCAGTCGACTTTGGGGTTTCCGAGGAAGTGCTGGTGTTATATTTGCCCTGACGCGGTGTTCCAGGAGCATTCGGGACCAATGGAACAACCGGGGCAATGGGAATCACAGGTCGTGAATCGCTCTGTTGAGACGGAAGTTTTGCGGTTGAAGAAGGAGTGGTAGGGTGGGTGGAGTTCGTATCAGACTGGGGAATGGAGCCAGTGGGTGTCTGGGGCTCTGAGACGGCTTGGGTTGGTTCTTCCAGCATCGCTTCCTCGATCTCTCCTTTTCTCTCACCGATGATCCACTGGCCATCCTTCTTGGGAAACTCGACAGATTTCGGCATTACTCGGGTCTTCCAGCGCCGGGATGCAGCTCGGGCAGGGAAAGGCACTTCAGGAACAGACAACCATGGAACCTAAATCGAGTCAGATCACCTTGGAAAATAGAGTTGTCACATCAATTTGGAAAGAACTCACGGGCGCAACAAAAACAGGCTTGGGTTCTGGGAGGATGGGCTCTGCGACAGCCTTGGGCTCCCATCGTGGGGACGGTGACGCGACAGGGTAAAGCTGAGGCTGGACAGGCATGATGTTGTGGTCCTGCATTTCAGGGTGGAAAGGAGGTGCTTGGATTGACGGCGACATGGCCTGCAAAGGAGTTGCCGTTCGCGGCTGCATTGGCATAGTGTGAGGGGGAAGGTGGTTGGGCGCCATAATGGGTTGTGATTGGGGGTATGAGGACACAATCATCGGTCCATAAGGTGTAGGCGGCGGGTAGTGGCGAGGGCCCATTTGCATATGATTGTATGGCGCAGCAGCAGGAGGGTACCACTGGTTAGGTTGGAACTGCTGTGGTGAATACGTAGGAGGCATATGTGCGTTCATGTGTGGTGGGTAGGCCATGCCCATATACGGGGATCCCCGCATATTTGGTGGTCCAGGGTAGGCGAAGTCTTGCTGTCGCCGTGATGGAGGCATCGGCGGCTGCCCGTGATGCATTGTGGGCAGATGGTGATTCATCTTGAGGCTCTAGACGTTGCCTTTAGACGGATTTGGCCACGCGTTGTGTCAAGTCGCCATGCGCCGAGGGATCTCGATGTGAGCGCAAAATCGGAAGCCTCAGGCGCGCTTACGCAGCCATATTGGCCTCTTGAGGGGATCGTGGGAGAATTTCGCGGGCTAGCTGGATAAAGCGGAATCGGTCGAGCTCAATGGCTAGAGGGAGAGAAAACTGTAAGCATTCACAAAACGCAGCAAGACGAACAAAGGATGAAAGAAAAATACCTGGATAGCTTTTTCCAATATCAGGCGAATGAGGTTGGCGACCAGGCAATACAAGGACCCGGATAATGAAGGGAAGGATAGACAGGCTGTCCCTCATTAACGTATTCTGAAGCGAAGCTGAAGTGGAAATCTGCTGAGTCATCCATATCTGAGTCAGCCAGCACGTGCCGGCGATGTCATGCTCGCCCCTCCTCATCTCTGAACGGCAGCGGTTCCCGAACGCTCGTCTCATTCTTAGATGGCCTCTCGGGGCTTCGTCTATCATAATCGACCCAACTTTCCAGATTGGCCTTGCCCTTGATCTCGTCGTGCATGACATGGTCTCCGCCAAACTACCCCGATCTACGGATTACCTTATCTTTATACATCCAGTACTGTCAGGACCCCTCGTTCTCCAATCCAACCGGTTTTCGATCTTTTGCAGGCACTTTGCCTGACCGATAAGCTGTCTGAACTGTCGAGCGATCCTTTGGAGATGTCGTCCAATGCAGGACAGAATCAGGCTCCCTCCAAAGCGGTAAACATCTCGAATACCTCGGCCACGTCTACATTCCACTCGACACCTCCAATCGACAGTGGCCCACAAAAACGCACTGGGGGCTCTGGAAGCTTCGGCTCTGGCTCATCTTCGAGGAACTCACCCACGGCGAGAAATAGCCAGGGTCGAAAGAATCAACACAAAAACCAGAGGAAACCCCGGCTACTAAATGATGACGAATACAACGAATCGGTTGGTGCTCCAGCATCTGCGCGTAAAAGACGATCGTCTGCTGACCCTTTGATCTCTCCTGCTCAGGCCGTCATGAGATCAACAAATAGTCGCAAAGGACAGACGTCCATTACACATTTGATGAACTTTTCCCTCCCACCTCGCCCACAGTATCAACCACCACCACGCAACACGCGCCGCTATCAGTCATGGGGAGCGGGATCCGGATATCATGCAGTGGACAAGGCACGCTATGTGCACGCCAACTATCGATTCATTGTGTCGCCCGATCGCAATTATCATGCACAAGCAGCCAACGCCGATGTTCACTTGGACTGGGATTCAGTTCTCCAAGTACTTGTATCGGCTCAGACCCAAGCAGCTAGCTGTCCGATTTGTCTATCTACGCCTGTCGCTCCTAGAATGGCCCGTTGCGGTCATATCTTTTGTCTACCTTGTCTCATTCGCTATATGCATGCATCATCTGATGATGATACCCCACTCCCCGAGAAAAAGGCTCGATGGAAGAAGTGCCCAATTTGCTGGGACTCGATATATACATCAGAAACTCGCCCGGTTCGATGGTTCCGTGGCCAGGAAGGTGACCTCCCCGTAGAGGGTGGGGATGTCGTGCTGAGATTGGTCAAGCGGGAACCCGGTAGTACGCTCGCTTTGCCTCGCGACGGTGCTGAGACTCTCGGTGCTGGACAGGATATTCCATGGTATCATGTTGCAGAAGTAGCGGACTACGCTCGCATCATGAAGGGCGGAGAGGCCTATATGATTTCCCAATATGAGACTGAAATCGAGGACTTGCGCCAGCAAGCCGTCGAGGATGAGCTACTTTTCGGCGATGAGAACACCTGGACTCGCAAGGCGATTGGAGCTATCAACGCTTCGAAAGAGAAGCTCAAAGGCATTGGTAATCCGCCTGACGTTTCATGGCAACCCAAGGCTGCTAAAGAGCCACCTGTGGAAGTTGTTGGCCCCGCAGTCAACGCGAAAGAGCCTACGATGCCAGTCGCAAGTGACTCTTCGGCCGAATCTGTGCCTGAGTCAAACACGGATGCACTACAACACGTGACGGAATCTTCCTCAACACCCGCCATGTCAGACGAAGCGGAGCATCTCTCAGAGGCCTTGCAAAACATCAACATATCCTCTGAGCTAAACACCAAACCCAAAACTAGGGGCAGGGGCAAAGAGCCACAGGTCTCGCAGCCATCTGACCAACCTTACTTCTTCTACCAGGCTCTACCCCAATTCTACCTGTCGTCTCTAGATATCCGGATTCTCAAGGCGGCATTCAACGAATACGCTGATTTCCCAGCGACTATTTTGCCGCGCGTGGAGCACATTTCCACCGGTCACATCGTTGATGATGATCTTCGCAAGCGAGTGAAATATCTGGGCCACTTGCCTTACGGTTGTGAGGTCAACTTTCTTGAATGCGATTGGAGGGACGTGGTCGTGCCAGAAGTTCTAAACCGTTTTCGTTCTGAGACTGATCGGAGGCGCAAGCGCAATCGTGAGAAAGAGGCGCGTGAAGAGAAGGACCGCATTCGTGCCGAAAAGGAAGAAGACGATAAAAGATGGGCCGCTGCACGGCGCAAGCGGCCCAGCATCGGCAGTGCTAGTGAAGCACCATTCTCTGCACGAGATTTCCAACCATTGGCTAGTGGCCTCGACCCTGCCCTGTTTGATACCGGTGCTTCTTCTGCTTCTCCTCCCCGTGCATCCTCTCAATTTGGAGCATTGGCTTCGCCATCCAACAGCCCCCCGGGCTCACGTACAGTCTGGGGGACCACAATTGTGGGATCACTTTCCCCCACTTGAGGCTCAAAGTGGAACCCCCAATGATGGATGGTTGCACGGCTGGGAGGACGAACTGCTAGCGCATCAAGAGTCCGCCATTATGGCCCAGACTGCCGCTGAAGCTCAACCCGCCGGTCCATCCACATCTACGCCCACGGGCGGAGGGAAGAAAGAAGAAGAAGAACAAGATTACGTTGATGTCAACGAACAGCCATCGAGCCGCATAGCCATTGACCAAGCAGTTAGGGTCATCGATCACACGGCGAACATGTGTGCTTATTATTCCACTTGCCATTGCATCGTACTATTTGACTTGACCCTATATGCCCAGGGTTTCATGTCTGCTGTGTCCACATTTCAATCCCAACATTTTGATTCAAGCGCGCACATTTGAATGAAAATAAACATACCATAGAGTCTTGTCTCAATAAGAGCATATGTTATAGAATTTATGTTTGTACCCGGCAGTCAGAGTAAAATTTAAATGGAAGTAAGCTTGGTCACGATTGGGATTCATGCAAGGAACGACCCGCTTGGCGCATGATCGACGCTGCAGTCTGTAAAAAAAAAATAAAAATAAAAATAAACAAAAAAAAAAGATGAAGAGAAAAAGAGAACGATCGCTGGCGAAGAGGTATTGATTGAGAAGCGGCAAAGCCAAGAGTCATTTACGAGTCTTGAAATATGACTAGACAGCAAATAGATCCACCGTACAAGCAACAGGAAGTTGACAGCGAGCACTGTGGGGAGAAACCCAGCGGAAAAGGCGTGAGCCGGGTGTAATCAACGTAATATGCAGGTAACAATTAGTCGAAATGGCCTCCGGCGGTTGGTATTTTTGCCGTACCGACGCATATTGCAGTAGGCGGAAAACCAGGTACGGGAAATGTAAACATGTCCTTGTTTTTCTCTAGTCGCCTCCCTTTCCATTCTCCTTCCCTCTCTTCCTCCACCACTTCCCTATTCCCAATTTCCCAATCGGATCCCGGTCCTCGGTCCTTCCGATTAGGCCATGACTCTCACGCGCTCCCAAACGGGGAAAACCCCTAAGTAGGTGATTCCCGTTCGGATCTGTCTTGCGATCCACCCTCCCGTTATATCATGACCCCCTGCGATTCCATACTTTGCCCAGAACACTTCAACTAATCTGCTTGCTTTCCGCGCATCGCAGGAAAATGGATCGCCCTGGTTATATCGAGACTCCTGGTCGTCGATCGTCCCGTAAGAGCTCGGCTTTCGATACGAGCGAGAATGATGCCTCCGACTCGGCTGGACCCAGATCGAAGTCGACCACTCGTCGTCGCACATCGGGTAAGGTCAAGGATGAGGAAGAGGAGACGACTCCTGTGACCCTTGCGCCCTCGACCAATGGCAAAGCGGCGACACCGAAGAAGTCGAAGGCGAAGTCCAAGTCGCGCATTGTCGATGGCTGGGAGGAGGGACTCGATCCTAAGATCGATTATAGTGGACACTACGAGTTTGGTGGCTCTCTGGGTGTGCTGTCTATGATGATTGGTTTCCCAATGCTCATGTATTACATGTGGATTGGCGCGACTTATTACGATGGCAAATTCCCAACTCGTGAGGAGGGGCAGAGCTTCGCGGAGTTCTTCGCTCATATGGGGCAATTGGTTTACAATGGCGCGTTCCCTTCGCTGAAGGCTTGGACTATCTACTGGGTCTTTTTCCTTTTCGAGGGCGCGTGCTACGTGCTTTTACCCGGTGTGTCTGTCTCAGGGCGTCCCCTCCCGCACTTGGGTGGCAAGCAGCTTCCTTACTACTGCTCAGCTGTGTGGTCGTTTTACACCAGCATTGTGCTGGTGTTGGCTCTGCACTTCACTGGCCTCTTCAAGCTTTACACTCTCATTGATGAGTTTGGTCCTCTTCTTAGTGTCGCCATTCTGTCGGGCTTCTTGGTCTCCTTCGTGGCCTACTTCTCGGCTCTGGCTCGCGGCGCCGAGCACCGTATGTCCGGATCTCCGATCTATGATTTCTTCATGGGTGCTGAGCTCAACCCGCGCATGTTTGGCATTTTGGACTTCAAGATGTTCTTCGAGGTCCGCCTCCCCTGGTTCATCCTGCTCTTCCTTTCTATGGGTGCTGCCGCTCGTCAGTGGGAGGTTTACGGATACGTGTCTGGCGAGGTCATGTTCCTCGTCATGGCGCACTTCCTGTACGCCAACGCTTGCTCCAAGGGGAGGAATGCATTGTTTCTACCTGGTAAGTCTGACTCCCGAATTGAGCAAGAACCTCAAACTCACAATATCTAGGGATATGTACTACGAGAAGTGGGGCTTCATGCTCATCTTCTGGAACTTGGCAGGTGTGCCTCTGAGCTACTGCCACTGTACCATCTACCTGGCCAACCACGACCCCAGCGAGTACCACTGGAACCGCTTCTTCCTTGTTTTCCTCTACGTTGCATACTTGTTCGTGTACTGGGTTTGGGATACCACCAACAGCCAGAAGAACCGTTTCCGCCAACAGGAGCGTGGTACCATGGTCACTCGTAACACCTTCCCCCAGCTGCCGTGGCAAACCGTGAACAACCCCAAGACTCTCACTTCCGCCGAGGGCTCCAAGATTCTTGTTGATGGGTGGTGTAAGTGCATTCCAAATAGAGCTCGCGTGCTTTAGGTACTAACGTTTGGCTACAGACGGCAAGGCGCGCAAGATCCACTATACCTGCGATCTCTACTTCGCTCTGAACTGGGGCCTGATCACCGGCTTTTCCAGCCCCTTCCCCTGGTTCTACCCGCTCTTCTTCGCCTGCATGATCTCCCATCGTGCCCTCCGTGACATTCAGCGGTGCCGCATCAAGTATGGTGAGACTTGGCTCGAGTACGAGCGCCAGGTGCCCTACCTTTTCATTCCCGTGAGTTTCACTCTTCGCAAACTAAGAATGTATACTAACCGTTGCATCAGTACGTCTTCTAATGGCCACATAATCAACCCCTTCTACCCCGTTTACAATTTTTGTACAGGGGCTCTGAGGTCATCTAATTTCCGACAGCCCATCAAAATTGCCGGGATCACTCTTGGGATATTCTCTTCGCCACAAACTTAAGATACTTCTTCATAATTCTTGCCTTGGTGCTGTTGCTTTGCCTTGCGCCTTGGTGTGGCCTTTTCTGTTCCATGTATATTATTCACCGGGTCGCCACGGGTTAACGTTTCTTTTCCGAATTTCAGCGAACCCCAACACATTTCTAAAAATAAAACATTCTCTGTCGAATTGTACTCTTGCACTCTAGAAAAGGTGCTGCGTCCCACTTTGTCAGCGCACATGACTGTCCCGGCCCCGCGTCCTTATCGATAAACTGCTTCGCGAGCCCGCTACGTCAAGTATTTCCAGCTTCGTAGCTCTTGAAGCATTCTTTCTAGCGTGGGATCAGAGATCACTTACACCATGCTCGTCCAAGAAACCACCCACGATGTTCCCACCACAGCCGATGGCCAGGGGTCGATGCGTATGTACACTCTCGCCCATCCACCCACCATTCAAGCTCGCATTGATCCCAATAGCGACGTACCAAGCACTAACAATTTGTAGGCATCTACGTCTTCCATCCATCAATCCCAGGCTACCCGAAAGCTCGCTTTCCCGGCGTTGTCGTCTTTAGCGAGATCTACCAAGGTTGAGAGCTCCCCACGTCATAAGATAGACAACACCTAACGCCTTCTCCGCCTTCAGTGACCGGCCCCGTCGCACGCTTCGCCCGCCAAATCGCCGGCCAGGGCTACATCTGCGCTGCTCCATCTCAGTTACCATGAATTCACAGGCCCCGAGCCCTTGAAATATGATGCCGAGGACACGGACAATGGCAACAAATGGAAGATCACCAAGGTACCTCTCCTTTCCAGCCTGCTACATATTTCTTTGCCTAGTCTATCACATTTCCCAGAGCATCATAGCCTCCACAACCTATGCTGACCAGTCGCAAAGAAACTTTCTGCCTACGACGAAGATGCTAGCCTCTGCGTCGACTACCTCCTCTCTCTGGATACCTGCAATGGCCGCGTCGGCGCCACGGGCATGTGCCTCGGTGGACATCTCGCGTACCGCTGCGCGCTCGATAGCCGCGTGAAGGCTGCAGTGTGCTACTTCGCTACAGACATTCACAGCAAGACGCTGGCGCAGGGCAAGAACGATGATAGTCTGCAGCGCGCCGGGGATATCAAGGGCGAATTATTGATGGTATGTGTATAGGATTAATTCTTGTTCCCTATCCCATCCATTTATCTGCGGGCGCTAGGATGAGTGCTCGGGGCTTCAATATAGGAACTGACCATGCCAGATCTTTGGCAAAAACGATAATCACGTCCCGCCCGAAGGCCGCGATTTGATTCGCAAGACCTTGCACGAGAAAGGGGTTTTGTTCGGCTTTTACGAGGTTGCTTGGGCTCAGCGTAAGTTTTGTTCTTTTTTTTCCCTGTCCCTCCTTTCGGATTGTCCTTTGGAATTGCCTTTCAGTGCAAGGCATTACAGTTTGGAATTTCCAAGCAACCAACTCTTAAAGTTCTAGTTTTCCTTGATCTCTAGCGAACGGAGCTGACGTAGCCCAGATGCTTTTATCCGCGATGAGCTCAGCAAGGGCCGCTACGATCCGGCAATTACTAAGGTGTGCTTTGAGATGATGATGGAGTTGTTCGGGCGCACGTTGAAGCTGGATCTGGGTGAGCCTGATGGGAAGAAGTTGGTTGTTGAGGATGTCTGCTAGAGGCAATCCTTACTGCGGTCGTTTGGGGGGGCTAGAGCTGGAGCTCGCAGAGATCTGGAGCACAGACGTGACAAGGGGGACAGACTTCGATAGTGAGGCTGGTTGGAAAAGTGACTGGGTCATGGAATCAAGGGCTGAGTTGAGCTGTTCTATGGTAACCTAGTCGACGGAATCATGGAGCAAGGGCGGGGGTGGCTGGCCGATGTCCGACGAGTTCCACTGTTCCACACCTTTATGGATGTAGAGAGAGAGAGAGAGCCACCGAGTCACCTAGTTACCTTAGTTACCTTAGTTACCTCCACCTAGTTACCAGAGACTAAAAGTTGGGGACTACGCCATCGGGAGTCTGTGCCTTTTGGCCGACTCCTCACGTTGCTGCACATTATCCCAGAGATTCATGCTAAGAATAGCGGCCCGGAACCACGGACAGGGCCGTTGCCACAGTTCCATGGATGAGGTCCCAGGACCCAGGACCCAGGCACAATCCCAATGATAATAATCGAAGGATAGAGAACTACAGACCCGTTTGACCCATTTTCGGTGCTCAATTTACGCCGCCTAAATCTAGCACTAGCGTCGGCCATTCCCTGTTCATGCCCACTCGTAGCCTCTCTTCCATTCCTTCACTTCACCTGGTCTATCGCTAGAAACCTCCGGAATCTTCCCATCCCCTCGCTCCATCCTCGCTCTCTTCGCTCTCTACTGTCGCCATCGTTCAAATCGCGGGTCAGGGGACTCTATTTGGCCCCCGGTCCCCAGTCACCAGCCTCACCAAGACGGTCACCGCGACCGTAATCGCACCGCCATGGGTTCGACGCAATTCGGCAATTTCCACGTGAGTCCACGGCACCACCCTGAATTCCTGGAATCGATGCGCCGCATTCCAGTAATCCGCGCTCAAAGCCCATCGTTAACCTCCTCTCTCTCGGGCTTCACAGGACTTTTGTCGCGACTCGACACTGCCCGTCTGCAACGTACGTTCACGAGTCTTCCAATTCTCTGGTCGCAACCCCAATCTCAACTTCGAAACTAACTACTCTGGAACAGCTGTTCAAGGTCAATCAGCCCCCGAACCTGCATTACAACGGGTGTCCGCTTTATGGCATTAAACTCAGCGGCGATCGCTACCTCGCCAATCTTGGTAATTACCTTGCCGCGCGTTGGTGAATGGTCTTAGTGCTGACCTTAGTCTTCGGGAACAGGCTCCATTCTACTGGCTTTCATTGCGATCCTGGTTTCGGTGGTTTTGATATGGAGGTCGGAAAGGAAGCATGCCGCTGTCGGGCGCCGGTACGTTGATTTCCACTCCTGTGAGAGTCGGACATTAGGTTCTTTTTTCGCCCGAGGCTGACGTACAGGATTTAGGGAGATGCAATTGTTCCTGATTGGGTTCATTGTGATTGAGATTTGTGAGATCTTCACAGTGGGTGGTATTCCACTTGAGGATTCGGTTCGAAAGGTAAGATTTTGGGTTCAACTGGTGTTTCTTGAAGGAGGTTCAATGGCTAATGCGTGACTTCAGGGTTTCTCGGCCGTTCATATTGCGTCTATCACTGCGACTTGCTGGATTTTGCTCATGAATGCGCTTGTGGGCTTTCAATTGCTCGATGATGGTACCCCTGCTTCGATCGGCTTGGTTTGTGGCTCTGCGGTCGTGCTCTTTGTTGGTACCGGCTACATTGCTCTCGACACGGCATTCGATTGGACTGGCCACTTTGCGCCAAGCCACGCGGACCCAAATAGGAATATCGGACTCTACGTCCTATACCAGCTCTTCCCGCTGGTCTGCCTATTCCTGTTCTACGTCCTAGAGGCTGTCCTGGTGTTGCGCGTGCTGGGCGAGTTCCGACCAATGTGTATGTGTCAATTTCCAGCTCGAAGAATCCATCTGCTAATCCTTCCGCAACAGTCTATCTCACCGGCGCAACCCTGCTATTTGCCATTGGTCAGATCTTCCAATACGTGATCAGCGTCCACCTGTGCGAAGCCTCCAACTCCAAGATCAACGGCGCCCTTTTCGAGACGCTATTCACCCTCCTCGCTGTCACCGGAATCTGGACTTTCTGGAGCAGCATCACAGAAGATGACTGGCCCCTGCCCACCACCGGCGGTTACAACTAATTTTTCGTCATTGTACGTGTTCTAAGTGTTTGGGTCTTCTTGCCTGCAGATTCTTTTCTCTCTTTACATACACATATCTGTTCTCCTGTTCTTTAGGCGTTTAGCTTTCTCCATGTTTCGCGGGTGATGAGCCCTACGATCAACTGAGCCTTTTACGTTTGTGATACCACAGTCTTCTGGGTCATGTTTCACGACTTACTGCTTTTTTCTCTCCTGATTTCGCTTCTTTCTCTGCCTTTCGAGCCTGGATATTCTTGGTCGCCCCCAAATATTTCCCGGATTCACGATCTGAGAAGGGAGGTCACCTTGTCGTTGGCTTTTTTGTGTGTCGTCGTTGTCAGATACCTCTCCATCCTGTACTTAGGTTATAACCATGTCCAATAATCAACGCATTACTTTTAGTCTTTCCTTCATGTCCCATACATTATACATCTCTGGCTAGGCCACTTCCACTTTTCCAATGATCCACCTTTACCTTGAATCCAGAATCCCACCCCGAGAGACAAGCAGCATCCTCAATGTGACCCAGTGCCACCGGGCACGGGGGGGTGTCACTTCCGTTCTTCACGTATCCGCTCATGGGTATGACATGCATACCTAGAACCACTTCTACAGAGACATTCTTTTTTGAGAGCTACATCCGAACCAAATCTACATAAAATGCAAATAAATACTTCTCATGAGCCCAGCCATCGAAAAACTCGAACGCACTCTCCTCTGCCTCGCCCTTGATCATAAACCAAAAGCCTCGCATAAACATATCCAACATGCACATCAAGACCATCCTCTTCCTAGCCTGGCACTTGGCATCTAGTGTCATCGCTTCACATATTCCACAGGAACAGAGATGCAACTTACCTCGTAGGCCACCATTCTCATTCCCTTCGCTATACACGACTTTCCAAAATGTTCAAGTTGACCATGGAACAGAGATCGAGCAGAACCATCTCGCCGTCGATCAACTTCCCCCAGCCTGTAACCTCCCGGCCTGTCTGGGCCTCACCGGCACAATCACCTGCATAGTCTCCGCAGTGACCAGCGACGACGAAGCTGCATTACAACGATGTATCAGTGACGGATTGACCGAGGTAACTTTCATCTGGTTCCCTTCTCTTGTCTCTTTCTAGCTAGCACTGGCTTTGGACCTTTGCTGAAATGTGTTCAGATCTGCTCGTGTGCCGCTTGTATTCCATCGCTCATGAACTTTCTACTTTCTCTCGGTGTCTGTGTGACGATGCCGAAGAACACGACCGAGGTTAATGGAAGTGCTTGTCCTGGGTTTGTGGCGAGTCCGACGACACCAGCGAATAGGACGGGTACGTCTGTTGGTACGTCGAGGACGTCGAGTCTGTAGTCGGGTGTAGGGGGGGCTCTGGTGGGAGAGTGAACTCGTTGTGTGCTACTTTCAAAAGGGACTCGACTTTAGTCTGAAGTGGTTATGCCTTTTACTAGGTACGGTCTGTTTCTTTTTGAGTGGCATCAAAGAATTCAGGAAATGAAAGTCCTGTGCTGTTTTCTAAAGGAGCATACTTTGTACTTGAAATTCAAAATATGAGAATCATTTTCAGTGATGATGGGATGTGGTTCTACGAATCTAAAGAATACGTGTAAAGGGAGCTTGATTTCCGAGTTTGACTTGGGAGAAACTGAGCAGGTTTTTATTTTACTGGTCAAGTCTAGGTAATACCCCGCCGCCCGCGGCCATCCAACGTTATGAACACTTAACGCATACACTTCATTTGCACGATCATCGGCGACGTAATAGGCCTTGATGTTTTAGATCTTCTCCTCATTTCATCATTTCCGACTGCGCTCCTCTAGTATCTGGGAGGACGCTCAGCAGCCTTGTCAACGCGAAGTCTCCTGCCCTCGAACCTGGACGCGGTTAAACACCTCTGCTAGGTAAAGGATCGAAAGAAAACAACTTACTCCTGGTCGTTCATGGCGTTCATGGCAGCGGTGGCCTCATCGTCGGAAGCGAAGGTAACGAAGCCGAAGCCGCGGGAGCGACCGGTTTCACGGTCCTTCAGGACGATCTGGAGATTATTAGCGGATATTCTCCCAGCCAAAAAAAAAAAACCTCAAAGAAAAAAAACTCAGAGAAAAAAAAAAGGGTAACACGTGTCAACTTACAGCATCGGTGACCTGACCGAACTGCTCGAAACCCTGACGCAGGCTGTCATCAGTAGTGGCCCAGGCCAAACCGCTGAAAAACAGTATTAGCAAAGGAGATCAGTTTAGGAGTATTGGGTTCTCGAACCCAACGAAAAGCTTCGACATTTTTGAGTAGAAGAGAAAGGGGGAAGGAAAAGGAGGATGATAGGAGTTAAAAGGGAGATAGATGGTGAATGACCTTTTCAGAAAAAGGTTCAGGAGAGAGGGAGGGGTACTCTAAAGCGGTGACAGAGAAAATTGAGAACCTTGGGGCAGATTTGTTTTACTGGTCCACGGCGGATTGCTGGGCGGTGCAAAATTGTACCCCGCGGCCAACACTCTGTGATTGGCACGCTTCGACGCGGGTCACATTTGCGAACATTTTAAGTCTCCATACACAATGCCAGGTCGGATCGCCAAATTGTCGAAAATCAGGGCTATTTTCTCGGACACAACTTGACGCGGAAATCGTAAGAGCCTGGATGTAGCATGTTCCGATATAGCTATGGCTCCACTTCTTATCAGCCCAAGACTGTTGGGGGGGGGGGGTGCTGACATATCACACAATACCAGAATCTGCACATTATCATGCCATGAGAAGATGAACATGAAATATGAAAGGATGTTCGCAGATGCATTTGACCCATCCACGGAGACAACCTGAGCTCGTTCAGCGAAGCTGCTTTATCTCTTGGTCCAGTATGGGTATTGCATCGCAACGACCAGCAGACATTTCAGGTACAACATCACCGCACCCACTCTGGGGTGATGGTATATTGGGATGGCTGGTCTTGTTAGACTGCATTACTGTAGACATTACTCTAGACAAAAGCGCATGTGTACAAGCACTCTGAATCCCAGGCTTGACCACTAGACTTGATCAGCGCGGATATTCAATGGAAAACTGAGGGGCATCTTGTTCAATTGGTAGTTCTTCTGAATACTTCATGCATTGATAGGTCATACTCCGCCCACAAACGTGAACATGATATGAATCAAGCCGTGTAGCTGAATGTGCACGCTAATTTTAGATCCCAGAGTAGAAGGGGTTGCAAGACGCTACAATCGGACTCAAAAGGACAATTTGAGCATCTCCCATGCAGCGGCTATGACACGTCGGCGAGGGCCAACCTCTAGAGGTGTTTAAACCATATATTGGAGCCTCGCATAGAGATGTCTAAGATACTGGAAATTGACTAGGGAAAGTTGGGAAAGACTACGAGTGCAGCCTTGAGGCCCCCTTGGATTGTCTCCTCGATCGGGCTGCATGCAATGCTCAGCCTAGGAATTGACCCATGAAGAAAGATTTCTGTTCGAGAGTAAATTCAAAAATTTGTAAACGTCAGGCATTATGCAGTCCATGTACAGTTGATGAAATACAGCTTCATTTCCGAGGCTTGAGGGCAGTCAATCCAGGTCCACTGTCAAGATTCCTTCTGCCAAACTGACCTGAAGCCCTTGTGGCCCACACCGTCAGAGAAAGAAGATATGGTGATCCTCTCGCTCATGCCAACATCACAATGTCAAAATCAAAGAACAGATCAGACCAGATCCAATAAATGAACGCCTTTTCAATTCATTAGTCTATAAACGCACTTTCACATCCACGCAGGGAAGCATCCACTCGCGGCGCCCCCACAGGTTCCGCAACCATTCCAAGCCCACACCCGTCCACTCGGCGGGTTTTGTTTCCACGCCGAGCCGCTGCTGGGCGCCTTCAAGAGCAGCTCCAGCCAATGCCTTGGCAGTCGAGTTGAAGGTGTCAAAGACGAAACCTGTCAAGCTGTCGCCTGGTAGTGGCGCAGCGGTTGTGGCGTTGCCGGACATGATGCCATACTCGGTTGGCTCAGATGTGTATCGCGGCGCAAACCAGTTGCTGCGTAGATCGAAGATGCACCGGTCCGACCAGTGGCAGGATGAGACGAAGAGGATGAGGAGGAGCGCTGAGCAGTAGATGCAAGGCCGGTGGATGATGTAGGTGAGGGCGACGAAGGAGATGATGAAGAGAGGCGAAGCGTTCGTAGGAATGAAGAGGAGGGGTAGCCAGCTGTAGTTTTGTTACTTCATGTCAGTCTGATCTTGTCGTATCAAGGTGTAAAGACTGTTGGGTCTGATGGTCCTCGTGGGTTCATCTTACCTCCGGAGACAGAACATGATGGGTGAGGGCAGCCCGTGGGCTCCGAACGGCAGTAGATTGTCAAAGAGGGCCTTTTAGATTTCTAGACGTAGATCGGAGGCACCAGGAACATGCTATTGACTTGAAAAGTTGACAAGCATGGGTAAGAAGAGAAGAAGGTGACGAGCGGCGCAACACAATCACCGCCTTCGAGCCACCGCACCAGCCACGCTGCATTTCGCTTCTCCAATTTGACCTCATCCTTTCTTCTTTCACAACCTCTCACTTCGCTTTCCACAACTTCATCTTACTTTCCATAAACCTATCAATTTGTTCAATCTTTGCTTTCTGATAGACTGGTCGTCGCTTTTCGATTTTCTTTTCTCGAAAGAGAGCTCTTGAAAGCTCGAAAAGCTTGGTTTTCGTGCGGAGGTCGCTTGTTTTCTACAGCGCACGGCAGAAATGTCTACCCCGAACGATCTCCAGACCCTACTGGCCAGCATTAGGGGACGTCCATCGCCCCCTAATGGCCCCGGTCAGGATTATTATCAGCAACGTCCCCAGCAGCAATACCAACAGCCTTACCAGCCGGGAATGTTCCCGCCTCATCACCCCCAGCAGCCGTACGACGGACAGGGCTATCCCCATCCCCAGCCGCACGGTTACTTTCACCCATCAGTCTCGTCAAATATGCAGAGTCCTGCCCCAGTGAATACCCCGCCTCACCATGGCTCTGATATCCTCAGCCCGAATGTGCCGACTCCTCGTAATGACTGGCCTCAGCAGCCGCCACAGCAGCAGCAGCAGCAGCAGCCGCCGCAACCAGTTGACCTGCTGAGTCTTCTGCGATTCAGCCAGGGTCAGGGTGCGGCTCCTTCGCAAGCTCCAGTCATGGCTCCCGAGCAGTCTCGCTCTCCGCCCACACAGGAGACGACCTCGCCACACGGACGAAACACTTCCGCCTCGGACTTTGTCGCCTCGCTGTTCGGCAAACAGGCCGCCCCCCCTGCTCCTGCGCCCTCTGCCCCCGCCGAGGCGCCTCCTGCTCAGCCGGAAGGCCCGAGTGAGAACACACAGGATATGCTGCTCCGCCTGCTCAACCGATATCAGCCCGGTCCTGAATGTCGCAGACGCGCCGGCGCTGGTTCCAACTACCCAGACTGCTGCTCCCGAGTCGGCCAAGAATGAGCCCAAGGAGATCATTGAGATTGTAGAGGCTAGCCCTAAAGCGCCCGCAGAGCCAGAACCGGTCGTGTCCCCGGGCTCTAAGGACTCTATGTTCACATATGTCAACCCTTTCGATCAATTGGCTGCCATGTCTCCTCGCAAGCAGTCCCCGCATCCCCAATCGGACGACGAGGGTCCTGAAATTGAAGTGACGAAGAAGGTCAACGTCACCGCGAATATTGAACGTGTTACCGCTCCCGCAATGCCTCGGCTCAAGCGGAGCGTGACACCGCCTTGGAAAAGGATCAGCAAGATGCGGTCAACGAAGTCGTTGGTCGTCTTGTCGATCAAATCGGTCGTTCTCTCAGTGGTAGTCAAGCGAAGGCCCTGGAACTGGAGAGGGAAGCTCCCACCGTGAAGGAGGAGCCTACCAACACGGTCATTGCGGACATCGCCGATCAATTGCGTGAGACTGTTGCTGAGGCCAAGGAGGAAGCTGGCTTGGAAATGCCTGCCGAATCCGTCAAGCAGGTCAAAATCGACATTTCCTCTTCCCCTGTTGGCCAGAGCGGGAATGAAAACACTGATGCTCTGGCTGATAGCTGGGAAAGCGCAGAAGATAGCGCCGAAAAAGAGGAGGAACGTGTGGTCTCTGTTCACAACTTCCCTCTGCGGCCTTTTATCTCCATCGCGGTGAAGCCGCAGTCTGGGAAGCTTATGACCTTCCGAGACGATGATGTTATGGATATCGCCCGTCTCAAAAAGGAGTTTGACCAGCTCGACCGCTCTTTGACCGCTGCTACCTCTGAATATATTGTTTACGCCCTGGCAAAAACTGGCGGCATCAGAATCATTCGTCAAGACGACGGATCTGACCGACAGGTTCTCCGTTCCACTCGCGATCGCGTATTCAACGTCGCTTTGTGCACTTCTGCCTCCACTACTGGCCAGTCTGAAGTTCAGGCCTTCCTTGGAATCGGTGTCAGTGGCACTGTCTACTGGGCTCTGATCTCGGGCCAGGACAAGGATCTCTTCGAGCAGGATGCTCTGGAGCGCGATAGTCTCATCTTCCCACCGTTCCCTGCCTCCGACGAGAACACCTCCGGTGGCCAGCTGAAAACGCGGGCCAAGCGGAGCACTCGCCACGCCGACTTGTTTGCTATTGGTCGCGGAAAGAACATCTATGTCGTTTCTCCCTATGCGGCTATGCACCCAAACTACGGCGTGTCTGGGGCCCAGCGTACGGTCAACACTGAGAAGTTCCTCAAGGAGCGTGCCCTGAAAATTTCTACTGGCAAAGCCGGAAAGGACTTTGCCTTCAGCGATGATGACACTGTCATTGCCTCTCTCGACAAGACTGGCCGCCTGCGTTTCTGGGACATCAAGGATGTTCTTGAAAATCCCTCATTTGCTGATGGCCCTGTTGCGAATGAAGTTCGGGTTCCCTTGAACACGTTCGTGACTGGCTCGCCCGCTGAAAAATCCTGGCCTACTTCGGTGCTCTTCCTTGACAAGCTTCGCGCCTACTCAAAGTCCACGGCTCTTCGCTATGTGTTGGTTGGACTTAAGCAGAACCATACCTTGCAGCTCTGGGATATTGGGCTGGGCAAGGCTGTGGAGGAAGTGAAGTTCCCCCATGAGAACGAGTCGGACGCCATTTGCAGCGTCGCTTATCACCCGGCGTCGGGTATCGTTGTGGTTGGCCACCCTACGCGCAACTCCATTTACTTCGTTCATCTATCTGCACCCAGATACAACCTGCCTGTGATGTCCCAGGCGGAATTCATCAAGGCATCCACCGAGAAGGACAGTAATTTGCCCAAGCCCGAATCTACTGCTTGTTTGAGCGGCATTCGTGAGATCTCCCTGGGCAGTAAGGGTCAGCTGCGAAGCCTGGAGCTTCTTCCTACCATTAAGTCTGCCACTGATAAGCGTGGTGCCGAGGAAACTGGCCTGTTTGAGCTGTACGTGATGCATTCGCATGGTGTGACCTGCCTGAACATCAAGAAGGAGGACCTGGGATGGACCTCTGATAACAAGGTCATTCGCCCTATCGACGGATTGGAAGAAGGCACGATCGAGATCAGTGACCTTCAGACTTTCCCGAGCTACGTCACGGACGATCCCTCAGTGAATGGGGACACTGCGTCCACCACTCCTTCCCGCGCTGCTACCGTGAAGGATACAGTGAAGAAGACCGACGTATTGGAATCAACTGCTGGCATCATTCCCTCTCGCAACGCTTCTCCCACCAAGGTCGCCAAGAAGAAGCCCGTGGAGGAGCATACCGAATCCGCTACTCCTAGTGGCGCCGAGAAGCCTGAAAAGAAGAAGAAGAAGAAGGCTTCTGCCTCTGAAGCAACTTTAAAGGCCAAGGAGCCCACCGTCTTGGCCGGTATCGAATCTTTCCCGACCAAGGAGATCGATTCTCTTGCTACATCGACTGCTGCCATGGCTGCGACCCGCGCTGCCGAAGGCACAGGTTCTAATGGACTTGTTGTCTCAAGCCTGCCTGCTTCTGCCATCTCAAGTGAGGATCTGAATCAGCACATGGTGACTCTGCAAGGCACTGTCTCCGCTGAGCTCAACAAGTCCCTTGGTCAAGAGTTTGAAAGTCTCTACCGCCGCTTCGATGATGAGCGTCGCAGCTGGGATGCCGCTTCGTCCGCCAAGCAGGATCAAGTCCTTCGTCTGGTCTCAAGCACACTGTCTGACAATGTCGAGAAGAACCTCACCCGTATTGTCTCCCAGAGCATTCAAACTGAGGTTATCCCCGCTATTGGCCAGACGGCTGCCATCGCCGTTGCCAAGCAGGTGAACAGCATTGTCACCCAGCAGCTTGGAAGCCTGTTCAAGGATGAGCTGCGCCAGGCCCTTCCCAAGGCGGTCGCCAATGCTCTGCAACAGCCGGCCGTCCTGAAGACCATCTCAGACTCAGTTGCAGAGAACTTGGCTCCTCGCCTTGAGACCGAGGTCTCGAAGGCTGTGCAAGGTTCGATCGCTCCCTTGATTGAGACCCTGTCCCTCAGCACCAAGAAGATCGAGACCGATATGGAGAGACAGTTCCAGGCTCAGATCAGGTATTACGAGGCCCAGCGCCAGAGCGACAACGCTAAGCTTGAGGAAATGGCTACCATGCTGCGCGGTCTGTCTACCACCGTGGCTTCGCTTGCCGCGAACCAGACTCGCCAGAGCGAGCCAACCCACAACAACCGCCCCTCCGTGGGACGCCCGACACCTGAGGAAATTGTCAATGTTGCTCCTCGGGCAATGCCTCAACCCCAGCCTCAACCTCACCCTCACCCTCTGTCTCGCCCTCAATCCAGACCATCGAGTGGTCCGCCTCAGAACGTTGCCGCCCAGTCGAGTGCTCCTGCTCCCCTCGCCGATACAGCTGAGGCGACTGAGATCTCTCGGCTTCTCAATGCCGGTCGCTACGAGGATGCCACCATGAAGTGGATCCAGTCAAGCCAGCAGGCTGACCTCTTTGACCATGTCTTTGTCAACGTTAGACCCGACTACCTGCCCCGTTTGTCCGCCATGCTCATGCTCTCCGTGGGTGTTGCGGTCACCTCATCCTGCAGACCAACGTCGCCCAGCGTCTGAACTGGATCAATGTGATACTCAATAACATGAACCTTGCCGTATGTTCCACCCATATTACCATACATACCTTCCTACTAACGCACTCGCAGGACCCTGAAATGCGCGATGTCACCCCCAAGATCATGCAGCGTCTTAGCGAGCGCCTGAATGGCCTATACATGGACGTCGTCAACCGCAACCCGCAAGATCCCCTTCTCCGCCTGATCATCCCCCTGACTCGTCGCGCCCACGGCATGAACGTCTAAAACCCTGTCTACATTTTGATTGCATTTGTTACGATCTTATCATTACGCTCACATCGCCGTATATCCTTCACCTGTAACGATACCAAAGCATGCGCATAAGCTTGACTTGAAGGTAGAAGCCGAAGACATGGCTGGGACGCGAGATGCCTTTTCTGGAATTCTCTGGTGCATGTTTACTTTCTTGGCCTGGATTTCGGGATTTCATATTAATGTCTCCTTGATATGCTGATCTATGACCGTACGATATGTTTTGGGGGCTTTCTCATAAGCTTTGGTATTGGTGATTACTGGCTCGGACTTTTAGTTCTGCGCAAGTGTTTATGTGCTGGGCTTGCTATGGATAGGTTCACTTCAATATGAGGGCCATTATTTTTTGTTTTTCAGCCGAGGCAGTTTTTTGTTTTGTCATCCCCACTTTGACGGGGGGTCATTTGTACGAATCTTTAATGCATGGCGTTTTGCTTTTTGTTATGTCGATGTAGATTTGTGATAAGTTGTTTGTAGGTAAATATCTCCGTTTACTTCGGTCAGGTTTGTGGACAACATGATGTCCTGTATATTCACGAGATGAAATGTACGTCTATCTGCGTATGCACTGATACCTCACCACTTCTCGTATGCAACATGCTTCACCCAAAATTCCTTCACTCATGTACCCCATGCTTCATCATGCTTCACCCGCCTCAAATGCCACCAAAGTAAATACTCAAAAGATAAAAGACACGAAAATAAAACATCCCTGTAAAAGGAATAGATGATGTTACCTCAGGGCGATTTTGGCTGTTCCATCAGCGCCTCCTTCAAGCACGGCTGTTGGGTCCCTGAAGATATAGACGTGGGGTTGGATGCCCTGGAAGCAAGGGCATGCTTGATCATGCGACAACCCCATCTTGTCAGACAGGACTGCTAGAACCCTGGCGGTCCCCATCGGCACTAGTACCAATAACATGGTCATGCGTAACCACGTTAACTGGTCTCTCCGGCTCATCAGTCTGGCCTACTCCAGGCTGGTCCGAGGGGGACCGAGGACGAATCACAGTACGACCGATACGGAATAGAGGTGGGCGCGGGGACTCGCGCGTACCTCGCTTACGAGAGCGGTAACTGGATGCTCCATTCTCGGAGGTCATTGCGGTGCTGTGCGTGTGGCGGACGTTGGAGATGGGGACTGGTTCTGGTTCGTTGGCTGTGCTTGTGCTGATCGCGCTGGAGATGGTGCGCGGGAGATGGTAGCCTGCCTTGCCGATTGGGACAGACATTCCGTGGACGACCTGAGTAATGTTAAAATGGGGAACGGGGTGGGGGTTTATTTGGAACTTGGGGTCCACGAACAATACTGCAAATGACTAGGAACCAGACGACGATGTTGACTGCGTCCATGACGTTTTGGGCGTCCTCGCGCACTTCACCGTTGACTGTAATTTCTCGGAGGAATTCACGGCTGACGGAGAGGTAGAAAATGGCGCCGACACCGATGGGGCCGAAGAAACCTACGAAGGCGGCTTGTTGCAAGTGCTCGATTTGGTGGATGTACTTGTGCATGGCGAAGACGATGGGCATGCGTCGAACAAGCAGGATCAGGATGCCCAGGAAGATGAGTCGGTAGATGGGAATGATGTCGTTGTTCAGGAAAGATGACCACGGGCAGACTGCGCCGAACCACATGAAGACAGACAAGTTGAGGAGCATGTCGATAGTTGGTTGAAGCGAGTCGTCCATTGTCTCGAGACGGAACCAGTCGCTGTATTACATTAGCTTTGGTGTCTCGCAATATGAGGGTTCAACTCACTCTTGGGTAAAAACATTGCCTGCAATGAAGCATGCAAGAAGGTCATCTGTGCCGATAAGACCACAAGTACCCACGATGAACAACTATCTTTGAGTCAGTCAAAATATTCATGATGAACTGCGAGTGAGGACTCACTGCAAGAGCAATCGCGAAAACCAGAAAACTCTCCCGGTCAACATAACGCTTCTCCTCCGCCCAGTGAAGCAGCTTACGTGACAGCCAACCGACCACAGCGCCGTAGACGACACTCAGAATGATGGTATACACCCAGGTCTCGACAAACCACATAGCCATGGCTTTACCAGCACCGCCACTGAACCCCTCGCCGCCCATTCCAGTGTACTTCAAAAGGTAAATACCAAAGAAAAGGAATGGATACCCGAGGCCATCATTAGCACCAGACTCTGCAACAATAATCCGCTGCAGGGGGCGCGGGACATGTTTATCTGCAAATTTGCCCTTGACGATCGAGTTGGACAACACAGGATCAGTCGGGGTCACACAGGCAGCGACGATCAGAGCATGAAGGAACTGGAAGTTCGGAATCATAGCCCAGATAATCAAACTACTGCACATCCACATGGCAGCCATGCCGGGTCCTAGCAACAAGGAAAGACTTCGCCATTCGATATGCAGATACCGCTTAGGAAGCTGAACTCCGGCCAGAACCAGCTGCACACCCAGGACCAGACGAGTAAAGTGCAGAGTAATAGCCTCGAGATTCAACTCATTATGCAAAGCATAGTCCTCAGGCCTGATAAAGTTGGCTGCATGTGGAGAAAATGCGACTCCGGCCAGCAACGAAATCACTAAGTGGGTCAGGTCAGCTTGCGGGTTTCTGAAGTAAGGAGATCGAGATCGAGATCACGTACAGGCTTCGGAGAGATAAAATCGCTCCTTGCAGAGATAGGAGACTAATCCGAAAAGAGAGATAAAACCCCCGAGCGTCGCGCAGACAATGTTAAAGTTGATCAACGCAAGCGTCGGCATCTTGGCGATGACCTCGTGGCGGGGCGCTGAAATTGGTGGGTGACTCGATCAAGTTCGAGTCGACACGAAGTCGATAGGGGAGGTGATGATCTTGGGAGATTCAAACGGTGATAATACGATTCTAGGGCAATATGAAAACAAGTGAATGTTATCGAATCATAATATTGAGGACCTGAGTGCAGTGCGAGGCGACCATGCGGGATGTGGGAAGAATTTGCCGGAGAAGCGACGCCACGGTTGCTGTTGAACAGAGAACAGCAGAGCAAGTCAGAAAAATTCCCGAAGAAAGCGCTTGAGTCGGTCGTCTGTGAACAGTGAAGCAGCAAAACGAGAAAGAGGAACAAGTTCTCCGATTGCGGGTGTCTGAGGGGAAAGGACGATCTTGGCAATTTGCGGTGAGTCGTCGCGGGCTTGGCAGGTACTTTTTGCCTATTATAGGGCTGACATGGTACATCGTAGTCCCACTGTATTGCGATAACTTGTCTATTATCGCACAGGTTGGTGAAATAGTATTACCTATGCTAGAATTCATCTTTGACTACTTCTGGGAGCCTATTTTCCAGCGCCGTCGCCTTTTCCTGCACGCCTTGCTGCGCCCCGTTAACCGCCAGTTGGTCCGCAGCCTCGTTGCCAGGATCTTTATTATGTCCCTTGACCCACTCAAACAAGGTCTTCACCTTGAGTTCGTTGCGCTCTTCGATCCTCGCGAGGATCGGTTCAACCAGGTCGCGATTCTCAACCGGCTTCTTGTCCTTGGTCATCCAGTTGTTGCGCTTCCAGTTGGTGAACCACACTGTGACGCAGTTGATGGAGTATTGGCTATCAGTCACGATTGTCACGTCACGATGTCGGGGCGCAATATCAATGGCTCGTAGAATTGCAGTCAGTTCGGCGCGCTGATTTGTTTGACGAGCGCCCTTTAATGGCTCCGAGACATTCCTGCTGGGATAACCGATGTCAGTCAGAGAAGGCAACCCTCTTCTTTCAAGAGTGTTCAGAAACCAACCTTGTGTCTCCGGGTCCGAAGAACACACCCACTCCAGCAGATGCTAATTTGGTACCATTTCGCAAAGAACTCCCATCCGTGTATATCCGCAACATCCCCGGAATACCTGCAGTCTGTGTTTTTGTAGCTGCCTTTTGCTGTGTTGTCTTGTACACCAATTTGCCAGTGGTCGGATCCAAGAGCACATTGGGGTCGAAGCCGTCCTCCGCTCCATTTGGTAGGGGACCGTCGCCTGCGACAAACTCGACACCGTCTGCATCCTTTGCGTTCTCACTCATCATACCAGGGGTTACGATGGTTGTCTTGACCTCGCCGAATCCGACCGCGGGCGGCTGGTCTCCAGACTTGACGAAATCCTCCGCCTCTTCTCGAGTCGAGAACTTCCGGTACCGCGGTTTTTGAAACCCTCGGATTTGCTCCTGCGCCTTCGACCAGTCTGTGTACACACCGGGGACCCGACCTCGTTGTATCCCGTAGAATCTCGTGTTCTCGGTTGCGGAATCACCGCTCGGCGGCATCTTAAGGCCATTCAGGAACGCGTTCGCTTCTTCGTATGAAGGGAATGATTGAACTATGCGATGCGCACACATTAGCTTTGGGCCCAAAGATTGCGCCGAAAATCCACTCCAAGTCCGCGAGGGGACTCACAGATAGCTCCCTTGAATCCTGTTATCTGAGCCAAACAGTCATTCCACGAGTAGTAAAGACCCGGCTTGAAGCCATTTTTCACGGCATAGTATTTGGCGCCTGTGGTGCGCTTGCGCTTTGTACCGGCGCGAGGCGACGGAGACAGTTTTGGGTGGGATGAGGCTTTCGGCACGGGTGCCGGGCTGGGCGAGGGCGTACTCTCGTTCATCGGCTCGGCTTGTCTCTCGAAGGCAGTCGTGTACGGTAGGTCGGAGTAATCGGAGACCACAATGGAAAGACTGTAGGGTCGAAGGAACGAAGTTGCAAACCCTGTCTGTTGCAGGCGCGGACGGGCTATCCGATGTCGCGGGATGAGACGCGGCCGGGAGCTCGGAATGGAACAACAGAACCTCAGCTTGTTAGCTGAGGACCAGAAACTTCGGTAAATTGTGATATCCCCGATGGCAAACGGGGTTGCGCAGTAGTTAGAAAGCGAAGGGCGCGGGAATGAGTTGAAGAGTTCTGAATTTAGGAATGTGAGGTGAAAATGGGGTAAAGAGAGGGGGATTTCCTAATCGGGCTTCCCCATTGTCCTTGGCCTCGACCTGACTGTTCAGTCGTTGGTCTTCGTGTTATGGGTACGTACAATTCTTGGTCTTGATTTTAAAAGCCCTGGATCCCTGTGTGACTAAATATGTCCAATGATTTGTTCGTCTCAAGGTGATCTGTGGCTGTGAATATGTGTAATGTCGCGATGTGTGCCCCCCATGGAAATTCTGAGAAAAATACCATCGGTCTCAGCTCTCGGAAATTGAAGATATTGGACATCTCCACCGCTCGATCCATTGACACGCGAAGTGCCACCTGACGAAACTACTCAAGGCACACCTATCATATACGACCCATGATGCTCGCAGCAGTCAACTTGACCTCCTGTTGAACCTGTTCCATCAGCTCGCTCACAGACAGCACCGAAGAAATCGACCCGACACTTGCACCACTAAGACACAGTTAACAAGCATTCGAAGAAATGACAAAAGAAAAGACTCACGCCCAGACGGTACGTCGATGGTCCTCCCCCTGCTTAATTGCTTCATCGTACCGCCGAATGACTTCCTCATCACTGACTCCGCTCTGAGCCTCAGTCCAACTGATGCCAACCAGGGCCCTACCGTCATACTGCCTTGGAAAGACGTCGGTAGATTGGAAAACATCGTGTCGGACAGATTTAACTGTCGAGGAAGCACCATCCTGGGCTTTCACAATCGAATCTTTGATAAGGGCTGGAGCTGGACATTCCTCAGTTGCAACGAACTGTACGATATTAGCAATATTTCGACCCAGTCGGTCTCCAAAAACCCACCCTCGTCCCCATAACAATCCCATCTGCGCCTATGTAAGATTAGCACACTGAAATTTGAACATCACGCCCGAATAACCCACCCAGACCCAACGCAGCAACACACCCTTGCCCCCGACTATCCCACCGGCTGCCAAGAGCGCAACATCATACACGTCTCCCAAGCTCTCACTCACATCAGGAAGCAGCGATATAAGACTAGCACCCCTGGCCCATTGATGTCCTCCCGCATCAGTCCCTTGCACAACAATAACATCCGCACCTTGCTCCGCGGCAGTCGCAGCACCCTGCACAGTCCCAACCTGTACAAAGACCTTGACCGGCCACTCTGATTTGACCCTTGCATCACGGATAGCAGCAATGATAGACGTATGATCCGCATCCTCGTTTGGGAAGGAAAGCCACACAGCAGATACACGGTGCTTATCTAGAAGAGGAACAACATTCTCTTCGAAACCTGACGGCTTGAATGTTATAAAGCCTACACCGATTGGTAAAGTACCCGAATCAGCTATTTTAAGCTCTGTCCGAGCTTTTGTTAACTCGCTGTCTAGCTTGACAAGTTGGGTTGATGAGGGGCTGAAGTCAAATCCACCCCCGATGAAGCCTGAAGTTTGTCAATACAAGATTCGGATGCTCTAGACTCAGGAAGGAATTCGATGGCTTACCGAGACCTCCGGCCTTTGTCACTGCTGTTGCTAGTTGGTGGTTGGCGAATCCGAGCATCGGCGCGTTTGCGATGAATGGTTTGGATGTGTGTGGAAACCATTCTTTGAGACGGTTTTGGTGCCTTTTGGTTGATGACATTGTGATTTCTTTTTCTTTCAAGTTCAAGATTGGATACAGCGGTGGACTTGAGATTGAAACGTGAGAAGTCTTACCTTGCAACCCCTCCATCAGCACACTGGCGACCGTCTATGTTGGGGTAATCCGGGAGGCGTCCCATGACTAAGGCTGTCGATTCGGCCTAGAACCTTCACTTTCTTCGGGGGCACCCAGCTGGATGGGGAACCAGGACTTTATGACTAGTCCTGGGCCCCCGTCAACTCCTACACCTGACTGGGACAGGAACTCAGGGCCGTCATCTCGCACCCAAATTAGCTACCGGGACTTTCCCTTAGTCTAGAAGAATCCAAGAGATTGTGATTTCCAGTACAACATCATGCATCTTCCACCTGACACCATCGACCCGGCACGATCCATCTCCGCATCAATCCCGTGGACTTGTTTAGCCCCACGAGACCAAGCTTTTTTATCCCTGCAGATCTACGTTAATTTCTGTCGTTCGAAAGGTACCATACTCGGAGAGCCGCACCCGCACGTCGACCGACCGAGCTGACTTGACTCTCTCCAGGTCTTGATCATGGACTCCTCTGAGTCGAGCGGCAGTCTGAGTCCTCCTGTACCGGACGCGAAATTTGACACTCACACCGATGCCCGGCAGAAGATTTTTGCTCGGCTGGATAAGTATCAAGCATTGAATGACAATGACGATGACGACACCGTCCATTTCCTGCGCTCTGTCTTCCGATTCCTTCCCATCCAAGGCCAGGTCCAATTGGCCGTCGATGCAGAGGACTGCAATGACGACGACCAGCTACGACAACTAGCAAAGCACCTGGATACAGCTTTGCTTAGGCCGATGGTGACCACAGGTGGGAAAACGCCCGCAATCACCCCCTGCCCCTGTCCTGGGGTGGAAGACTCTATTGAGAACCTACTGTCCCAGAACTTCGAATCGACGACCCGGCAGCAGGCCGCGTTGCGGCGAGCTTGCCTGCAACGTGATAACCACCAATGTCAACTAACAAAATTCTGGGACTTTGACTATAATAGTCGGCCGCCCGGCCTACATACTGCTTACCTCGAAGCCGCTCACATCATCCCATTTGGCCTGGGGAATTTTCGGCACGATGAACGACTACGGCATGCACAGATCTGGCAGTGCCTGTACCGCTATTTCCCAACTATCCGTGACCTCTTTCACCGCAGCGATGAAGACATTAACCGCATTGATAATGTGATGATGCTGGTTGGAACCCTGCATCAAGAGTTCGGTCGCTTCTCATTCATTCTGGAAGAAACTAATGTTTCTGATCGCTACCGCGTGAAAACCTTTTCCCACTTTCGAAACAGCTTCCTCTTGCCCTACATGCCCGAGTACGCGATAGTAGCAAGTCACGACTCCCGGTATCCCGCCCTAGCAAGTTTCTGCTCGCCGTGCACGCAGCCATCGGCAACATCCTGCACGCGACTGGGCGCGCCGAACTGATCGCGAAGACCATGAAGCACCTCGAGGAAGGTGGCTGCCCCGCTCTCGCGAAGGACGGGAGCACCAATGTGGAAAAATTTCTATCTGTAACCGGTCTTTCTTTGCTGGCGATTAATCCCAGCCACCGTTCGCAGGCCCGTGAGGAGAAGCATTCTCGTCATGTTGGGTCCGCCGGCGCGGAAAATCAACGGCCCAGCGTCACCGATGAGTAATCGAGTCATCGAGACGAATAAGTAGTCCATGGTATCCTTAGGAAGATAGCTTTTAATTTGACTTTCTATTAGCTGGATCTTTCAGTTGCCTGCTAGCCGTAAGAGAATCTAAAAGAGAATAGGCTCTGGTCTCCTTTTTATGCGTCGTTTGCCGCCAAGTTACCGGTGCAGAGAGTAGCGAAGAGGCAAGCGCGATGATTCTCTTACTGAGGTTTGCCGACTGGTATTTCTTGATCCATGGCTTCGATCTAAGTGTGAATTGTGTTATCTTTCGCGATGGATTAGTCTTAACGAGCGGATTGTAACTTGGCTTTGGAGATTTCTAGCTGTGAGGCTCGAGAAAGAAAAACATACCTATTTCTGTAGGCTGTAAACTCAGTCAGGGAGCTGGTTAGCTGAACGGGCTAGCTCTTCCTTAGCGTAGCTCGAGATAGAGAGAATGAATAAATTCCACCTCTCCCTCTCGCTTTAGAGCGCCCGCTACAATCTTGGTAGCGAACCTGGTTTGACCAGTCCTTTTTCCGAAGGCTTTCTTCGAGTAATTTTAGTCGACTTCGCTAAGCTTCGACTCCGCAGGGCTGCCTATTGGCTTAGTGCTAAGTCGTGCACTGCTGTGCAGCTGGGTGGTGTTTTAAATGGACTTCCGAGTCTCGCTAGGTCTTGTTTTCCCCTACCCTTTTTTGCCTTATTGGAAGCCCCCTCCAGCTACTTAGACTGACTAATCATGTTTCTTAGCCGCCTATTGACAGATGCTGAGAGAAATTACTGGCCTACCGAGCTAGGAAATTCTGGCCTATGCTACACACTCCGCAAGGTCCGTCATATAATCGAGGCCTGCGCTGTGGACTTGCCCAGTGTTACGTCCAAAAGGAGGTCGGACTAAACCTGTGCATTCCAACGAAGGTATCAAGTCTGAGGAAGATAAAGAAGAGCATCATAGATAAGCATAGTGTCTGGATCTACGCCAACAATGATTTGGAGCTCTATTCTCCGTATCTACTTTCCGCATGTAGATGAAGTTATCGTGAACATAGGTTGATATTCCCTATTCCAAGCTCTTGCGAAGGCATATACGCGGACACTCTAGACCCAGACCCCTCATTATATCGCCCATGAAGCGGCATCTGCTGATGAGGCGGTTGTATTCCCGGTCTGATTGCCACCAGGCAAGCATGGGCTGGGAATCTTTGATTTAAATCAAGCAGGCATGCCCGCGATGCGGTCCACTCTATAGACTCGCAATTTTCTTCTCGAGGGGTTTTTTTCTCAACATACTCTACTAGTCTCAGTTGTATCTTAAAAGAAAGGTATTCTCTTTGTCTGAAACTTGTCTCTTCAAACATGAACTTCTCCGTGCCAATACTTTGCTCCTTTAAAGAAATAGTGAGTTGGACTCATGGCACTCCTCAATCTTTACAATGCACCTACCTTGAGTTCAGAGACCCCGATTGGACAGCCTCATTGTTAACAAGCTTCAATACACCAGCAACCTGCGAATTTATGCTGAATACTTCGACCGATTTATTTCACGCTTATGTCTTCAACATTCCAATGCCTTCCTGCTCACACTGTCTTCCCGTAGCTGTTTGATTATATTTCTTACACCCCAACGCTAAGTGACGGTAAATTGGGCGCCGAGAAAGGCTACTTTTGACGCCGATTTAAGCGTCCTATTTACCAGAATATTAGTCATTGGAACATCACGTGATTTTCTTCGGCCCACTTTTCCAGTGTGCTCACTGAGTGCTCGCTGAGTGCTCAGGGAGCGCTCCCCTGAGCACTCATGATTGCTCAGGGATCAGCTCACCTTCACTCAGGGTGCTCAGGACAGACAATCAGACATACCGTTATTGTCTGTCCTCTCTGACATCCGGGTGTAACCGCTTATTAGAAAAATAGAAAGGCTTTTTTGCTAGGTACCGAGCCACCTCCAGCCTTCTTTCCTAATATTTAAAGAGTCTTCCCCCGTCAAATGGTAGATCCTGCTCTATGCACTTCATCTAAGTGCTTTCATTTCTTCTTTATAACCAGCTTTCCCTAGGTCTCAGTCATTACCGCTCTCTTTCTATACTCTTCTTATCCGCGGCCTCAATCCTATCTTTGTTCTCCTCATTCTCCACCTCGTTCCTCTAATTCTTCTTCTTCTTCTTCTTCTTCTTTTGATTGACGCTGTTTATATTAAAGCCATGACCATTCTTGACTTATCCGCGATCAAGAAGCAGCAAGTGCCCAACCCAGAATATTATCGGCGACGTCGTTAACAACTTAAGAAAGGTATCGTTCAAAGACGATATGCTGTCTTAACCAAGAATAATATTTATTATATCAAAAGACGATAGAGAAGGTAATACCCTATTTAAAGTCTAAATTTAGGACGAGGCTAATAGATTCAGACACTGCGAATATTTAGGGGAAGACCCTCTCCGGTTCCTCGTTGCGGCACGGAAGGAGGATATTATGATTTTTCTAGAGTAGATACTTAATAACTTTAATATTAAGAAGTTTAGCAGCCTACACGAGCTCTGGAGGCAATAGTGCTAGCTCTATCGCAAAGTTATTAGATATAGTCTTTATGCAAAGTGCTGCTAGGATATTAATAATATAAGTACTTAATACCTTCCTATTATTGTCACTTCCTAATAAAGTAGCGGCAGTATATAAAAGAGAATCTGGTCACACGTTATAATCTCGATATATCTGTTAGAGAGAAACCTATTATAAACGTTAACAATTTATATCTTACTTCACTATTATTAGATAAAAGATATAATACCCTACCCTAACGGTCGATAAATAATCTAGCTGGCCTTCCTACTTCTGGTATCGGCTTATACCGCTAGTCGTCTAGGAGCGCTAGTGTATATCGAAAAGAATAAACGCACTAATATTTAGCACTTTTTTAGCAATTCGGACGATAAAGAGAATAAATATAAAGATAATTAGGACCTTAGGTATAAGGATCTCAAAACTCTTTGTTACGGCTAGATAAGCTTAATTCTATTACTAAACCCTAGAGGTATTCGTAATTACCTTATTATAGAAATTGACTTAAAGTATACTAAGGGCTATTAAAGCAGACCGAAAAAGTATTATATCCCCTAAAATATTAAATATTAGTTTTGCTCCTTTAAACTGACTATACCTTAAAGGAAAATATACTTAATATCCGAAGTAAAGTAGCCTGCCTTCGACGTTATAGCTCTTATACTTATAATAGTAATTCTCGATAACGCCTTTTTACTAAATATTCGTTCGGTCGAGGATATTTTTAAGACTTATATATCCCTGCTATATCGATCCTTAAAATTAGATTTCAAAAAAGACAAACTTAACGTGCCTATCTGTCGCTAGCTAGTCTCTACCTCTTCTGGAATGACTACTAACTATATCAAACCTCTAAAGTACCACACCTATTTATATTTTCTCTAGCGATTAAGCTTAGCTATAGGGATAATTCGAGCTATAAAACCTTATAATCTCCGGCGTGGTATTGGTGAGGCAGTCGATAGTAAGTAATTATCCTTGAATACGGTGAGATCTTAGAGCTAACGCAGAAACTTATTCAGAAACTATATCCCTTCCCTTACTCTAGTAGGTAATAGGTCACGTTTATGCTAGTATATTTCAGAAATATATGAATTAGCGAGTTTAAATATATGTTCAGGCCGTATTTCTCGGATTACCTTCAGAGAATATATTAATAAATATTCTTAGCCACCAAAGTCGCTTTATTGACCCTCGAGCCCTATCTAATTATAATAATCTGCCTAAGAGTAAGAGGGCTTCCCTTTTAAATTACCCTAAGATAATATATCTATAGCAAATACGTGATACTCTCGCTATAGAAGCCAGGGAGCTATATAGATCTATAAAGAAAGTAGCTAGCATAAAAATAGGAGAGCTTAAAGTAAAGGTAGATACTACGTTAAGAGTAGCTAAAAAGAAGTTAAAAGAAGCAATATTCGCGGGTGCTCGTAATGAATTTTTTGCTACTATTAATATTATAGAAATTAATAAGCAACTTAATCTATCGCTATTAGATATAAAATATAAAATTCACGAGCCGGAACGAGTTATCCACTGCCTCTAAGAGCGTCGCCGAGTGGCAGAGCTAATATAAGCCTTATGCCATAAGTATTCTGAAGAAGATAATATATCGCGAAGAGTTATTTTAATCGATACACTTATTGATCTTAGTCGTGTCGAAGGGGTGCTATCCGGAAACTTAGTTCTAAAAAAATTAGCATAGATTATAATCACTAGCGAATACCAGGAGTCCTCGCTAAATAACCCCTCTTAATTAGAATAAGGCCTTTCTCCCTCTCTAGAGCCATAAGACCGTCTAATCTCTCTAATAAATCGGTATTATCTCTTCTATATATTTAAGCCGAACTACTAATACTATTTTATATTAGCACAGAAAGCCAAAGAACATTTTGAGAAGCACCTCCGTCACTTTAAGAGAGACAAATTTATCTTATATCCTAATAAATTTTGCGGACTTACTTTTCGTGGATATTGAGCCTTCAAAAGCCACGCAGAGAAAGTTCACTTAATACGTTATTTCACCGAAGCGCAGCGTATTAAGGCTGGCTTATAGATTTATTTAACTAATCGCGGATATAAGGAGCCGGCTATGCGCTAGATTTCTTTTACGCAGAGCACTTCTACTTCCTCTAAATAAAACTATATTAGTGCTACCTTTACTTACTCCGAATAGAATATAGCTATATTATTAGCCTTAGTGTTTTTTGTTACCGACGAAGCTCTTAGCTAACTAATAAAGAAATAATTATAGAGTAAAGATAGCTTATTCGTTAGCGATTTATAGGCTTTTTTGTCGGATGTATCGGGACAGAGGTTCACAACCGTAGATATATATAAGGATTTGTTCTGCGGAGATATACTACTCGCCAGTCCGTTTGGTTAGTTATTTTTACCCTAATATTTAAAACCTCCGTGTGCAATATAGTGAGTAGCCTCAAAATACGTCGCGTTCGCTTTATTTATTGTCCCGATATTCGACTTCTTTAAGTAGATTTACAGATAAACTTACGGACTGGTGATAATAACTCCGTAAGTAAAATACGATAGAGACTTCGGAATTAATACTAATATTAGTTTCGGGACGCTCTAGAAAGCCACGCTTAGCCTGTAGGCTAGAAAGTTATTTGACTTAGTACTTACCTATACGCAGTCCTTACAATATAATATAACTTGCACTGCCACAGTGTATTATCCTTAATTATATACCGCATAAGTAATGAAATGTTTGGGAATTGTTATGTATCGTAACGCCTAGCCTATAAGTATCTGGCGATCAAACAGAGCGGCCTTTTTATTTTAGTCTAGACCTACATATCCGTAAAAATGTTAAAGGAAACTAACATATGTCATAGAACACAAAAAAAAAATGACACGCGGTGAACTGCCAACGGAGAGTTCTTAACAAAAGCTCGTTGAGATAGAATTACAAGCTTGAGGCTAGACAAAGAATGGTCTAACCCCTTGTAGCTTCTATGTGTCCATGTCCTTGCAAAACCACGTCCATTTACGTGGAAAAGCAAATAAACGTTCAAAAACGTTTAGAAGGTTTAAATTTATCTTTTGAAACTTTTTAATTTAATAAAATAATTTTCCATTGTTTTTCCCGCCGTAGACTGGCGGACGGTGTTTTGCGATACGTCAATTGTCAAATACTTCGGACTTCATCAAAGCTCTTCTTCATATTCAACAAACAGGTTTAATGTGAACGGGCGAATCCTCGGCGCGAGGGTGAAATGAAAGGAGACTGTCAGGACGTTGTCTCTGCAAGGGGACGTATTGCCTACTCTGTTCAACAATCACGTGTCAGATAAACGAATAATAAGCCGAAAATGACGGGGCAGAGTGCCACTCACCCAAGGTAAAACTTCAAAAATCAGCGAACGATAAATTCTCACCGTTGTTGGGGCATCTGCTGCTCTTCACTCCTTGATCGTGTCGTTCACCGTTTGTCGTTCACCGTTTGTCGCCGGTCACTATTAGTCTGCCACCATTCATTAATAACTATTCGTTGCTGACTATTTCTCTGTTGACCGTTCTCTACTTAGGCCTTCTACTGTTTACAGGCCGTTTCCGCTAATCGCCTCTTATTAACCACCACCACTCTATTTAGTAAACCACCTTTCACCACACCGTTCAACCACACCACTTAATCATATTACTTCGTTTAATCATAACGCTAGACTATCTTCATTGAACGTCCTCACTCTATAACCTTTTCTATTCAGGGGTCACAATATAAATATAGTGTTCCCCTTTTGACTTTCTCTATTAGTATTTTCTCGTTCAATTTCTGTCCTAAGCGTATATAATATTAAGTTATATTAGCTTGGCGCAAGGCTTCTATTATATCCCCTATAATAGATCTAAGTGAGAGTATATCAGTGGTTTTAAGTGAGGTTATTAACAAATATAACGATAAAGATATTAATAGTCTTAAGCGAAAGTATATTTTTGCTTTCTCGGAGATATATAGTCCTTTAGCTCCGACCACCCTAGCTCGTTCACTTTAGCCCTTCTCCGTTGCCCGTGCAGAATCGGTAACCTCTTATTCCGAGGAAAGTAACGAATTTAAGAAAGAGTTAGGTATACAGAGTCTCCGAACGTAGCCCCTTTCGGAGCTAGTAAATCCGCTATTAACACAGTTAGCTAAGACTTTAGACGGTATTAGGTCGCCGGAGTCTAGTAATATATAGAAGGCCTTTCCAGAGATCACTTCTTACCAAAGAAGCTATATTTAGCGTACAGTTAATTATCTTTTCCGCGATGATCTCGCTACGTTTCTGGAAAAACACTCCGGGACTTAGAATAACTCTGGCTTCTAGAACGGCCCAGTCAGGAACACCGCCGTATCTTCAAAGTTTCTATCCGGATCAAACCGAACTGGGCCCACGACTTATTTGCTTAGTTTGCAAAATGACAGTGATATATATAACGTAGAATTGCGTATCGTAAGAGTTTATCTGTTCTTATTATTTTAACGGGAAATTATGCGGGAATATCGACGCGGTATAGCGAAGCAAATTGCTAAAAGTAAAGCTATCAGTAATTTATGTAATTCGAGGAGCTTTAGATTAGCTGAGAAGACTAAACTTCATAAGTTATTTCACAGTGAAAAGAGAATTAGTAGGTATTAGTGGTGGTGTGTTTCCTTCTTTGGCCTAAGCTTCCTCTTGCGATATAGCACGAAAGTAGGGAAATTCATGTCAGATAAATTTTTCTCTGCCCTTTTCTCCTCTGCAACCCGACTAACTAAAAAAAAGAACCCAGAACCGCTTCCCGCTAGACGCTATAATTGCATTCGTCCTATATGAGTATCCGCAAACCGTAAGACCTTACGCGCTAGATGCGGCGGTCGTTCATTTATTGATCACGGGGAATTTACCCGACGATTGTTTACAGCAGGGTGGTGCCACGTAGGTGCATTCCACGCATGCGGAACCCCCCCGTCATCCCGGTATAGCGATTTTTTAGCACTGAAGTAGCTGCAGAAGATGCTATCTCTTGCCTTCACAGATAGTCTACAAATCCTAAAAATCGATTGCTAACCGTTTAACCGAATGTAAAGTTCTATTTGCTATTCCCCCGCTCTCCCCGGCATTAGTTCCATGTAAGACGGTTTGCTGAAACAGATCGGCGGACCATATGCTATAAGATAGGTATAGTAATAAGTTCTAAGTCAGATACGAGACTAATTAATAAGATGGCTTTTATCGTGGACTAGGGGTCGGCACGAATACAAATCATTAGGATCTTAAGGTATTCGCATTCGCATTCGTAATTTGCATACCTCTACGAATATTCGCATTCGCAGGACCGATATTCGTGTTAAGATAAAATGATTGTTTTGGGTTGATTCTTACTTATTAACTTGAGCAGTTACCTTTTACAGGGGCGGGATGCCTCATATATATCTGTTCCCAATCCCTGCCGTAAGGTTCAGCCACCGTGATACTCAACAGTGGGTATGAGGGAGACCAACGGAGGGTATAGCCAACGACTCAAATTTAAGGTGATAAAAACCAGGCGGCGCGTGAGCTACTGTGGATTCCAACTAACCATTCTTTATTGACGTTCGTTGTTGAACGTTTGCTGTTTACCGTCAATCACCATTCGTTGCTAAAGGTCCGACCGTTTCTTTGTTAACTAAGTTTTTCTGCTAACCGCTTTCTACCGTTTACCCCACCACTACTCTGTTTAATCACTACTCTGTTTAATCACTACGGGATTAGACGGCAGAGCCACCTCTACCACCAATAAGCTTATGCATCTATAGACCACCGTTTCTCTTTCTGAGATTTTCCTGGGAGCCTGCTAGATCGATGTCAGGGAGATACATGAAGCATACACGAGAAGTGGAGGACAAATATATGCGGGGCCCACATGGCGCATCTGGGATCCTCCGATCGCGAGGAAACTACTGTTCTTTGCTTCCTCGAGCTACGTCTTGTACCTAGAATGGATAATAGCTTTTATTATTCAACTACGCATACGTGGGATCCTCACAAGGATTCTCAGGGCTCCTTGGGGCTCCTAGGAAGCGGTCGCGGGGTCCCAGGAGCAAGTATCACGGTCCTTGAAGCTGGTGACTTGATAGCCACTTTCAGTAACTCCGTATCAATCATACCGTTATCTATCGCAGTGGCGATATGCCCTCAGGAACAACAAATAAATAGAAGCCACCGTCTCAAAGAAGTGCGTCTCCCAAGCTCCTTAGTCAACTATCGGAGATGACAGACTTCCTCTTTGAATTACTACTCTGAGCCCCGTTTTTATTATCCGCATAGGTAGACTTTGCCTACGCGTTCCACACGCACATTCAAGATGCTGCTTTTGGGACTTCCACTGGAACTCCTTCTCTGGATTGGCGAATCTATCGACAAGAAGGACATTCGGAGTTTGTGTCTTACTTCTCGGGAATCCGATTTCATCTTCAGAAAGAGTCTATTCAATTATATAGACTGTGACGCATGAATGTCTTGTGGCCTGAGAGAGGCCTGAGGGGGAACGTGATCTGGAAGGAGCCATGGGTCTAACCCGATTCGGGATAGAAGTGGGTTTGTTTCGTAGATGCTCGTTTCCCTCTTTCTCTCTTCTTCTTCTTCTCCAGTTTAGTTGCTTCTGTTAATGATACACGAATTCTTCTTCGTCTTGGTCGGTAACATTAGGGATAAAAGCGGCTAATAGCGTGCTTGCAGATAAGACCAGTCCTACGCACAAGGGCAAGCATTAATAGACAATGAATGTACTCTAGCATCGCTCGCTACAAATGAGAAGTTATATAGCAAAGTCATGAAGTGGAACTAGATATATTATCTCCATAGTTCCCTTATCTTTCAGGTCGATTCAAGAATTACCACACCGAGTCTCACGGCAGATGGATTCTGTAATTATCATGCTATAATTGTTAGTGTTCATTTTCAGCCGTGATTGCGTCAAAAGGGATTTGACGTGGTAAATAGGCAATTTTATATAAACTAAATATCGGATAGTCGGCCACTAGTCAAGCATAATTTTAGTCAACCCTTTGATGTAACGATACAGCCGGAGTTCCAAAAGCTGCCATAGAGCCTTCACATCTTGAGAGCGGTTTATTTACTTCTGAAACGTTGGCTAGCTCTGTGGAGAGTGGTAGGCGCTGAGAATATTTTTACGGCTTTGGTACGAGGGAGAATTGGACTTATTTCTATTTGAATTTCAGTTATAGTAAAGAAATAAGATCCCCAAATTCCAAAAACCCTGACCATAAGTTTAAAATCTATTTTGAAAGCTCGGTTGCCTCCTAAGAATACCATAAGACAAGATTTTGGATCGTCTGCCGACCTTCGCAGCTGACCGTCCTTTAAGCAATAGTCTTGATTAGGATTTTAACTCCAATCCCTGCGATCTAGTTGTTTGTTAAGACTGTTGCAAAATAATAAGCCAAGCAGCTTACTGTGTTTATCTCATTCGGGTTCTCGAGAACCAACGTCTCTGGCCCGTAGCTTCCAGGTGAATCACTGGATATATAAGATAATTGATCTGTATTAGAAATAACGAAAGCACGGTCCTCGCTTGTTTCCGAAGGGATTTCCTCTGATACTGTATCTGAATTTGTATAATCGGACGAATCATTGCCATCTGGGTCATAAGCAGAGGACTCCGTCTCGCTGTAGGACTCTTCGATCCGCTTATGTATGCTTTCCATTTTTCACAAAGATATTTGGCAGGTGTTAGGCAGACTGCAAACTCTAGCAAAGAATATATAAGCAAAAATTTCTCAAGCTTTGCCAAAATCCCTCGCAGGGCCTAGAGAGAAGAAGAAGATTCAATATACCAAGCAATTGCAAATGACTATTGATGGAGTGCCAGCCGTGCTAATGAAGCGCATTAGTTTAGAAATAGGGATCCTCGAAGGAATTTGAGCCAATACGGTCTCAGTACAAAGTATATAAATCTAGGCTCAATTGAGAGGACAAAGGAGACCTAAAAAACAAATTCACTTCAAAACCCGTGAGCTTTATCGGGGGCTGTTTAAATTTCGGCTATGTGTCAGCAATACCACAGTTGAAAGGAACCTCTTTCTTCGACTCTTCATAGCCCATACAACTGTTGAACGCTCTAAAGATGTCTCACAAAGCTGAGGCTTTACGCAAAAATCGGTCCCCTTTAGGATATCCCTAGTCCTGGCTTAGATTGCTGCCTCTAACTAGCAGTGGACCAAATATGGCAAGGCATAGAAAGAAAAGGGGAGCAAATGTGAGCTCAAACGTTTAAACGAATGGAGAGCCCTGCTGACCTAGAATATTATTCCCGCACTTCGGTAGACCTCAAATAAAGCAAGATTGAATGGCGGCTCAAATGCTGAAGGATACCCGCAGATACTGACTGGTCATATAGAAATATAGCACTTAGACGAATGAAATAGGACCGTGTAATAAAGGTATATATTTATTTTTGGAGATCTATATATAAAGTAGCCCTTTACCCTCCTTCTGCTTTTTCTTCACGGACATTCAAGGTCCGATCGTCGACTACTATACGGCAGAAATTCTCTCTATTCCTAATACTTCTCTGGCTAAGAAGTGTGGCCTCTGCTTCTAGCTTAACCAGTATATCTTCAGAAAATGGTGCTATTTTCCCCGCCGCTCGGGGTTATACGACCGGGTATCGCTCGGTAGTATATTTTGTTAATTAGGTTAGTTTATATCCTATCGATGTGGCCAATCTACCTCAGATAGCTAACGGAAATCTAAATAACGGGCTATCTACGGCCGAAAGTTTAACCCCTAAGATTTTCCAGCCGAGCAGCTCATATATGTTTTATATGTATTTGCTAACGTGTATACGGAGACAGGAGAAATATACTTGTTAGACTCCTGGGCTAATCTTAAAAAGCACTACCCTAGCGATTCTTAGGATAAGAATGGAAACAACGCTTATGGATATATAAAATAGCTATTCTTACTTAAGCAGAGAAATCGCAATCTAAAGGTACTGCTTTCTATCGGCGGCTGGTCTTATTCTAAGAATTTCGGGGCCTCACTCAGTACCGCTACTGGCAGAGCAGCTTTTGTTTCTTCCACCGTGGATCTTGTTAAGAACCTAGGATTCGATAGTCTCGATATTAATTAGGAAGTAGGCTCACCGAAGGTTGGGGAATCAGTGAAGTTTTTACTAAAATAATTATAGTATCCCACTTATAATAGTTAGGCTCAGGATATAGTGGCTATACTCAAAGAGTTGCGCTTAGTAGGCCTTGTCTAATCTCAGAATGCTCCCTTGTGGCTCACTCGCCCTAGGCTCTTGATAATTACAGTGCCACCTATGCTAACGATTATTATTTCTTGATAACAGTTATATGCCTAGCTGGTCAGTCTAACTGTATATTGCGGTTCCTAATATTAACCTAGACTCCAGGTCTAAGCCACTACCAGAAGCTCTATATCACTGAATTAGACTAGTATACTGATTTCTGGAACCTAATGGCCTAGGATTATTCTGGAAGCTAGGATAACGTCGCCGGACACGATACTAATATCTATCTATCCATTAATAATTGCCCCAGTACCCCTTTTAATACAGACAAGGCAATTTACTACTACATAACTAGCGGTATAGATGCCAAGAAAATTGTGCTAGGGATGCCACTATACGGTAGGTCCTTTTTGGACACTGACGGTCCAGGTAAGAGTTATAATAGGGTAGGAAGCGGTAGCTGGGAAAACAGCGTATAGGATTATAAAGCTCTGCCTCTGAAAGGTTCCAACGTTAACTATATAGAGCAAACAATCTCTAGCTATAGCTATGATCCTACCTAGCGCACGATGATCAGCTTCGACACGCCCTAAGTAGCTCAGAATAAGGCAGAGTATATTATAACAAAGGGCCTCGGCGGGGAATGTGGTGGGAGAGTAACAGCGACAAACCAGGCCCCGACAGCTTGATCAGTACCGTATATGCTATATCAGCTCACTAAGCCCTTACTAGTACTGACTAGGCGAATATAGGTCGTTATATCGTTTAGAGGTATCGGTGCCTTAGAAAAAAGTCAGAACTAGCTTAACTATAACGCTTCCGAGTACCTAAACATCAAGAATAGACTCAAATAGCTAAATAGCCCCTACTTTTCCTATCAGTTTTTTCCCACAAAATCGGATTCACAGCCTAGAAGATAGAAATCATAAGTTATGGCGTCTTGCTGGCTATCCCTATATTATGTCATTTTGTATTTAACTGTTAGCTTAAAACAGATTTTCTCTATTTAATAGACGAATCAAGCTAAGTTTTGAGCCGAGTAAACCCCGATTTCCACGATTTCTCCGCCCTGTTAAAGTGTCAGTAAATGCAACACAGCACGCGATAGGGTAGGAAAGCCGATATTATGTGATATCACAAGCTCATCGTCCAAAAACTTCCACTCGATCTGGGTATGCAAACTGGATAGTGGACAATCTCCATGCCATATGGCTTGCCAGCTATTCCTCTCTTTGATCTGGATACCAACTAAACAGTCTTTAACAGTTGCTACTTTCAAGCCCTTCAAGGACTTTACGTGAACAGATTTCCATGCCCCATCCTCATGACCAATTAAGAAACCATTGATCATACAGTAAAATTCGAAATCAGATTTACCTCCACACTCTTCGACTTTAATTCCCGAACCCTAATTTGAAGCACGCTAATCCAGATATGGTATGTCCGTCGTTCCCTTGTTCCTAGAACAGAAACTGTATTTTACATGACGCGGGTGGGACGTTCATCTTTGTAAATTACAAGAAACTGCTATACATACGATACCACTCTACCCCTCTAAGCATCAGGCCTCTTCCACTGTAAATGACTCTGGAGCGATATCCTACGCTAGACTTGCAATTTGGCCCCGAGACTTCTCCCCTCAAAGCTACATCTCATTCGAGACATGATAAATAGCTAGTCACTAACCATTACTCAAATGGCCGAAGAGGCTGAAGGCAGCAAAGTCACGATCATAAATATTCGCAGAAACTTGCGCCAGTTCGGCAGCGTCCACGCACCCCAAATCGCATAGGTCGGAAACCAACCGTAACACCGATTTGCGAGGGCTTTATCTCCATAATTCGTCGGATTTTCAGTCGTATTATCTAGTTTATGTGGATGAATCTAGATGTGACAAGAGGGCTAGGTTTGGGCGTACAGACCGTCAACACTTGGCATGGCCGCCTTGAGTTTATCCCAGAGCCATCGCGACTAGTTGTATTAGATACTACCTACGCATAGCCGTAGCCGTCCAATCTCGATACATATTTCAGGAAATACCCAGGTCCTAGGCTCAAATTTGGCAGTGGTCTGTTTGATGACTTCTGAGGAGAAACTTCTATCGACGTTACAAAGCCGTGTGAAACAAGACAGACTCCACATCAACTGTAACGAGTTGAAGTCGATCGATAATATGACCCAACCGCTCATAACTCTGCATTGCACCATTGGCAAAGTCCGAATACCATTCTTCCATTCCTTCTGCGCTAGACCAAGCGATAACAGTGTTGAATCGTATGACATCAGTACCAGTTTTCTTCATCGGGCTAATGTCCCATCCACCACCATACGAGAAAGAAGCATTCGGGGGGGAACCTAAAACGCCTTGGGGAGTCATAGAGCTATTTTAGAGTCAGCAATAGGCTATACATTATATGCGATCGGGACCTAGGTCAGATTGAGAATGTTTCATACTCTATGATATCAGCACATGCAGACTCAAATAGAAGTTTGTCTGCGTCGCGAGGTCGGACATAGAACGACACTAGCTCTATGAACTGAAACCCACCAACGCTCCATAGACCGTAACTCCACTCCTCTGAAGTAGCCATAGAATAGCAATCGATGACCCCGATACTCTGCAAATTGTTCAATATCTGAGGTAGCTGGCGGGCTCGAATTTCGGAGTTGGCGAATGCTATTGTTCGTTAGTGTTAGCCATCTCCCTTAATATTATTATAGTAGGAATTAATATATTAGGTGAAGAAGGCTTACAGATAAAAATCGCCCACTGATCATCAGTTTTCAGAAAATGTCTACACCATTGTGAATAATCTGGACGCGTCGTCCAGGCGCCACAAAACTTCTCTAGCTCCAAAGCTTCCAGGATAGGGGATTTTTCTTTTTTCATTGGGCGAAAAAGGAACACGTCGTGAACCGTCGGACGTTTCACATGCGAGTTATAGGGAATCAAATACTGATTGAGGTTACCCATAGCGGAATAGATGCCTTGTGGACCGGGGAAAAGACGCTTGCCGGCCCATTGATCTCGCGATGAGTGGAGGACAGTCCTGTCCTGGCTTCTCCAAAACCCATTGTCTCTCCGATAGAAACGAGGGGGATGAATTTTGAGTAGTCTCGACATAGAATTGCAGGAGATAGGCTGCGAGGGTGCGGCTAAATCAGGCATTGGTTGTGCTACCCTCTCGCAGCGTAAGGGGGTTGTTAATATGCTTGGGCCTATAACAAACCGCGATAGAAGTGAGGCGCCTTCATAAAGCGATGAAGGGAGGGCACTAGCAGACAGCGGACTATCCTTGTAGAATAGGAGTGCTAAAAACACGCTCGGCTGCTGGTCTGCTAGTGCCTTCTGTTCTTGCGAATCGGAACGATAGGGTCCGTCGCGTTCTAGCCATCCACCAGAGACTATCCACCGAGGATCGTTTGCTTCTTGAGCGTTGGCCGTAAATTGGGCCCAGCTTGAAGTGAAGTCCGTCGTGGGTTCGGTGGCCGCGACCTGAAAAGGGACCATCTCAACAATGTCACCTGGCGTAACGCGATCCGGCAGTTTAATGGGTAAAGCTCGGTTCAAGCACCCGGGAATCAGAATAGCAGTCATCAATCGGAATCCGATTGAGGATTGAAAACTCCTCCATGCGGAGACATTCTCCCATTGGAGAAGGGCAATGAGCGTCTCTGGCTCATCTTTGACGAAAGCCCAGTAAAAGGCCGTGCAATCTGGGATGGACCGAATATAATCCACGGACGCAGCCCACATACGGTCAGCAGCCTGATCCCCTTGGTGGACGTTGGTGCCCGCTCGGAGACTCAGTTTGCATACGCTGAGGATTGGGTGAGAAGGCAGCTCAGCCTCGGTCAGGAATCCGTTCCAGGAGTCTCCACAAACATATGGAACCAACGAAGGCTGTAGCAACTTCAGTGAGATGCGCATAGAGCAGAATACTAAGAGAAAAGAACCAACCTGAGATTGCTGCGGCATTAATTTGGTATATCGAGAACGTCGAGTCGAAAATCGCTTGATGACCAGACCGCGTTCCGAACAAACGGCAATAACACGTTAGGTAACAGTCGACTTCAGTGGAGTTCATCGGCATGAGCCAATTAAACTTATTTGAACGCCGCTACTTGCGGAGACAATCTAACCGAAACGAGAGTTCGTGCCTTAGGCATAACAACAAGGTGATAAGCGAAGTACCAGCTTTATCGTATTGAGTGATAGGGTCTGATTGAGTCCCTGAATGTTTCCATAGGTAAAAGACGATGACGGTCGTCACTGTAGGATTTCCCCTTTTTGGTCTGTTGCATAAAATATCTAGTCAAATTACGGTATTATAACAATGACTCATTCATCGTTACCAGGTAATTCAATACAGTCTGACAGGGATTACTAGGGAATTGCTTAGATTAGACTAGCGTGTTTCAAGCTAGGGTTTGGGAATGAAAGTCTAAGAGTGTAGAGGTAAATCTGATTTCGAATACTACTGTAATGCCACGAAGACGCTGTACGTCTCGACTTTTGTCGAAAATAAATGCAGTGTAGGAGTCTTCTGGGACCTTCATAGCATATCGGTGGCTATCGTAACGGTCTCCATGGCTGACATGACGTATAACGGGAGTATTTTTCGGCAGCTCTTGCCAGCATATGCAGTTCTCTATCACTTTCCGCACCAAGTCCATATTGTCCCAAATGACTCTATAACTGACAGTCTTCGGGTACCTATCCTGCGGCATTCGTTGGACATTTTGGATAAGCGTTATAACATTTGCCCGAGGATCCAAGTTATCCACAAGCATGTATTTATAACCTAGCTCTTTCCACTGCTCCAAACATGGCTTGACGTGCAAAACTGTACTGAGATTGATGACGTCCTCGTCGTTTGTGAGAAAGCGATAAACCATTTGGATGAGTTCCGGGGGCAAATATATATGGCCCCGGGCTCGAAGTCTTTTGTTGGGGTTTGCTAGTTTCAAAATCGCAAAGATATCGGGGTCGAGAGTATATGGCTCGTTTCAGAATAGAGGCACCTCCAGGAAGTCGCGAAGGAAAAACAAGTGGTCCTTAAATCGATCAATCCAAGTTTGATCAAAATGATCTTTCTTGAAGACACGTCGGGCTATTTTCCAGCAGTAGTCATGCGCCGTCACTTCTTGCGAGCGCTGCTCTTCAGTAAAACGCAGGATGGAGGTGTAGTGGCGACGAATCAACTTTCCAGTTCCAACTCCATTCTCATGCTGCTCTTCAAGAAGAAAGTGATATGACTGAATATAATTCGTGGCGCATCTGCACAACGGACATGAGATCGTTGGCTCGGCAGCATCGTTCATGGGTGCGTCCATTGGTTCGTTCATATGCTCCTCGTCCATTGATATCATAGAGGAGACCAGTTCATGAAAAGGCTAAGACTGCACCTCGTCTTCAAAATTCGGCAAGTGGTAAGTAGCTGGCTAAGCCAGGTAGGAGAACACGATTTTTGGCCCCCACGTAGGTGTGTAGGATCACATGATTGGGCCCAAACTCAATTCAATCTGAATTTTGATTGAAACAAATTTTTTCTGGGCAAATGAATCCAAGAAGGCACCTAGGAGTTGATAAGACATGAATACTGCAGCTCGAATCAACGTGATATCTTGAAATGTGGTGGTCAATGGTCAGCGCCCCTGAAAATGCCCCGTCGGTAGAGGTAGAAGTGGGTCCTGAAACTTTAACATACCAGTTGGTTTTAGTTAACGTAATCCACAAGTCATCCGCCACCACAAGCAACCCCAACCACCATAGTACAGTAGTTTTCGAAATCAGTTATACCCCCAACACTCTTTCGACTTAATTCTCGAACAGTAATCGGAAGCACGCTAGTCCTAATATGGCAATGCCGTGATCACTCCGCTTTCTAGACCGCTTACTGAAAAGCATCTTTATTCTAAAATACGAGCATGAAACCCGAAATAATGTAATTTACGCGAAACTGCTATACACGCTACCTACAGTGGTGTAACATAAGTATTTGACCTCGAGTACTTCGGCCTAGGACCCACTTTTTAATACTGCCATGCAGAAACCTTCGAAATTCAAACCATTTCAATAGCTAGTATGCCACCCTTCATATTTAATAACATCAGCCACCCTATGAGGCATAGTCTCTGATAGATGCTTGAAGATGTTAATATCTAGGCTTTCCCAAGCTTCCTGCGCAGCTTCTAGTAATAGATCTAGCGTAGATTCGCTATTCGGTAGGTGCATAAGCTCAGGATGACGCTTCAAAATTTCGGCTTTTAGTAACGCCCATAGATTCTCAATCGGATTCAAATCAGGCGAATAAGGAGGCCATTCCATAATCTCGCATTCAATCTCATTAAGAGCGCCCTGTACGATATATGCAGTATGTACTGGCGCGTTATCTTGCTGAAAAATAGCATTATGATCAAGGCTATTAAGTAACGTAGGCAAGACACGCCGATAGAGCTCTTCGATCGTACGCGAAGAAACACCACCGCGTCGAGACTCAGGATCTCCGAATAGTGGAATTAGGCCAGACCGACGCGGTAAACCGCAAAAAGCAGCCCAAAACATCTGCTTAATTTGCTTCCCTCGCGCCGGAACTATTTGAACCTGAGAGCCCTCTTTTGAATGCTGAAAAAGCTGATCTTTCGGACGTATAAAAGTCCATTCTCGACGTTGGCCGATTCCACGTTCAACTGTACATTCATCAGACCAATAGACGCGGGCCCAATCAATAGACGTAAAGTGCTGATATCTTAAGGCCCAATTTAGACGTTTCTCGGCGTGTAGAGGCGTTAATAAAGGCCGTTGCATCTTCCTCCACTTCCGAAGGCCCATTTCGTGGGTTAGACGCCAGATTGACATACGGTGGACCTTAAAATCGACCTCTGCGAGTAGATCTTCGATCAATACTGACGGCTTTTCTTGTATAGTCTCGTATATATGGTCACGATCGTCTTCAGTAAGCTTCTTTGGGGCGCCAGAGCGTGGAAGGCTCTGCTGCTTTTGACGCTTTGCCTCTTAGGTAAGAGTATATTGAATAGTTGAGCGTGGAATGTCGGGAAAGCGTATCTTCTTAATTGTTGTTGCGCCCCAGCCATTTGTAGCATGTAATTCGCAGATCTTAGCCCTAGTAAGGCAGTCAAGCTCAGGGCCTCTTTTTGTACGTATAGGAGGCATAATCAAGGCAATTTTGAAAGAAAAAAGTCTGCTAAAACGCATTGAAATCTAGCGTATATGGCTACGCGTTGAAACGCGGCACACTAACGAATTAGGCGGTATAGAAGGCGGTCAGGCTAAAAGTGGATCCCGAAGTACCCGAGGTCAAATACTTATGTTACACCACTGTATGTGCCTCTACCCCTTCCTCGGCAGCAAACAGCCTTCCTCGCTCATCATTCTTGCGCGTCTTCAGAGGTTATACAAAATCAGTCCAAACGACATGGCACCAAGGCTTCCTGCTTCAAAACTTCATCTCATCCGTGATATGATAGAGAGCCAGTCATTCACCACGTCTCAGATGGCCGAAGAAGCTGAATGCACCAAGCTTACAATCATTAATATTCGTAGGAACTTACGGCAATTTGGAAGCATCTATGCGCCCCAAACCCGGATAGGCCGGAAACGAACCGTCACACCGCTGATGATAGAAGCCCTCTGTGACCACCTATCTGAGAAGCCCGGTCTCTACCTCGATGAGATGGCTGTCTTCCTCTGGGATGAGTTCCAGACCTAGGTTATAACCTCCAGCATTAGAAGAGCCCTTGTCGCCAAACGTTGGTCCAAAAAGACCGCGCGACAACGTGCAAAGGAGCAAAATGCCGATCTGCGGGACTATTATTTGCATAATCTTGCGGATTTTAAGTCGTATCACCTGGTATATGTTGATGAATCTGGATATGATAAACGGATTGGTTTCAGACGGACAGGTTGGGCACCCCTTAGTAAGGCTCCACTGTAAGTAATATAGTTCCACCGGGACCAGCGATACCAGATACTACCCGCGTATGCCTAAGATAGGATCGTCCTCTCGCGTATCTTCCGCGGTTCTACGGATACCACAGTGTTTAAGGACTTTATAGCCCAGCTTCTCTAGCATTACGGAAGATAGCCAGAACCTAAATCCGTCCTAATAATAGACAACGCATCATTCCACCGCTCAGAGCGGCTTGTACAGATGTGTGCGGATGCTGGGGTAAAATTGGTTTATCTGCCGCCCTATTCGCCAGATCTAAATCCAATTGAAGAGTTTTTTGCTAAGCTTAAAAGTTTCATTAAGCGTAACTAGAGTTACTATAAAAAAGACCCTGGTTAAGGATTTGATGTCTTCCTCGAATAGTGTATCAATGTGGTCGGTGCAAAAGAGGAGAGTGCTAGAGGTCATTTTCGACACGCGGGCCTGAAAATAGAAGTTTATAGCACTTAAAAGCCCTTGACTCTTGCCACAAACATTCTCTCCTAAGGCACTTATCAATTGTTGGCCTTAAAAGACTCCTCCAAATCTTTCTTCGCCTTTTCTGCATCCACTTCATTAGGGTCGATGACGCATTTTGCCAAGATCCTATGGCTGTCTTTCTGAGCGGCCTTTTTCACTTCAGCGTTTTCAGCATCCTTGTTTGCTTGAAGAATGATCTCCTGTTGGCTGTCGCTGATTGTTGCGCCTTTGTCAATTCGGAAGTTCTTCTTTTTATCGTGGCTTTGCGATGGGTAGAGGCTGTGACGCATGAATGTCTTGTGGCCTGAGAGAGGCCTGAGGGGGAACGTGATCTGGAAGGAGCCGTGGGTCTAACCCGATTCGGGATAGAAGTGGGTTTGTTTCGTAGATGCTCGTTTCCCTCTTTCGCTCTTCTTCTTCTTCTCCAGTTTAGTTGCTTCTGTTAATGATACACGAATTCGTCTTCATCTTGGTCGGTAACACGAGTTTCTATTAAGCTCTCTACATAATAGCCCCTATTTCTACCCTCGGAATATAATAATCGTGA